AGATGTTAATTTGGGATTTAACTTTTGTTTCCCTAAGTTCAATTTTTTTTTTCTTTTTTGTTTCACACCAACTATCAAGCTTAATTATCAATAATTTATCTAAAGAAGTACTCCCACGAGATTCTCGATTAAAATTATTTTACCCTAATTGTATGCTGGACCCGCTCTTGGAGAGCTCGTATATTTATGTTCATGATTATGTTTTGATTGTAGAATTTTTGGTTATAACTTTCAGTCAAAACCATTGAACGTCATATATAAATTGATTTGATTGAATTGAAATATGTTATATTTTATTGCAGATCCAAATTCACCAAGCGATCGGTACGTAATACTAGCTAGTACCATATAGGTCCAATACTATATCATAAATTATTCATACTGTAGTACCATATGATTCATAGTACCGCACAATATTCATATATATATTTTTTTCTGTGATAGACAGGAATATCCAGAAAGTTTTGTGGGGTGGACAGGAATTTAGAGCATTGTATCATGTCATAAACTAACATTACTTTGTATTAGTACGTATTACTGTTGTGTCATAAATTCATAATCCAAATTCAGCTTTTTATAATGTTTTTTGTGTGTTTGAGTTGTAGGTTAAAAAAAATATATATGATTAAATGAAGTGATATGATGTACATCAAAACTCTGTTGCCCTATTCTGATAAATCTATAAATCTATATTTAATTATGACACTTTTTCATAATTTACTTCATTCTTAGCTAACATAATTAAAGTCTTACTGCTATAATTAAATTTGCACGGTTTCATGTCTGCGATAAAATTCATTAGTTAAAAATTAAAAAATTTCGTACAAAAGCCATTTGCTAAACAATTATAAAAACATGGTCGGGGTGTTGTTAACTACTTGCCGTTCGTGAACTATTGACTGAACGCTAAATTACGGCTTTTTTATTTATTTGAGATTTGACTTTGACAATATCACTATTTTGTATTCCGACGCGGTCAAGTTTAGTGTGCTTTCGCATTTGATAAAAATATGTTAACAATCTGATAAGCGTCATGAACAGCACTCCAATTTCACATTATGTATTTTAAACCAAACACTAAAATAGCCTAATAACGACATGGTCATTATTAGTTTATTACTACTGTATCATATAATTATGAACAAATACTTCGTATTATATATACTACTGTTTAACATTTCGCTCTCTCTTTTACTCACACACGCACACATACAAGTATGTGAATGTCATTTTCATTTAAGATTTTCAGAACAATCAAGGGACAAGGGTATATGTGTTCATATTAAAGAGCCGTAAGCACGAGTCGTCTCAGTATATTTTATACATGTATAAGATTTAGGGCTACACTCTTATGTCATTACATGCATCATGATATCTGTTTATTTTTAAAAAACTTAAGTTATTATAACTTGTAATTACGACTCATTTATTTTTATACTGTTATTTATGTCTAGTCCATTTCATTTTATAATATATATTCTAAGTTCTTACTTTCATTTCATATGATTTATCAAAAGATTATACTTTTGTAACCATTTATGTGTTTTTGATTTTAGTTGAATTGTTTTTGTCAGATATTGAAATGATGTTCTTATGTAGAAAAATACAAAAGTAGCATATACTATAATTTATGTGCTTCAGCTAAACGTTTTTCTGCTTAGAGTATATTTTATACCACAATTTTAAACAATTAAAAAGTTAAATTGTATTCAGTTAACACTTAGACAAGTGAGATATTGCTAGAAAATAGAACGTCTTTAACTTTTCTTTTCTTTTTTTTTTTGAAAAAGGAACTCCTTTAACTTCAAAATGGAATATATATATATATAATTCAACCACGAGGATATTGGTCGATTGTATAAATTGGTCAACTAATATATTCTTAATACATTTGACTATTTCTTCCTTTTTTTTTTTCCGAGAAAGACATGTCAAATCCTCCACATAATAATACAACCAAACATATGACACCAAAATATTATCAATAAACAAAATTATAAAAATATAATTATCACACCTAACTCCATCAACTACGAGTATGACGTGCTTCACGTAGTAGAGTAGACATGTCCGTGTGGTTACCTGTGGAAGCTGCATAAGACTATCCACTCTTCTTCTTATCAATATGCCGCGTTCGTTTGCGACGCTGTGAACTTTTAAAGCACGAGTTTGGCGTTTCCAACGTGTCATTTGTGTTACGTCACTTAAACATGATTTTTCTACTTCTATACGTTTGCAAACTGAGTTGTTACGTATCATGATTTATAGAATTTGGTTCAGAGATAACCGGTATGATGTAGATTACATTAAGCTTTTTCTGTGATGAGTTTAGACTAGATCATATTCTGATTTGGAGTTAAAGGATCATGATCACATGTACAAATGTACTTGTATGGTAAAGACTTGCAGGAAATTAATCAGAAATATTTAAAGCGTTTTATGTTGGGAATTGAAGTTCGATCGCAGTTGGGTTGCAGCTATTACATTTTCTTTGTCGGTAAACCCATAAATCATACCCACACTATGTTTTTGCAGATCGGACTGATACTTTATAGATCTCTTTCAAACTTGTGTTTTTATTTACATATATAAATTAGATATATTATATAATACGTAAATTTGTCAAATAGTACTACGTTACTGATGATGCATTATGCATATATAGTGTGAAGAATCTAAAATGAATTAGATGTAAACATTAATTTGCCAATAGATTTAAATACATTAGTTTCATACCAAACGTTTTTGGCTAGCCAACACTATTTTTGCTTTACAACTTTAACATATGATGTCGGTCTCGAATTTGTATAAAATTATGAGAATGCACACATCATTATTGGTTCGTTTGTATAATCCACTATATATGATATACTACTACTACCAAGAGTTGTCAGTTTTCCTCTTTTGACATGTTTCAGTTTCGTTCTTGTAGTTGGAGTTGTTATTTTCTTTTAGATAGATATTCAATAAACTAAATGGGATGTAAATAATAGTTTGCAAGTTACGTGTTGTGCAAAACCATATCCATACTAATTTTATATGTGGGTAGTCTCTCGATCTCATCCATGTGTGCTCTTCAATATATTAAATTTTTTAAAATCGTATTCCTTTGCACAAGTACTCAATAAATCAATTATCTCCCGGTTCAAAAAGAAAATTAACAGAAAGTATCACGGCTATTATATTTAAAGGGCTTCACAGTTCACAGTTCACAGTATTGGCGTACGTTATGTATGTATTTTTACTTAGTCGGCGAATCATCAATCATGTAAGAAAATTAGGTTCAATAATCAATATACATTTGGTCAAAATAATAAATATATAGATAGAAAGCCATGTGGTCATCGAAGAAAATACCAGACGAGTGACTCACTGACTCGTTGTTTTTTCATAATTGGCACGACGCAACTGCCATCTTTAACTGTAAGCATTTGCTAGACTTTAATACATTATATATGTAATAAATTTATTATGTAAATGTGATAATGTCTTTAAAATCTGTATAAAAAATATATATATTCTATACAGATTCTATACAAATATATATATATATATAGAGAGAGATATATTCGACGTCTTCCATTAGTTGGATTATGATTACTAAAATGATGGTAAAAGTTTATAATAAAATTGTGGAAGAAGATGAAAAACAAATCCACATCAAACACGTTCAAAATATATTTTTCATTTAAACAAAGACACTAAAGGCATAAAGGTTGTTTCATCGGTAGCTAGCATATTGCAGGCATTCACATACAAGTCGTGGCCGAGAAAAAAACAACTTTTTCCCATTTTTATCTACAAGTAAAATTCGTAAGAAATTTTGATTTGAATGTAGTAGTAAATTTTAAATGTGATAGAATTACCCACGTTGACAAACAAAAAAAAATGTTTTAAGAAATAGAAGATTATTTTGGCCCACGTCTAGTCACACAAGTCAGAAAATACGTAGGATGACGCAACTGTAGTTTATCAAATGTAAAATAGAATAGAGGTTCATAATTGGAAAGGTTCCTTTTCTGATTTTCGGAAAGGTTAAACTTGCTCGTTGTGTGTGTGTGGACTTTATCTCCGGGAGGGAGGTACAAGAACAAGAAGAGTTCACGTGTTATGTTTTGTTTTCCGTATTCGACGTTTCATTCCATAGAAAAAAAAAGACCACAAGTTCACAAGTCTCTTATCACAGAAAAAAAAAAACCAGAAATAATTTTCAATCATCATTACCACTATATTGTTATCATTAGTAATCATTAGTATTAGTAAAACACTAATTCTAATGTAATGTACTCCGAAGTTGATAAAAATGGTGCTACTCGGAACAAGATAACGTAATTAGTAAACGGTGACGACGAACGAAGAGTGAAATAAACAACATACATGTAGTAGTAATATCTTTGTTTTATATTTGCGTTAAAGTATATATGCTGCACCACCACATACGCTTATATTTTAATCTTGATGAATAATGATTTTAAGGATACATACGATTTTATTTTTTTATTTATGAAGTTCATGGATTCAGCCGGTGGTCTCTAAGGAATATATAATAAAGGATTGCAAACATGTCAATTTGCTAAATGAGTGAATCGAATCCAGCCTATCCCACTAAGTTAACGAGGCTTGTCTAGACTACTAACTTGTTTCCATGTATACTATTCATATCTTTACACGAAAGAATATACTTATAACGATTCATAATAATTAGTTTTAATTTACATTTTTCACCTAAAGAGTCAGATACGATTAGGATCGGTTGACACGATGTGAATCATAATGCATAGCCTTATTTTGTGTAAAACATTTAATACATTTTTTTATTTTCATGAAACGGATGTGATTATTAAATAAAGAGCAAAAGGAAGAAGCCTTGTTTTCTTCTTTTTTTCAGCTTTCTTTATTTCCTATGTAACACTAAAATAAAATATATATCAGTAGACACGGCAAAATCGCCTTTATATTACAGCTCCTCTCTGAGCCAAAGTCGCAGAAAGATCCACATACCGAAACGAAGATACAGAGAGAGAGAGAAAAAAATAAAACAGAGTGACGACGAGTCCGTAGCTAGATTTTTTTTCTTTCTTGAATAAGAGAAAGAATATATAAAAAAGAAATGGGTTCGGAAGCGACCACCGCCGTGGACAACCTTCAGCAACCGTTGCTGGAGTCAACGAAATCGGAAGTTGACTTCAGGATGGAGAGTGTGTTAACGGACACACATTTGTCATATTTCCGGCGGATCTACTTGGCGGCGTTGATCGAGATGAAGTATCTTTTCCACTTGGCGGCTCCGGCGATCTTTGTTTACGTTATCAACAATGGCATGTCTATGGTCACTCGTATCTTCGCCGGTCGCTTAGGAAGTATGCAACTCGCTGCCGCTTCTCTCGGTAACAGCGGTTTCAATATGTTCGCCATTGGTCTCATGGTACGTCAACTATATTTATAAACGGATCTGTTATATTAAAGAACTCTTTAAATCTTATAGATGTTTATGTGTTGTTAAAGATTATGATGAAAAAAAAAAAAAACAGAGAAAATATGAATGAACTCAATTTTTTTTTTTTTGACCGGTGACATAGCTTGGAATGGGAAGTGCAGTGGAAACGTTATGTGGGCAAGCGCATGGAGCTCACAGATACGACATGCTTGGAGTCTACTTACAAAGATCCACGATTGTGCTAGTCCTCACGGGACTTCCAATGACCGTACTCTTCATCTTCTCCAAACCTCTCCTCATTTCTTTAGGCGAGCCAGCTGACGTTGCATCAATGGCCTCGGTCTTCGTGTACGGTATGGTTCCGATGATCTTCGCTTACGCAGTCAACTTCCCGATCCAAAAGTTCCTCCAGTCACAGAGCATCGTAACGCCAAGCGCGTACATCTCAGCGGCTACACTAGTCCTCCACTTAGTTCTCTCTTGGATCTCAGTCTTCAAGTTCAGCTGGGGCTTGCTTGGTCTGTCCGTAGTTCACAGTGTCTCGTGGTGGATCATCGTTCTGGCTCAGATAGTTTACATAAAGATCAGTCCAAGATGTCGCCGGACTTGGGATGGTTTTAGCTGGAAAGCTTTTGATGGTCTTTGGGACTTTTTCCAGTTATCTGCCGCTTCAGCTGTCATGCTCTGCCTTGAATCTTGGTATTCTCAGATTCTTGTTCTCCTCGCCGGACTTCTTAAAGATCCTGAACTTGCTTTGGATTCTTTAGCTATCTGGTAAGTTTTTTTTCTTAATGTTTTTACATTATATGTGTCAAACATAAAATAAAATGCTATACAATAATAACAAATAACACATACAGCCCAAAACAGATAACTTTTATTTTTGGGTAGTAGTTGAGTTAATATTCAAAATTTAGAATACTTCCAAAACTTTACATAAAATGTACCCTTAATTCGTAGTGAAAATTGTAAAAGTGAAAAGGAAAAAAAGAAGACTGGGACAATAATGGGACTATACTGTCTGATCATTTGTCCGATCAAAGTTTTCAACTTTTGGCTAGTTTTCGGGAATCTCCTTTATGTGAAACAAAAAAGTCACGTTAGTGTCTGATGCCATGATAGATTTTCTTGGCCGTAGTATGTGACTTCACCACGTTTTTTCTCAACCTTTGCGTTAAAGCCAGTTTCAGAATATCCAGTGCTTTTTTTCTTTCGACGGTTCTTAATTTCTTGAGAGTGTAAACTTCGTGTCGTTTTCCTTGATAAACGACGGCATGCACTCCTGTGTGTCTTGGAAAACGCATAAAAGTATTGATAACTCCAAGACCCCAAGTGGCCAAGTCATTAATATTAGTTTATATTACAGCGACTTATTATTATTTTACGAAAACTGATTATTTTAAGTCTCGTATTAGTACTGACACTTTATGACAAGAAAACAAAAAGTTTATTACTGACTCTTTCTTACGACTTGGTCATAATAATAATAGAATAATCTATAAGTTATCTTACTTTAGTTTTGTTTTTTTATTTGCAGTATGTCAATTTCGGCAATGTCGTTCATGGTGTCCGTTGGATTCAACGCTGCTGCCAGGTTCGTTGATTAAAAAACTTTTTTGTTTAATGTCAGTGGTGATAAATTAATAACACAAGTTACAAATGGGTAATAGCTAATGATATCATAATTTTATTTTTTTACTATACAGTGTGAGAGTTAGTAACGAATTAGGAGCTGGGAACCCTAGATCAGCTGCATTTTCAACTGCGGTAACTACAGGAGTATCGTTTTTACTGTCGCTGTTCGAAGCCATAGTGATCCTCTCATGGCGTCATGTAATCAGCTATATTTTTACGGACAGTCCAGCGGTTGCTGAAGCCGTCGCCGAGCTCTCTCCTTTCTTGGCCATTACCATAGTTCTCAACGGTGTACAACCTGTCTTATCTGGTAATAATACGACAAAAACATGTTTTACAATAATAATGACAATAATATACTTTCTCGACAAAAAAGAAGTAATCATAATAGTTTTGATTAGTTGTGATTTGTGAATAAATGATTCAATTATTGATTGTTGTTTTTTTTGATAAAACAGGTGTGGCCGTTGGATGTGGGTGGCAAGCATATGTTGCCTATGTTAACATTGGATGTTATTACATAGTGGGAATTCCGATTGGTTATGTTCTTGGTTTCACCTATGATATGGGAGCTAGGGTAAATTTCTTACATGATCTATATCAGTGATTGATTGGTGGAAAGGTGAAATTAAACTAAAATTGTTATAATGGATTTGGTGCAGGGAATATGGACAGGGATGATTGGGGGCACACTCATGCAAACGATTATCTTAGTCATTGTCACTTTCAGAACTGACTGGGATAAAGAGGTAAATTATTAATACAAACAATTTAGTACTACTATGTTTTAACTTTGGGTTTATTTGTTTCTTATCTGATGATGATTGTTTTTTGTATATAAATTCAGGTGGAGAAGGCGTCGAGACGATTGGACCAGTGGGAAGACAGCTCTCCGCTACTTAAGCAATAAAATAAATATATTGATCTTTTCAATAAGAAATTAAAAAAATCTTGGGGAGATTTAGAGGTCAATTATATATAAATATATTTTCCCCAAAAATTGATTAAAAAAGGATAAAACCCTAGTTAAGTTAATCAAGAGATTCGATATGTGGATCTCTAGATTAATACATTGGAAAACAAATAGTTTTCTGAGGGGAGGTTTGGAGTACGAGAAGGAAGAAGAGTCAATGTACATTTCTTTTTTTGTTTTTGTTAGAGAAAGTAATATTGAGAAGTGATATAACGATGTATTGTGTGGAAGAGTGAAATTTAAGTTCTTGTAAACCGTTTCTTGTGTAACGAAACCAAATAATGAAACACATGGCTCTTATGGTCCACGATTTGTCAATCATACAAATTCTTCTGTAATAATTATATGATCTCAACTCACATGTTTTTTCATACTGGTGATAATGCATATATGTTGTTATGTGGTGTTACTACAAGTCGGAACTATGATTCGTTTTATGTTCATATGATATAGCTATGATGATTTTAATTTAGTAATGATTCCATCTACATAATCCTATACTGTGTTAAATATGTAAAAGTATATTTTTATATGATTTATATAACTCGTTATAATTTACACCAGTTATGTAATCTGTAAAATAGTGTATATGTTAGAACTTAGAAGCTATTGAAAGTACTCTGGATTTTCTGAAAACTTTTGGGCTGGTTTATGATTTATGTTAAATCGTGTTTGAATACTTTTTGATATGTTTTTACATATTCTTCTTTATAAATTCATAAACATGTTAGGTTAGGTTACAGTCAATGGTCAATAAAAGTCATCGTACGATAATTTCACCGGAGTTCGAAAAAATAATAATATTTGTTGAGTTGTTGTTAGTATGTCAACGTCAACCCAATTTTTAAATGTAAGTAACTTTATCGTCGTTCGTCTGTTGATAACGCAAATAATAATATAACGAGTAATCCTATATAGACTTCCAACTGCATATAAACCACAAGATAACTTGCTAAATCTTTTTTTTTTTTTATGAAAGCAAATTCGAAAAGAACGAGAATCTTCCAAGAAAATGGACAACGTGGCTTGATGACTCACGAGACTTTGCCATATCATTAGCTCAATCAACTATGAGCAGTCGGTATCAAGTATACATCACATAACTACTATGTTCTTGTGGAAACTCAACTAAAGCGACAACGAGAATTCAGAAAATATATGTAAAACTTTTTTTAATATATGAGAAAAACCTTAATGGTAGTCAATTTTAGTCTCTTGATGTTGTTTTCTTCATCTAGTTAATGATGATGATATAAGACTACAAGTATATTAAAACATTTTAATGAGTGTTGTTATAGTTTATTATAGTTGATATATAAACAATAAAGTCAAGTTTATTTGTATACTGACTAATAAACGTTCATAAAACTACTAATGAGTTTTGTCCAAAAGAAAAAAAAACTACTAATGAGTATCTTCGCACGAATGTTGAAAGCGAACGATATCATTGAAAATAGTCAGAATCTGGTTTACTGAAACAGCTTGGCTTTTGAATCTGTAAATTTTGTGGACCAAAGAATTAATTTTATCATTTAGTATTTGGATTTGATTTGATCTGATTTACTTTGATTTACTTCGAATTTCTCTATCTAATAATTTAACAGCCATAACGTAGTTAGCATACCTCTCTGAACAAAGTGGGAAGCCATCACCATGCATGATGATGCATTCATACTAGTATAAAAATATTGAACTTGGAATGAAACCTAAACTACGATCGATAGACCAACCCAAACAAGATTTTAGTTTTCTCTTTTATATGTCGTTATTATACTTACTTCCATTTTTTGAATATGCATACGCATTTATATTTAATGCTGAAATGTCATTGTTGATATTTAACAAGCAATACGCTATTGTTTTTAATATATAAGCCGCCTATGTAAAACGTGAAATATTACCAACGGTTTACACTTGGGAGAATATGGAGTTCTAGTTGAATATTAACACAACACTAACCATAAATAAAGTAAAAAAATCAAGACTCATATATCGGTAAGATTGCGATGTGATATATACCATTCTGTGTTTTGAGCTTCCCACAAGCCCCAATTTTAGTTTTCAATGGTACTTGTGAAGATTCGGTTAAAAATGTTAAATGCTTCCTTCTGACATGAATCCATCGTGTTGTTGAAGTTATTTAATATTGCGGTTGGAATATTATTCGCCTCATTAATTATTTCTGTAAAAGAATCACAAACAAGAAAATCCAGTGAATAAAAAGATGTAGAGTTATAATACAAGACGATGATTATGTGTACACAGACACCATAGATTTAAGGACCAATTATATGGTGTAACTCTACTATTATATAGCAATAGTTTTTTTTTTGTTGTTGTTGTTATTACGTGACTTGAGTGATAGGACTATAAGTTTGGTCCATCTTCCACAAAATCGGCTAATGTTGTCTTGTGGTTAAGAGACATTACCTTTGACGAGAGCGATTAAAAAAAAGATTCCAACTTGTACGGCAATTTTAAATGTTTATGGTTGGATCCGTCTGAGATTCGAGTGCTCGTACGACTTCTGTGAGAGAAACAGAAAAGCAATTGAACGGATGATAGAAACTGGGAATCTTTTCAATTCGGGGTTATACGGATCCACTCACCATCACCCGTACTTGATATCCTCATCTCACTTCATCATCCACTTGTCTTTTTTGTTTTTTTCGAGAACAAAACCTATCTAGGATTTGGTCTAGAGTTGGTTGCACACTTCATAATAATCGAGCCAACAAATATAAATTTGGTTTAAGAATATAACATTTTATCTGTTTTCTATAAACGTTTAATTAGCCAAAAAAGAGATTCCTCATAGGTTACAAAAAAAAAAAGTCTGAAAAATCAACCTCGAGAAAAATTGTTTCACATAGTTGATAAGAGAAGAATAGCTTCAAATCCCCGGACATAAGATAAGAGTAATACACAGTAAGATTGTTTGGCCTTATTTTTTTTTTGTGCCCCATGTTGAAAAAAGTCAAAATTTAGACTAATAGAGTCGGAAAAAATCTTTGTCCAAAAAGAAAGAGTAAAAAAGATCAATCAAGCTCCATATCATCTGACTTTCTACTTCCCTGTGATCCATTACGTTCCGGTTTCATGGGAGGAGAGTTTGATTTCCCAATGTACTTGCACGTCCTGAATCACATTCACATCCTCTCATCAGTTAAATCCGACTTCGTTGGTTTCTATCAATTATGACTCAAGTTTTTGTGGTTAAATTGTGAAGATAGCTTGAAGAGTAATAAGAGAGGGTTTAGGTTATATTTACGCGTTCAGAGCATCGGCTTTTCTCCTGATTTCACCAGATTGCAGCTCTGGAATAGCGTCTTTGGGTAAAGATTCTTGTTCTGTTGTTCTCTCCTGGAGCCACCTCTCAGCTTTATGACATTCATCAAGAACCTGAAAATGGAATATAATCAGGGGTCTAATTATATAGCAATCTAGACAAACTTTTTATCCACCTCAACTCAGATTATTCCCAATAGAGTGAGACTTGTGTTAGTAGTTTAGAATCAAACCGCGTTCTTTCTTTGAGGAGGAAGAGACTCTGCAGCTGCTCGATTATCTGCAATAATTTTCAGAAGATCTTTTGATGCTTGTACTCGCTCTTCTCCATCTTTAAACCGACTTTCAATGGGATCAATGAGCTGCTCACAGTAAGTCATTAATTAGAGGACATGAAAGTCATCTGCTGAGACTAACCTTTATATAAAGAACCTCAGAGATTTACTTACCTTTTTGATATCATTCAACTTCTCAATGTAAGCACTTTCAGATTCATCATCACCATCTTCATAGAGCCAATCCTCTGTTTCCTGTAGATTTTTAGCTATGCATTCCCGTTCTGACTCAGTTGCAGTGTTCCGATATGTATTTAGCATCTGCCAGTATACAAAGTGTTAACTATTTATTCTTGGAAGTGATAACATCTTGAAAAGACAACAACATTTTTTACCAAAATCTAAAGGTCGAAGCTATAAAACCCATATGGATTACCTTATCACGCATCTCATAAACAAAGGATTCGAGAGCATTCTTCTTATCCTTTGTCGATTCCATCTTCAAATCTTGCTCCACTAAAGAGTTCTCTCTCTGTTTGGCCTCCAATAACTCATCCTTTGTTAAGGCACCAGATACATTCGCAACAACTGGAACTTCCATTCTTTTGATAGCTTTAGGCTCATTACCCTACACGAGAGAGAACTAATCTCAGGATTTTTGCAGATTAGCATGCTTTGGAGAATCTCCGGAACAACCAATTGAATGGAGATGCCAATGCTTTAAGATCAGCTTTTTATTTGTTGGGATTGCACATTTCTTGTAATGCAGCTATATTTCTTAGACGTTGTTAAACTATACTTACAGTAGGACCTGACGAAGGGTCCAAAGTGTCATCCTTTGTAGCAGAAGATTGATGGTTGTTTTCGGATATCATCTCTTCAGAAGTTAGATTCTCCTTGTGATATTCAATTAGCTGTTCAGAAATGGAAAGATTAGACTCAAGATAGGTAGACATGTAAAGGCAATCATATCTGGAGAGGATTAAAAAGATTGTACTTACAGAAGCTGAATCGATTGTTACAATCCCGTGGAGATTTAACTGAACTCTTACTTTGACACGGGCTGCTTCTCCATGGGAAATATGAAATGGACCAATCTAACAAACATTACACAGCAAACTTAGAATTCCATAATATATGCAATGCCCAAAAGTGGCATAACTGCCAGTGTGAAGAAAGAGCTATAAAGACAGAATATACAAGTAAGGAAAGCCTGAAAGATAGTATACCATAAAACTGCTTATCGGAGTTGGTAAATCTGGTGTTGTTTCATTATGGTTTGCATAAAAGGCTTCCAAATGGAAAGTGTTTTCCCTGTGTAGAGTAAGAACCTTTACACTTGGAAAGACCTGGCCCTTCGGAAAGAGCAATTCATTTGATGGTGTGCTTATGGGACCTTTATCAGATGAGAAGCCGACTGAGAAAGGAAAAGAATCTTGAACCTGAAAAATAGGGTAAGAATAAACAAAAAACAACAGCCATTCATACGAAATAAATCCGTAAAGATATAACCACAGTTATAATCTATTATTGTGCTACATAATTTTTTTAAAAGATACCTCATAATCTCTAACACGGAAAACTGGACTGAGCATTGCACACTGAAGCGCACATCCTCGAGCTACACACTCACTTGCATTCACAGTCCTGCCTAGCTCCCTCTTAAACAACGAGCTTAGCATCTTAGATATAGCTGGAATTCGGGACCCTGATCCAACTAGCTCCACCGAATGGATTTGATCCAAACTTAATCCAGAGTCAGCCAAAGCCTTTTGACAGGGTACAATTAATCTTTCCAACAAGCCTGCTGACAACTGCTCAAACTCTTCTCTCTTGATGAAGCTCTTCACGTCCTTCTCCTCCATAAGACATTCTATATTCAGCTGTGCCTCAGCATTTGCACTCAAGACCTTTTTAAGTTTCTCACATGATGCTCTTAACCTAACACACGCCTTGGTATTTGTATATACATCTATGCTGTATTTCTCCTTAAATTCAGCGGCAAAGTGGTTGAAAAGAACCTCATCAAAATCTCTCCCGCCCAGGTTTCTATCAAAAGCATGAGAACGAACTCTCATGCTTCCAGACTCAAATGACGCCACACAAACTTGTGTATCACAGTGACCAATATCGATAAACACAATGTAAGTAGGGCTCGCGTTAGCCGCCAAGTCTGTCTTGTATATACCATATCCAAGAGCAGTGGCTGTAGAATCATGCATCAATCTCAACGGCCTAAGGCCAGCAATGGCTGCAGCATCCAAATAAGCAAGTCTTTGTGAGTTTGTAAAGTAGGAAGGTATCCCGATGACACAGTCTGAAACAGGCGTTTTGAGACTCTTCTCTGCTATCTGCTTCAAATGCGAAAGCAACATGCCTAATATCTGCACTGGACTAAAGCCCTGCATCTCACCCATGTACCGAAGCTGAATTAGAATTCCACCATCAGAGCCTTCGGAAGTTTCAAAAGGGAACAACCTCAGATCATTCTGAACATCAGGTTCCCTGAATTTCCTACCGATCAGTCTCTTTAACTGCGAAATGGTTGATTTGGGATGCATAGTAGCAGAGGCAGCAGCAGCGGCACCCATGAATCTCTGCTTCTCACCAAACGAAACCATAGCAGGATTTTCTCGGTTGGATTCATCGTTCAACAAAATATCAATCCCCCGTTGCTTTGCAACCGCAATAACACAGTTCTCATTCCCAACATCAAATCCCACCACACTCATTTTTAGCAAAACCTCAAAAACCAAATACCGTAAAACTCAAAAAGATCAACTCCAATTCTCAGAAATCCAAACAAAAACTCTTATACATGAGCTTCCTGCGCATCAAACTTCTCTCTTTCTGCAATATAAGAAACGAAAACCACAATCACATCAACTAATCTCAAACACTAAGAGAATCTAAGGGAATTAAAAGCAACAGGATCAATGCAACATAGAATTTAATACATGTCCCCCATAAAAGGTAAGAGTAGAACCCGTAACAAACTGAGACACGACGCAAACATTCAACACAATTTGATAAAAACGCGATCATCAGCTCCAAAAGAATGTGGAAATTTCTATGCTAAAATCATTACAGGATCGTTTAATACTAAACAGAACCAGAAATTTCCTCTGTATTGTTGGTAGATTTTTCTAAGGATTTTATAAGCAAATCAACAACACGAGATCTTAGATATATATATACGCATTATGAAATTGTAGCTCGTCAATGAGAAATCAAATCAAAAGAGAAGAAGGAGAAAGGTTTGAAGAAGACTATACGATGATCAGAAACTTGGAATCGCGAGACCTCCGATGACTTGGGACGAGGACGAACGAAGAAGATGAGAAAAAAAGATTTGAGGGAACAAGCAAGGCTGAAGAAAATAGAAAAAAAAAATATAAAAGAGAGAAAAGGAAAGGGTAAAGAATTTTACAGAAAAGGAAACTGTATTTTCATTTAAGTCCTTATATATTCCTTATAATTGACATTGTACCCGAAGTTATTTTGATGACCTAACCCAAGATTAGAAAATCTAAGGGAAAATATTTCACGATGTAGCACGAACGCCCACAAGGTTCAGTTGAAGGTGGGATCAGATTCAATAAATAATGTTTAATTTTCAAAAATATATTTATCAACAAAAAAAAAAATTAGAAATGTAAACTTTATAATAAGTGAACATTTCATATAATATGATAAATTATATATTAATTTTTTATCAAGCGCGTAAAATAAAACCAACCTTTAAAATATAAACAGTTTATTTAATGAAATCAAAAACTCTATTACAATGTACCAATGTTCAAAAAGGGTTAGATAATGAATCATGAATTAAGTTAAGCAATTTAGCAAAAAAAAATAAAGGTTCATATACTTATTAGTTTACTCGTTTATGACAATTCAATATATCCTAATAAGCATAAGAATGAATCTGATATGCTAGGTGGCCCAAATTAATCGGCATTGCCATATCTATAGGTCCTTGATATTGTCGACAAAAAAAAAATTAAAAAAAATAGGTCCTTGATATTAAAAAGCAAATAAATCTGATACAAAAGCAAACAAATCTATTTCTATGTTTGGTTGATTATATTTTGAAAATTATCTTAATTCAAATTCGATAGATATCCAACTTAATGATTTGCAATGTGTTGTTTACAATTATTCAAAAAAAAAAAAATGTGTTGTTTACAAAGAAAAATCGCATCATCATATAATTAAAAAGTTATTATTACAAGTACGATATTTTTTCCCCCTTTTATGAAAAAAACAAAACTCATGATCTCTTCATATTACATTTCTTGATAAACTTTTGTAATAGAGATCAACAGAAACTCCAGAAACAAAAGAAAAAAAAAATTACACAAGAAAACAATGAAATATAAAATCAAACTTCAAGAGTGAAAATAGGCCTAGGTAGTCCAGTTGTTGCACGACCACCACCTTGGAACAGCTTCTTCAAGGCTCTGACGCCGTTGTGAGAATGCTTTCGGATTCCGCCTAATCTAACGGCGGACACTACGCTCCGACGTAGGTTAGTCAACCTCTTTCCGATCTTGACCTTCAACAGATAAAGCTTCAGCCGTAGAAACGACGAATGAGGATCACGACGAGAAACCAAGTCGGCTTCTTGAAGTGTTTTGTAAATCAAGAACTTGGCTCGTCGGTGAAGTACCTCTTCTGGGTCTTCCTTGTCCACCTTCGAGTAAAGGCACGGCCTTTTGAAGAGGGTCATTTTCGTCTTTTTGGGTTTTCCCGACGACGACTTTTTGTGGTAAAATGATCGATCAGAAGAGATATGAGGAGAGTAGCTTCAAATGACTCAAGTATTTGTAGTCATTGCATTGAGCGGTGCTGCTGCACTAACTTGAACTTGTATACGTGTTTCTTACTTCTTTCTTTCTCAAATTCTATAATTATAATTTATTGGTACAAAATAATAATAATAATAATAATAATAAAGTTTAGCATATAAGTCAAATCGTTAAGATAATATAAGATAGACTAAGATGGTATGAATTTCCAGCTAACAATCTATAATTAATGTCTATATATATAACCATTGTTTTAATTTAATTATGAAAAATGAGGTCATATAGTATATATACTTGTAAGATATTTTTATATACATCATCTTAAACTATAAAACATTTCAATTTACGAGCTTGCCGTCCAAAAAATTTAATTTATTTTCTGGCATAATGAGGTCATTTTAAGTAGTTAAAGTGTTTAACGTTTCAGACTCTAAAATTTCATTACGAGTTAGCTACCCAAAAACACATACTGTATGTACAATTAACACTTTCACCTATTTAATGTATATATTTAGTTATTATACATCGGGTATATAACTTTTAATCTCCATGTTGGAAGAAATAATTAATTATGTAGTTTTACTGAGTTTGAAATCCTTGAAACTGAAATATGAACAATGATTTCAATTGATAAAGACAATTTAAATATGTAATACATTATACACTTCTAAAAAGAAGTTATGATAAGGAGAAAATATATTTTCATTTACGTAAACCAACAAATTTTAAATAAATAAGACGCAAGATCTAGTAAATTAATCAGATTGTTTTTGTTTCCGTGTCCTTTGGTTTGGACAAACGGGTCATGGCAGTTTTGTTTATATAATTTTCAAAGCTGAAAGGCTGTAAGTCCCAAAGATTGGATGGCTTCCAGAGACTCATAATTTGTTATGTAAAATGTTTCAACCTTTAGAGACACATACCATATACTCTGCCTCTACATACACCTCTGAAGACTCTCCAACTGTTCTACTGCTGGAGATTACTTGTGCTCAAGATCTCTATTCAGATACGTTTTCAACTTTTCCTATGGAATTTTTTTTTGTTTATTTAGGGTAAATATAGAACCAATTTTCAAAATCGTCGGAACATGGTATTTATGACATTCCTCGACCATTGTTCTAACATTCAAAAGTAAACACCGTACCCAAAAATATTATCAAAGCTTATTACGTTCTTTCAGAAAAGTGATGACAACATTAAAAAGCAGAAACACCGTTGAAACATTATTAAGACTTAAAAAGCAGAAAAAACACACCTAAGAGAAACAAAGACAAATCAACTGTGTTTTAGAACACGCTCATAACAGAGTACGCAAACAGCAAACAGGACATTAACCCAACAAATACTCATCGTGGTCAGTAGCTGAACCCGACTTGTTGCTGCTGTGGTGGTTGCTGTGGTGCCTGCTGTCCTGCCTGTGGTGTCTGCTGGTAACCGCTGTATCCACCACCACCACCACCAGAGTAACCTCCGTAATATGCATTTGGGTCTTGCGGGATCGAGTATCCATACTGCTCCTGTCCTTGTCCATACCCACCGTAATAAAACTGGCTTGGATCCGCTGTCTGGAACCAACATCAAAAAAGCATTTCATATTAAGCTATTTGGTATATATTCAAATACCATATCGGCCAACTGACTTAAGTGATTCTATTAACAACCAGAACTAGAGCCTGAACTACATAATTCCCTAAATTTTCATCGAGCAAGAAAGGTGAGAAGATGAAAGAACTGGCGAGAGAAGCTGCAATAGTTTTTCGACAGTAGGCCACACCCAGTGAGCTGTTTCTTTCTCTCATCTAATCTAAATGCAAAGAGAATCAATTACCTGTTTGTTAGAAGGACTTCGGCCCCATGAGAGCCTCACTGTTGTTCCCCCCAATTGCACTCCATTCAGCATTCTAAGAGCTTCCTCAGCGCAGCTCCTGGAAAAAGAGGGTCACGAAAAACATGACTAAACAGTTAGATTGGTATTCCAAAATCCAATTATAGGGTCAAATGAAAGAGTTTTCAGTAGTAGCAGCAGATTTACTTCTCCGAAAATTGAACAAATCCACAGCGCTTTCCAGCTGGTATTTTCACATGCACAATCTCACCATACTGGCCAAAGACATTCTTTAGATGATCATCCGTGACAGATGGATCCAATCCACCAACAAAAACCTGCACGTCAACTTAATATGCGTCAGAGATAACATCTTTGGAAGATACCCAAGTATGACACATGTACTATAGGAGCATATAACCCACAGTTGTGTTATTTGGATCATTATCAGTAGGTACCCCTGCAGCAGCGCCCTGGTATGAATCTGCATTTACGCCGAAAAACACAGGTATAGTGAACGGAGTAAGTATCAGTAAATTACACATGCAAGAAAAACAAATGGAGACCCATTTGCAGCCTCCTATAATCTTCCTAACAAAATGAATGGAAATGAAAAGAAGGCATGAACACACATATATCACACTGCTCAAACTCCAAAAAGAGACAGAGTATTTTTTTACTGTTGATGACAAAATTGCTAAACAAGTAAGGAACTTGCCATGTGTGAGCAATCAAAAGGATATGAGGAGCCACAACCACAAAAGATAAGCAATTAGAAACATAACTCAAACGAGATAATTGAACATAAGATGGCTTTCGATTACGTAAGGAGGGTAATGTGCTAAATTTACGACGTAGAGAACGAAATAATAGAATGACTATAGGGACACAAAGTATAGAGGAATTGTAAAGGCCAATGCTGAAAAAAAAACTAAAACCAGTGTATCTATTTCTCTGGCTACCCAGAAACTACTAAATCTGACCGAACCCATTCTTATAAGGTGAAACGAAATCTTTCTCAGAAAAATGCTAAACATTTGGAGAACTTCGATCATCTAGACTCTCAGAAACGATATAAAAGAAATTGATGTACAGATATATAAGTAAATCAAATGAAAGATAAGAACTTTAGTAGAGCGGAATGATATAGAAAAGTTAATAGAAAAGTAAAATACATAAGAACTGAATTATAAAGTAAGTAACTGAGTAAGAGCTGGAATAAAGGTTGTAACGAAAAGATAAATGGAAACCAAAAAGTAGGGCTGAAGCGAAGGAAAGGGCTAATAAAGGATAACACATGAACTTTAAAACTGACCTAAGCATGAGCACTCAATAAGGGGATAACCATTTCAGCTGAAATCAGTTCCAGGCCTCAAGATGATAGAGAGCCCCTTGACTCCCTGCTTTGAAACAAACAGGATACAACAAGTGTGCTATAAGATTTCTATCTTTTAAGTTTTAACAGAATTAACTGCGGCCTGAGCGGTAAATGAAGGATGCGGCTTTAAAGAAAAATTAGAAAGTGTCATACTTTCTCAAGTCTGTTAACTAGTTCTTACTTGAAGAAACCTAGTCACATAGATACTACAGCACAGAATCTAAACAATCATGTGAATGCAAGAACGAAGCAGTTCTAATGTAACATCATACTTCCAATCTTAGGCATACCTCTTTGACCAGTTACACCTTTTTTGCTAGCAGCTGGCCCAATTCTCATAGGTCTGGTAGAACAAGGAACACCATTCATCTCCGTCATAGCACGCATCTGTTCACTTTCATCAGAAAACCTAACAAAACCATATCCCTTGGTACGCCCAGTGGCTCTGTCAATAACAACCTTGGCACCCTTAACTGAAGGATAAGAGGTTCTGAACGTCTCAAGTAGGATATAATCCGTAACATCAGCAGCAAGGTCACCGACGAATATAGTGTAGTCTGGTGAATCGTCCCGTTTATCTCCTGAACTCAATGATGCCCAGTTCAATCTAAAGAGCTGATCCGGAAAGCTCGGGATAGGAGTGTTGTTGAATGTTTGTAGAGTTCGTTCAGCAGCAGCATGAGACGCAAACTCAATAAAACCGTAACCTTCAACCTGGCCGGTTTGCTTGTTACGGATCACTTTAGCAGAAAGAAGCTGCAAATTATTCATAATGTTATTAAACTAACTACTCATTAACAAGAAATAACACTCACTGTCGGGAAGAGAATACAGATAAAAGTTTCTAACTTTGAAAATCCAATCTTTCATACAGAAAACAAACAAAGTATCAAATTAACCTCAATCTCCTAGAAGAAACTAAAACCATTATTCAAAAACACAGATCTGAGATAATTACCTCTCCGGTATGAGCAAAACAACCATAGAGGAAACTCTCATCCATCCAATACTGTAAGTCCCCGATCCAAAGAGTCCGGATCTCGTCGGCAGTCATAGGCTGAGATGATGGCGGCGCCGCCGCTTGAGGATTCCACATCTGTGGCGGTGGAGCAGCTCCAGCAATCCCGTAAGGAGACGGTTGCTGGTAACCGTACTGCTGTTGCGCAGAAGGAGGAGGGACGTGATGTGGAAGGATACCGCCGGGTGGTGGCTGCTGCATCATGATCGGAAAAGAAAGAAGAAGGAAGATAGAGAACTCTTTAGAATCTCTCCGACCGTAGAAAAATTGTGATGAAGAAGAAGATAACAATTGTAAGAAGAGAGAGATTAATGACAACCTTTGCGAAGGCGGCGGTTCGTATAAAAAAGATATGTATTTAGTAAATATATTACAACAGATGTGAGTTTAATCACCAAGGGATCCGTGGCGCAATGGTAGCGCGTCTGACTCCAGATCAGAAGGTTGCGTGTTCGATTCACGTCGGGTTCAAACCCCCGGTTTATACAAGATCCTTAACTTTTTTTTTTTGCTTTTCTCTTACTTTATCTCAAAATTCATCAAAACCGTCCAAGGTAATGCCAATCAACGGCTGGTGTGAGTTGATTACTATGTGAACGACTTATGTGATTTAAGTAAACCATCGAAATTAATTAATTTCGTCAAATCGTGAACCGGTTTAAACCTCTTCTCTCTCCACCGTCGTCTCAATTTCATCTGAAACATCATGAACCCTAGTAATGGCGTTTCTCTTCCGCATTCCAAAATCGGAATCTCTACTCCAGAACGTGACTCAATTCCGATTCCAATCTTCTTCGTCATCTATCTTCGCACTAAACTCGCTCTCTAGCAAGCAGAAGAAGAGCCGAGCTACTCTCTCCCTTCTCAAGTCCGAGAAAAATCCAAACCGGATCCTCGAAATCTGCCGATCCGCTTCTCTAACCCCTGATTACCACGTCGACCGTATCGCCTTCTCCGTCGCGGTGGTGACACTAGCGAGAGAGAAACACTTCGCCGCTGTGTCGCAGCTTCTCGACGGTTTTATCCAGAACCAACCCGATCCCAAATCTGAGAGTTTCGCAGTCCGTGCCATTATTCTATACGGCAGAGCTAATATGCTTGATCAATCTTTACATACATTTCGTAACCTCGAGCAATACGAGATCCCAAGGACGGTGAAGTCTTTGAACGCTCTTATTTATGCTTGTCTAATGGCTAAAGATTACGAAGAAGCGAATCGTGTCTACCTCGAAATGCCGAAGAGATATCGTATTGAGCCTGATCTGGAAACGTACAATCGAATGATTAGAGTGTTGTGTGAGTCAGGTTCAACGGGTTCATCATACTCCATTGTTGCAGAGATGGAGAGGAACTTTGTAAAGCCTACAGCTGCTAGCTTCGGGTTAATGATTGATGGTTTTTACAAGGAGGAGAAGTATGATGATGTGAGGAGAGTGATGAGAATGATGGAAAATTTTGGTGTCCATGTAGGTGTTGCTACATACAACATCATGATTCAATGTTTGTGTAATAGGAAGAAATCTGCAGAAGCCAAGGCATTGCTTGATGGTGTTATGTCTAGTAGGATGAGACCAAACTCTGTGACGTATTCTCTATTGATTCATGGGTTTTGCAGTGAGGAGAATTTGAAGGAAGCTATGGAGTTGTTCATGATTATGGCGAATAGTGGATACAAGCCTGATAGTGAGTGTTACTTCACTCTGATTCAATGCTTGTGTAAAGGTGGAGACTTTGAGACAGCTTTGATCCTTTGTAGGGAGAGTATGGAGAAGAATTGGGTTCCGAGTTTTAGTGTCATGAAGTGGCTTGTCAATGGACTAGCAAGTCTTTCCAAGGTTGGTGAAGCAAAGGAGCTCATTGCTCTAGTTAAAAGGAAGTTTACTAGAAATGTTGATTTGTGGAAAGAAGTTGAAGCTGCATTGCCTCAGTGAACAAGGAGCACACACAAAAAAAGGTCATTCGTCTTTTATTTGATTCGAGTGAGGCTTTTGAAGTTTTGAGATTTGTGTAATTTAGCAAAAAATATCCTCTGTCCATCTTGTTGTTGAGGGTAAGTAGCTGGTGCTATCAATTTTCTCACTGAAAATTATTCAACATGTTGTATATATAAAATGTGCATAACAAAGATAGATTCATGTCTCGGCATAGTAATGGAACCTGGAAAAGCCTTAAAAGATAAATCTGAAACAAACTTGGAACATAGTTTTAAACACAATATGAATCCCTCTTTCTAGCCAGTTTATTCCCCATCTTCTCACCTCGAAACGCTGGAACCTGAAGCAAGCTCTGCACATAGCAACAATCACTGAGCGTAGGTCCGATACCAGTGAGGTATTCAATTTTTTGGTAATCTTGATTCTCTCCCACAATGTAGATGCTAATCATATGCTGGCTTTCGATAAATAGTGCAAGCCTACCATTTCTCTCAATGAAGGAACTTAAATACTGACCAAATATTGGATATTGAGGTACATCAACTGTCATCACCGTTTTCCAGTGCTGCTTCTTCATCACCCATAGGTGAATCTTACCAGTTCTGTAGCATCCAAGTAACAAAGAAAGTTGGTCTCCTCTAAAAATCCCTAAAGAACAGTAATTTTCCAATTCAATGGATGGAGAAGGAAGAAACAAGGGTTCAAATCTTTCTTGTAAGAAATCGAAACTCTGTATCGACATGATCCCATCCTTATTGTAACCTAGCCAATAAGGAGTTCCTCGCAAACACACACTTGAAAATGGTGATCCATCAAACCCATCGAAGTTTTTATCGACAACAACCTTCCAAGAATCAGATTTGAATGCGTAGACTTCAACCCTTGATTTATCTTTAGCTTCCACTCTACAACGAAACCTAACGACTTTGTAATCAAAAGAACTAGATAACTGGTTACTGATGTATCCAAGACCATACACATCCATGGACTGGTGGTCAAATCCTTCGGTACATTTGATCCATCTCTTTTGATTCAGCAAAGGATTCGATACCAAAACCATACTTTTAGTGACGTATAGCAATAGACCATCACAATGAGAAATATTGATCGCAGGTGTTAAAGCTATTGGAAAAGGCAATTTCAAACCACATTTTCCCGGTTTGTTGAAATCGATACCAACGTAAGAAATTGCGGAACCGAATAGAGGAGAAATTACGTGTTCATTGTTGAAGACGGTGAATTGTTGCTCACGGCAACGCATATGATACAAGTGCTTGTTGACGAATCTCGGCTCTGCAATTAGGGTTTCCCATTGCTTGCAAGTGAATCTTAATCGTACCAGAGATCTAGCTGGAACCCTTGAGAGTATCTCCTCAACCAGATCAGACGAAAGCTCCTTAGCCATTTGAGACTTTTTAAGTGTTCAAAACATCTTTTAACCTAGTATTTTGCATTTAGACGACGGACTTAGCAAAATGTAGAAGCCCATTTATGCCAGTAAGGGCCCAATACCAATCCCCATTTGTGCGAGTCATCAACCTGCTCCTCTGCCAAGATGGTCAGTTTCTGCTAATTCGGTGATAATATTGTTTCTTCTCAATGACTATACTACGTATGACGTTTTCGGATTACATACTTTTTGAGATACTTCAATATATAGCTGCATAGTTTCTTCTTCACTATAACTAGAAAACAAGCCATTTTCAAATGGATATAAATGTTGAGTCATAACTCATAAGATATGAAGTACTACAATAACAACCAAGAAAAGGCATGACAACATTCTTTGAATCAGATTCAAACTCATGAAATGTTTTCCCACTCTTTTTTTCTTTTCTTATATGAACGACATGACCTTCTTGTTCTCGCCTCGAGAAAACCGGGAACCGGAAGCAAGCTCGGAACATAATAGAACCTAGAACCACCAACGGAAGGATCCATAGAACAACAGTTCACTTTTTGGAACTCTTGATTCTCTCCCATAATGTAGATGCTCATATGCCCTAAACTGATAGATAACACAAGTTTACCATTGTTGTCAACGAAGTGACTTGTATATCTAGGATACATGTAAAATTCAGGTGGAGAAACAGTCATCAGCCTGCTCCAATGCTTCTTCATCACCCACAAGTGTATCTTATTTGTATCCAAGGGCTTATGTAACAAAGAGAACCCTTCTCCTCTGAAAACGCCTAGAGAAAGAGTTTTCTCCAAATTTTTAGAGCCAATGCATGAAGGAGGAAGAAACAAAGACGCAAATCTCTCTTTAGAGAAATCAAAACTCTGTATCGTTGCAAAAGCTTTACCATTTAGATAACCTAGCCAATAAGGGGTTCCTCTCACACTCACACTAGACTCTGGTTCTTGAAAGAACCCATCAAAGCTTTTATCAACAACAACCCTCCAAGAATCAGAGTTGAATTCGTAGACTTCAATCCTCGATTTTCCAACATCACAAGGACGGCAAAGAAACCTAACGATTCTGTAATCACAATGACCTGATGATTGGTTATTACTAATACATCCAAGACCATATCCATACACATCCTTGAACTGGTCACAGTTGATCCATCTTGCTTGTTTCAACAAAGGATTCAAAACTAAAAGTTTGGATCTCATGACAAACAGCAATAAACCATCACAGTGACACATGTCCTCTACCAATAAATTTGTGGTCGAAATTGGTTGCAAAACCTGCAGATTCAAACAAGGGTTTAGGAGTTCGTCGAAGCCGACACCTACACAACACACTGTGAAAGTGAACAAGTGTAAGTGATTGTGGTTGATGACTATGAATTGTTGCGCAAGGCCACGCATATGTGACAAGTGCTTCTTGATGAATCTTGGCTCGGCGATTAGGGTTTCCCACTGCTTGCATGTGGTTTTCAATAGTACTAGAGATCTAGATGGAACCCATGAGAGTATCTCCTCTATCAAATCAGACGAAAGCTCCATCGCCATCGTCGTCCTCTGACTTTGAGGAATTTTTATTATGAGTTTCAAATTTTGACCCCCTACACACAATATATAGTCTACACTTCAGACAAGTGGAGACTGGAATGTGGCCCATTTATCTGATTAAGGCCCAACATGATAAATCCACATATACTACGACAACAGCTCTAATTTTGATTTCAGATTATTGTAAACAAGATTACACGTGTTTTAGACATTAGTTGAGGGAAAACTATATAACTTCATTAATGGAAATAAACTTCCAAACAGTTAAATTATCTAAAGGTGTTTGTATCTTATCATCTTATGCGTCCGTCTGTGTCCTTGAGTTGTAAAGTTTTTAGATTTTCATTTTTAATTGCCCTTGATTTTATTGGGAATAAAGAGGGTTTTGTTAATTAAAAACAAGACTTTGGTTTAAATCAGAATTATAATTTATGTCCACCATAAATAAGTCATGTAATGTCTTGACGAAACAACTTTCTAATAGAGAAACTCATTGACCAATTTCGAACAACAAACATCAGGGGCCGACCATATTTCCAAAATTTATTTTTTTGCTAAATAAAGGAAAGAAAAATATATTCCAATTTTGGATGTGTCTTTTGGTTAAACCAAGGGAAATTTGGTAGAACTACTTTAATTAAAAAGTTAAAATCCGAAAAGGGAATTCCGTTTTTACAATTTTTTATCTATCAAAAATAAAATATTAAAAATAATTTAAAAGTTATAAGATAATTCAATAAGTGAGTTCAACGCATGATGTGGTTTGAACGTTGAAAGACTTCTTGAAAGGAAGAAATGGGTATATACAGAAAAAAGAAGTTCTTATCTTTTTTCATATGATATATGATTCGTCCTAAAATTAATGCATGGTTTGGCGCAACGACGAAGGAGGATTGAAAGGTTAGATCCATCATATCTTTATTGATTTAAAACATTCAATATTGTTTTAAATGGTTATAGTGAAATGTTTTGCAGTTTAAGACAATCTGTTGAACAGTTGTACTACCATCACTTATCTGTTTAGTCTGTTTATTAGTATACATGAATAATTTGTATATTAACTAAATAATTGAAGAGTGTGATTCACAATATTATAGTATAATTCATCTTTCAAAATTACTGTAATATATTGTCGGTGGCCAAAAAAAAAATCCTAAGTGAGTGAGACTGAGATATCTGGATGTATAGTTCAGTATATGTGCACAACAATGTATTATGATGTTAGATTTTAAAAATTATTTTAAAATTTTATAGAAGTTAATGTTGTTCACGGTACAACTTGGTAGCCCCAACATATTTGGGTTGGAATTTAAGTGTCCACCTTACTACTGACAGTTTCATTTATATTTGATACGTCTGCGTCAGATTTACCCATTTCGTCGTGGTACAAGACGATCTTATAGAATTGATATAATTCGATAAATAGCATATATATATATACTAATTCTCTTTTGTCTAGATTGTTGACTAAGACTGTTTTATCTCTACAACGCTTATAACATAACTATAACTATATATTTGTTAAAATTATAATGGCATTAATATTTCAAGTAATTAATGAACCATGCATTACACCAACAAACATATAAGTATGAACCAACAGAAACTGCATATGATTTATATATAAATAGTATATATTATACACTCCTTGAAAATAGATAAAGATAGTTCAAAATGAACAACATATTAAAATAGCTAAGATTAATGCCACGTAAATACGAAGGAATTAAAATATTAATTACCCACACATATCGCATTCTCATACAAAACGAAACTAGTTTAAGTCCTTGACATGATCTGAGCTTTGAGTGAATTTTTCATCACGACAGTGAACGCGTAAGTCTCAGTCGGGTCGGGTGGAGGACCCGGAACCGGGATCCATTTGAACTTATGGATCATCCTAGCAAGCATCAAGTTGATGTGGTGAATCCCCAAGGACCAAGCCGGGCATATCCGACGACCCGCACCAAAAGGCAACATTGTAACGCCACGTGTCCCGGTCCAGTCAGCATCAACGCCGTCCCCACCGGTTAAAAACCTCTCGGGGCGAAACTTACCCGGATCCGACCAAATCTCCGGGTTCTCAGTAACCCATGCAGTGTAAAATTCCACATACGCCCCCGCCGGGATATCGTACCCTCCTAGCTCGGTATCTTTAACTGCGGCGTGGGAGAGAAGGAAATGTCCCGGTGGATGTCGCCGGAGGGTCTCTTTCACTATGGCTTCCAAATAAGGCATTTTCGCCACGTCATCCTCTTCAACGACACCGTTTTTGCCAACAACTCCAACAACTTCCTCGTACAGCTTCTCTTGAATGTTTTGGTCACTCACCAGATGACATAACGCCCATTCAAGTGTCGTTGCACTCGTGTCTGTGCCGGCTGAGACAATCTCCGAACACAAAGTCACGATCTCTTCGTCTCGAAGCTCACCGCCTCTCTCGACCAGGTTCAAACCAAACAAAGAATCCACATAAGCTGCACCAATCGGACTAACCATCTCTTCGTTAGGACTCTCCTTAGCGAGAACGAACTTACGACGGTTTCTTATCAACGGAACAAGACAGTCGAGCTGCGTCTTCCTCAGCTCTCTCGCTTCACGAACTTGACGCCGAAACAACGGAGTAAAAACCGGCAAAAAGTCAGGTAACGTCGGAGAAGTTATGAGCATAACGTCCTTGAGAACATTCTCTATGTTCTTAATCTTCTCCTCGCTGATCTTGGCACCGAAACAAAGACAGATCAAGATGCTACAGATCGTTAGCCTACACTGGCTCATAACCTCCACGAAACCTTTCTCAATATTCTCCGTTTTAATCCTCTTCATATGATTCTCCATAGCCCAAGTCCGTATCCACGAGCACTGCTTCACCCTCTGCGCGGTCACTAGCTCCGTCACAAAGTTCCTCCTCAGAGTCCTCCACAAAGATCCGTACTCCGCTGAGTTTATAGCGCATTTCCCAACACTAAACATGAGCCTGATTGGTGAATCCGGAGGACGTGAAGCGAAGGTTGGCCCGCGTTGGACTAGCGCCTCGTGGATGAGCTTCTCGTCCGTGATGATAATCATCGTACGTTGTCCCATCTGCATGGTGAATATTGGACCATACTTTTTACGTAGGTCACGCATTATGAAGACGAAATGGCGACGTTGGAATATGACTTGGAGTAGGTTACCGACTAGTGGCCATCCTTTTGGCCCCGGCGGGATGTTCAGGTTACACTGACTCCTTCCGGCGGAAGAGAACCGGCGCCACCATAGGTTGATGAAATAGAGAGCGAACAAGAAAATGATAACGTCGGTAAGATCCATGGGGTTGATATTAATGGAAAGAGAAGGATGGGAGATGTAAATGAAGAAGAATGTGTTATTAGATGTATTGTTTTATATAGGGCAAGTTTAGAGTGAAGAAGAGAGGTTTATTTAGGGTTCTTATATAGAGGGAAAATATATGTAACTAAATGTGATGAAGTGAATCTGCCAGTGCCACATGAACCAAACGAGTAATTGGTCTCACCAACCACCTGTCATCTGTGTGCATTTACTGCTTTGCCTACTGTATATAATTGGTATATGGTTTAAGTTTACAATTACATTTTAACCTATTTAGTAATATATATACTAATTAAAATTATAGTTTTCTATAAGAACATATTTTTAAGGTATATGTGTTCATAGGGGACACATTAGTCATCGCATATTCCTTCGGCAACATTATTAATTTATCAGGGGATGCGTAACTATGTTTTATCATACAATATTAATTGCGAGCGTCTAGGGTCTTCGCTAGACTATTTTAGTTTAGACAAGTTTATCAACGGCTAGATTTAAATATAAAAGGTACACTATGAGTACTTAGCATTGCAACATACATATATGTTAAGATAGTATTATGCTAATAATAGAATCAATAAGTGAAAACACTCGATTACCAATATTCGTAAAACCCCGTACAAAGTTGGTTCTTGTCGAACTTGTTAGACATATAAAGCCTCTTTGAGTCTTTAATTACTCTCTGAAGAATTTACAGAGACGGGTGGAGGTTAGCTGGCCAAGTGTTAATGTCTTTATTGGGTCAAAATATCGTGATTTATGTTTCTTTTCATTTTGATTATGTACTTTTCTTCAATTCATTGTTTTAAAGACATAGCTAGCTAGGTATTCTATGATATATATTTTTACTTTTAGACAGCTCTTATAATTTACATGTACATATCAAAATCAATGTTAATACTTTATAGGTAATGTACGCGGCATTGGATACCACTCAATTTACAATGATTCATTCCGAGAAAATCAATTCACCTACATACAGACTATGCACTTAATCCAAATTTTGATATCTACAATTGATAAATACAGTTTTATTTATTCATATGTTAAAAGGATAGAAAGAAACCAACTTACGTATGAAAATGTTAAGACGCAAACCAAACGAAAACAGAGCAAACCGTATAGAAAAAAAACAGAGAATTCACATCACATGACGGGTGATCAAAGTCTACTATTCATCTTCCTTCCATGGTTGATTGCGTTGCTTCGTTAAGAGAGAACACGTAGTCGGACGGCACTAACCTCTTATTGCAGTTTAAAACGTTTGTGAACATTGATTGTTTTGGAGCCGGGAGATCATGATCGTAACTCAACATATACACGATTTGCGAAATTGTTGGCCTGTCTTTTGGATGATCTTGAAGGCAAAGAAGCGCGATGTGAATGCACTCATGACACATAGTCTTCTTGACTCAGGAGTCAAGTCACCCATGAGTCCATGACACATACGAAGAAGAAAAAAACAGACAAACTTCCAAAAAGTGAAAAGGAAAGTTACAATGTATTTATATATCAGTAGGTTTGCACTAAGTATTAACTTTATTAGATTATTCAATTAAGTTGAACTTTTGGATCTTTTGGAAGAAGGTAAACTATATTATACAATCATAGCAGTAGGCCAAGATTTTTAAGGCGTTGATCTTCCAACTCCATTTGCTCAGATCCGCCGATTACATATAACCTTCCTGAGATTTTCACAGGAATCATCTTTTGTCCTCTGCTCTCAGTATCTTGGTGCATCAAACTCCCCTATGAAAACCGCTCCTCCTTCAACTCCCTCACTGCTTGGCCTGCTCAAAGAAATAAAACGAACAAATAATCAACCAAAACGCTCACAGGAATAGAAGAGATTTAAGTTAGAATCAGAACTGCAATTCAACATTAGCCTTCTCATAGTGTTAGAGTTAGCTAAATCTTGATCTGTGATCATTTGCAATTTAAGATTTTTCAGAGAAACATCAAGATTGATGCCTGCTCTTATTGCCAAGCAAAAAGGCATCATCTTAATGTTAATCAAAGGGCATATTTGTGTGTTTGCTTTTCTCTCTCATATTCTCATCTAAGATAATGAGACAGAAGCCTCGTGCAGACTATCAAACGGTCTACTGTTTTCATTCTTTTTTTTACCTGAGAATAGATGAAAGTTCCAAGAATTGCAATGGCAGCTCCAAGGGCATTGACAGGTTTAATCGGGTTTTGAAAGATGATGATCGAGGCTACAATGACTGATATCCGCTTCATTGTGTTTCCAACGCTAAATGTCAGTGGTGAAATCTGGTCGAGGGACATGTAGGAGACTTGATTATACAGATGGTAGAAAACACTCTGTGCCACAACCCACCTGAATTCAAACATTTAAGATCAAATACTTTACAAGGTTTCACATCAACTTCTTTGAAAAGCTTATCTCTTTTGTTTTGTACTAAGATCAATGGATAAAAATTACCAGACGAAGTTTGGTCCGATTTGTGAGACAGCGTTTTGCCAACCAGCAGCCCACATTTGGGGACCTTCCACGGCAATGGCGAAAGGAGTGACGATCAGAAGAGACATCATCGATAAGCAAGCGTAGTAATTCATCCCACTCACTGACTTCCCCTTCATCCCCTTCTTAGAGAATATATTACGAAATACAAACGCCAAATTTGATATCATCGCCCCCATAAATCCTGAAAAACCAAGCAAAACGCTTTTAGCTACCATAAGATATGTTGCATTGACTCACAAACAAACACTTCACTGAATGACAACAGCTTTTAAAGACAATATATGTATGTATTTGATTACCGATCATATTGAAGTTGAGCTCAGTGACAGCAGCGAGAGCACAGCCTCCAATAATGGGTAAGAGGGAGAGGTAAACAGGTAGAGGGAATGCCTCGCCTAAGAAGAGGCTTGAGACGAGGACGCTAAAGGCTGGTTCACTGCTTTTGATGATGTGTGTGAAGGACACTGCAACTTTTGACATACTCACTGTTGCCGCTACATGTCCAATCGTATGCGCCAAGGCCACCTGAACAATCAATCCATCATCACACAGTTCCATCAGTATTACTTAGACACTTCATCTATAACAAAATCAGTTTCCAGGATTTATAGTTTCTATAATAAGACGAGCCCTTTTCAAATTTCAAGATCAACAACACCTAAAGCAAGACAATTTATCAAGCAACAACACTAACGAAAGTTAGATTCTTTACCGGGAACAGAGTTTTCCAGAAATCGATATCGGTTTTAGGAGCTTCTGCGACTCCAGTGACCCAAGAGACAAGCATCATCAAAGACCCACAAGCGAGAGAAAGCGTCGAAGTTAGCCACGGGTAAGGAAAAGCATTCAAAACCTTCTTGTTGTAGATATTGAACACAACATTCAACGCCCACCAAGTTGCGAAATAGATCCCAATCTTCACCTTCTGCCCAGATTGTTCGTCAGGGACTTCGACACCAATCTCAATCGGACGAGACCGATCAGCCTCGTAAGCTCCAACCCTAAAAACATCACTCCTCTGCTGAGGCGCCGCCGCCGCCGCAAAAGTGAAATTCGACAAACTCCGAGCAGACAAAAGATGCTTCTTAGGTAAAGGATTAGGCTTTTGGAAGGATCCGGTAATGGGTAAAGGACAAAATCGAAGCTTTGCCGGAATTGATCGTCTTACGCCGGCGATTGCGGTTAAGGAAGGTGAAACCGGTTTAATTGAAGAAATCATCGATCTTATTTGGGATTCACAATTCGCAACCACTGGGGAATGTAGGAAGCAATGATCTCGAAGTGGGTTTGGTTGAAGATTTGATAAGAGAAGGGAAAGAGCCGTTTGTTTCTTGGGAAAATGGAAGAGACAGAGAAGCTAAAGAGAAGGCTTTTATAGGGTAAGGGAGGAGCCGAGGAGGTGAGGGCAGAGAGGAGGGAAAGCATGGGTCTTTGTAGCTTGTCGACAAAAGGGAAAATTTCAGCTCATGTTTAATTACGTAACTACCCTTAGATTGTGTCTATTCGTGAGCTCTATGAGATGGGTCTTTAGTATTTACGTCTTGTTGGCTGTAGAGACTGCCCATGAGTTAAGTAAGCATATAGCATCTGTGTTTTTTTGATAAGAGAATGAAATTAAAATACGAGTTAGTGTCTTAGTGATTGGTTTAAGCATGTTAAGCAAAACCAATTAATTCCAATTTCTTCTTCTTTTGTTTTGTCAACTGTATATATTATGAATCTTGACTAATAGAAAACTATGTTTTACGTCTTTTAATATACAGATGTTTATCATAATCATAATCATGCACTTATGGTAGCCTTGTAATTTTAATACGTGCTTAATAAGATAGTCAAATATATTCGATTTTCGGTGTTAAATTCTTACAAAATGCTGGGGTTTTTTTTTGATGTAGTAAATTATGTAGTGGATTGGGATAAACAGAAAATATATTCATTTCAGTTAGCAAATTTTCATTTTTAGTAGCCTTTTTCAGAAAAACATTTTTAGGAGTAGCACAAAATAACGTAAATATGTTGCTATTTTGTGTAGTTTTATAGGATTTTTTTCTTATTATATAAAGTACCAATATGTATTATAATGTTAATCTATTATATAATATCTAAAAAAATATATGAAAGCCTTTTTACTTTCATTTATCTGGAAAACTCTTATTATTTGCACAATAGGTATTCAAAACACCGAAGATCCAAATAGAAGCGTTCATGTTTATGTATGCGTTTGTTATATATGTTTATAACTTATAGAAAGCATATGGCAGACCATAATAATATTATATACTAAGTAAGATGAGTTTTTAATGTTAAAGTCTTTGATCCAAAAAAAAAAAAATACTAATAAATTATGTACTATAGTTTTAATGATTTTTTCGATGTTTTCTTTTTTTGATAGTTTAGATGTGCTACTTTTGACCCAAGACGATACGGTACTTTAAAAAAAAAACAATATTAGCTTAATAAAACACTAGAGGAGAACCCGTGCTTGCGCACGGTTGAATATTTTTTTTTGTTATAAAAATTAAAATATGTAATGTATAAAATATGTATTGTATAAATATTTGGTGGTTTTTGTATATTTTTTTCTCTATAATTAATAGATAAGTGTGTATTAATTTTACTATGTATATTTTTTGGCTTTTATATAAGCACGCATATATTGTAATATAGGTATATATATATATATATTTAACCGTATGTGTAATATCGAAAAATATATAGAGCACTGTAGTGTGGTCAACCTTTGTAAATTGAAAATATTTGTTTAAATATAGTTTGAAGGTTTGTTTAAATGACTAATACTTGTGTCTGTTAAAGTAGAGATTAGATTTTTTCCGAAATTTTTTGTTATTGGGAATAATTTATGATAAACTAATCTTTCAATATTCAAAATGAATGGAAAACGAAAATGTATAGAGTAGACGGTTTTATTGAGTATTTATTTTGCTGATATGTAATTCTGTTGGTGGGTATTCAACTGCAATGAAAGTAAAAAAAAATTATATGAGAAAATGTCATATAAAAAACACCAATTAGTAAAACTTAGTTTATTAATTTTAAATGAAAGGTAAAGTATTTATACCTGCAACAGTTATTCTAAATGCTCAAAAGAAAATGATCAAGAAAATGTCATCTTTATTTGCTTGATCATTGTAATGACCTGGAAAAAAAAAACTTGAAATAGATCAAATGTATGAATGTAAATGATTAAGAAGAAAATATAAGTAATAAATCAGAAGAAAAAAGATTTAAAACCTGAAGTTTCTAACGAAGGTTTCGAAATACTTCTTTGAATACGACATTAAGTGTTTTCCATTGTGGCTTTCCTTTTGTATCTGTAATAAGAACCTTCAAACCTGCTTTTGATTTCACCCTTGACAATGCGACATATAACTGCCCATGAGAAAACACCGGTCTAGGCAAGTATATACCAACATAAGATAGGGACTGCCCTTGACTCTTGTTGATAGTCATAGCAAATGCAACAGACACCGGAAATTGTCTTCTTCTCATTTTGAAAGGCAATCTCGTATCTGATGGTGTGATCAACATTCTTGGTATTATAACAATTTTCCCAACTTTTGTGCCTGTTAAAATCCGAGCTTGAATAACATGGTCAGCCATTTGCATAATCTGAAGTCTTGTACCATTCATCAAGCCACCATGAGGATCAATATTGCGCATCAACATTATCGGACAACCAATTTTAAGACGAAGTCTATGGTAGGGCAACCCAGAAACCTTGATAGTATTTAGGAAATCAGGAGAATATACCGAATTTTTTTGGGAACGTTTATCTTGAGGGTCGATTGAATCTGAACTTAAATAGATTCGTTCTTCACCTGCAAACAAAATAAATTTTGTTCTCAACGGTTAATTTTTTGCTTTAACTTAATTCATATTACGGATATAAAATTAATAAGTAAAGAAGTACAAAACATTTACTAACCGTTGAGTGCTGATAACATTAGATCATTTATAGAATTAACATCCTCATTGGTTGGAGCAAGAATAGCTCGTTCTTGGAAGAATTTCGGATCATTCTCCATTGCAAAGGTTGTGCCATAAACCGCTTTTATGATCGATTCCAAAGGAGACTGAGCCTCAGAAATGAGAATATCTTCTGGTATATCAATTTCCGCAATTCCATCATTAGGCTCGTTAACCTTTCCTTCTCCAATAGATAGAATCCATTTAGAGAACTCTTCAATCTCTCGGGCATCGGTAGAAGCAATGTTCTGCATGAGTCTCATGTTCTTGGTCAACCTCAAGACTTTGCAGTGATTCCATAAAGCGGAAGAGTTCAAAGAAGCACTAACAATTTCTTCCCTTCCACCGCCTACAATGACGGGAAGTATATGTCTGAAATCACCTCCAAATAGCACTACTTTTCCTCCAAACGGTAGTTCAGTATTTTGCATGATATCTCTCAAGCTCCTATCTAATGTCTCAAAACAGTACTTACTCATCATCGGAGCTTCATCCCATATTATTAACTTTGCTTCTTTCACCAATTCACCAAGTTCTGATTCACGGGACATGTTGCATGTAGTTGTTTCAGTTGGAGTCAAAGGTAGTGCGAACCTCGAGTGGGCTGTTCTTCCACCTTCTAATAATAAAGAAGCAATTCCACTTGATGCAACATTCAGAACAATATCTCCTTTTGATCTGATTGCTGCAGACAATACTTTCCACAAAAACGTTTTACCGGTACCTCCAAATCCATATAAGAAGAAAACTCCTCCATTGTCTTTTTGAACAGATTGTATAATCTCATCATAACATTTCCTCTGTTCTTCCGTTAACATCTGCAACCAACCAGCATGCTTTTTAGTCAATTCTTCGCGTGGATAGTTGCGTTCATCCAATATCAACTGATTATGTGTGGGTGCATCTTCTCTTGATAGCTGAGGCAAGACTTTAAATTTTTTAAGAGATGATCCATTTCTCTTCAAAAGCTTTTCTATCTCTCTAAGGGTGAAATTTATTTTCTCCTTCTCGCTCAAGATAAGATCTATTAAAAAAGAAGTGAAATTTAGAGTAGATAAAAATATAAGTTATAAAGTACTCACATTTAGATAGATTAAAATCATACCTTGACGTTTTGTCTTTCGTCTTAGTTTCGTTTCTATATCTTCTGCCAAAATATGCCATGTTTGTTCCCATAAATTTCGTGGATCGCTTAAGCTCTCAGATAAAAGCATTATAACGAAAAGTCTTCGGGAAAATTTAGACGAACACCAAAAATTGGTTTCCTTTATACCTTCAATATACTCCTTATCATCATCTAACAACCCTAGAGCATAACAGGCATCTCTGTATGATTTATGAACAATACCTTTGACAGTTTTAATGTCATTAAAACAGGTTGCTCCAGGTACGTTGTTTAGAAGAATCCGCAAATGGTATGAATCGTCTAAATTATGTGGGACAAAATTTATCCTCCCAATCGAAAATCCTGTTCTCCCTCTTCGACGAAACATTTTTTTCTTCTTATCCCAAATGTAATTGTTTGGAATCTGTTCATATAACACTTTCTTTGCATCAGCATCCCTCTGATTGAGTTCAAACCAACTGGTAAACATGGTATCATCAATACTTGGTCGATTCAACACATCTTGTGGAGTGTCATTGTCTTTGAAAAACAAAGGCTGCTTCCCTTCTTCATGAAAGCTAAGCTTCATTACCGGTGTTGTTCTAAAATGTATAGGATACTTTTGTATCCTCCACTCTGCTTCACATGCAGAAACATATCTGAAATTGTTAAACAAAGATTAATAATTTTTAAATCGAATATGTTATTAAATACACTATATCTATAATATTAAATGTAAAAATAAATTGTTAGTTTTTAACATTTACCTGCAGTCAAAATAATCTTGAACATCATCACTTGTTTTTTTTTCCGTATTAGTGTCACCTTCTTGATCCTCTTCATCCCCAGCCTCCACAGCAACTGTGACACGATCTGGACCTTTGTGTACATACTTAAATAAGTATTTCACAGATCCAGTTTGGTTACACCATTCGACATTTATGTGAGCTCGGTACCTTAAAGACAACAATCTATTGTATGGGACAACATATCTATTATCGCACTTGAAACCACTCTTTTCAATAAAACGACCATCATTCCTTCTTCTGTAGATTGGAAATCCATCTCTGTCCAGATTGGTTATCTCAACAAATTCCTTTGGAAAGAATTTTGAACATTTGCCGTCAACCATACATGGAGAATTGTTGTTAACACTTCCACATGGACCATGTATCATACATTCTTTCACTACTTCGTATATCTCCGGATCATTCTCTTTATCTGGAATCTCCGCCGAAATTATGCTGTCAATGTGAGCAGATGTCGGGAATTTATGTTTTTCATCCATCCAAAGAATGATATGAGCATGAGGTAGTCCACGTTTTTGGAACTCAATCTGATAAATGGCTGCATTAAAATATTCAAAATGTCACTTTTGTTCAAATAAAATTAATAAACTCTAATAAATAAAAGAAATACCTGAGATAGTTTTTCCCAGATAATGTTTCCTGGTCAAATCATCCATGAGATTATCAAGTTTCATCTTAAAAATTCTGCATATGACGTCCGGCCTATCATCTGCATTTAGCTTTCTCGCATTGACAAATCTTGTTATTTCCGGCCACTTGGCGTTGCACGTGAATGTTACAAACAGGTCTGGGAATCCAAAATGTTTACATGACGCCATAGCATCCAAATAATTCTGCCTCATATAACTTGGACCACCAGTGAACGAAGGTGGTATGACAACTCTATTTCCTTGGTTAATCAGACTTTCATCTCCTGCGTCTGCTGCATTTTGAACTGATTGTATATTGGAGCTGCGTATTTTCTTCTGGTTTTTTTTAATATATCTGAGACGATTAGACTCTATCATCGTATATGCATCAACCATGAACTGCTGCAATAAACGCTTAGACCGAAAGAGGGTATGTTTCTCATCTTTTCTCTCGTGAAGTCTATAAGCAAACCACTGTCTCATACTGATATCCTTTTGCTTTTTCTGTTTCGAACCAGGTTTCGGAGTCTTTTTGATCCCAAGCGTATAACCATCTTCTCCCCTTGGAAACAAAAGTGGGTATTGCAAGGCAAGATAAGCAACATGACATTCATGAATTCTTTTCAACTTACCAGATGATCTTTGTAGGACTATGTCACGTTTATTCAAATTTTCTTCCATATCATCAGGTATAAGTGCAGCGACTTCAGAAGCTGTTGGAAGGTTATATACACGGGCATCTTTCTCACGTGAAGAGACAATACGCATATGGAAATTAGCTTTTTCTTTATCCATCTCGAATCTGTCTCTAGCAAATCGGAAAGCTTGTACGTGAGGATTAATCTCATCCAACATCTTTAATAATTTCTCCACCAATTCCTTTCTGAACTTTTTCCTTTTTGATACACCCTCATCGTCCTTGCCTTTGCTGAAAAATATATTTAAAATTCAAGTATGAGTAAGTAAACAAATATAGATATTGGACTAAATATAGAATAGTATAGTGTAAAATATGTTATGAGTTAATATACCTCATAATATTCATCCGATTAGCGACTTCGTTTTCAGTATCAACAATATATAATTGTTGGAATTTTGCATGATCGCCATCTTTTGGTTTCAAGGCACCCATGAGATGATAGTTCTCTCCTTGTAGTGCAAACATAGAAGGTCCATGACCCTTTTTTACTGCATGGTCAACCTTCCCACCAATTGACGTAAATGAGAATATCATGTTGTAAGCTCTTATATTTTCCCTGAAATGCTTGGCAAGTTGATCATCTGAAGTTAGCAACCACAACAATAATTCAGGTGGCTCTTTCAGCTCTGGTAGAACAATTTGACCATGCATACAACATCCGCTGTATATTGGGTTATTTGTATTCCTCCTTTTATTAAGCCTTTCACCATACCAAAACAGTGCACCACAGTATTGGCATGAATGTACAGGGTCACCATCATCAACATAAGCTATTAAAAATTCAAAAAACACAAAGTTAATTTTTTTCCATTTAGAAAGCATAATTTCAAAAACGACACACATATCGTTTTTTCAATTCATATAAAAACCAAAATGGATACATACCATCTTTTGCTTGTGTTTTTCTTTTTCTTTCAGATGTGGGTGTTGTTGTCCCAAAGAACTTTTCAAAACTGTCGTCAATGACCTTAAACAATTCTTCACGGGTTTTGCTTTGATTATGTATCTCCTCGGGTGTATGATCATCTTCTGATGAATAATAAGGTTCATCTTCTTGACTACTACAATCAAAAACTTGATCTTCATATTCCTCAGAATCTGATAAAAATGAGAAATTAAAATAATGTAGTTTTTAAGAAGTACCAAACAAATGACATCTAATTAGTAAAGTTTTTTCATATTTTTAAAACAGTAATATACCACTATCATCATCCTCAACGTCTATTTGGCAAGGGTCCGAGTCTTCTGAATCATCATCCAAATCTCTGAATTTACTAATAGTATTTGGATCGAATGATGGATATGTGTTTCCCAGATTAATGGTTCCTATAGAATGAACAAATATTTTGATATAATATTATTATTTTATATACTCCTAGATCATAATGTTAATCAGTACAAAAAAAAACAATTAACAGTTTTTAAAGAATACCTGATTTAGTGGAGACATTTTTCTCTTTTATACTTCTGGAGATGTCATTAGTTATAACTGATTCATTTGTATTTCCTCTGAATACATTACCAATATGAGAATCTCTACAGTCATTTGTACTTGTAGTGGTCGAGCCGAAGAGGGAGTTACTATAGTTTTTTGTTATTAAATAATAAATTAGACAATTAATAATTTATTTTTAAATAATGTAAGGCTAATGTATATGTTTAACTTACCTGTCTGATATTGTTGCTTTCTTCCATTTTTTTTAAGAGTAGAAAGCCGACGAATTGGACCAAAATTTGGATTCAGTTTATTTTGATTAGATATATCGCCCAAAACTTGTGAAGCTTGTCTTTTGTGTTGACCTAATATATCCAAAAATTATAGAGTGTGAGAGTCCAAAAACATTTATAGGTCATTTTTGAACATAGATTATAATTACACAAACTATTTACTTACCACCAACTGGTTTTGCAACACTTGGAGGGGTCAAAGAGGAGATTTGTGAAGTAGTCAGGACTGATGCACTTGAAGAAGCTCCATGATTTTTTTGTCGCCTCCTTGAATCTTGTATATTTGTTATATCCGTAAGAACTCTTCCAAAAACGGATTTCATAGGGACTGTTTGATTACATCGAATGTTTGGTCTTAATGGGTGTATGTTTTCGGAACTATAGTTTTAATGATTTTTTCGATGTTTTCTTTTTTTGATAGTTTAGATGTGCTACTTTTGACCCAAGACGATACGGTAGTTTAAAAAAAAAACAATATTAGCTTAATAAAACATGCATTATTAACTCTTGGTAGAAAAATATTGAAATTAAAATATGGGTTAATGATTGGTTTAATTAAGTAAAAACCAATTAAATTCAATGGTTTAATTAAGTAAAAACCAATTAAATTCAATTCTTTGTACTTCGTTTGGTCAACTGTATATTATACGACTCTTATGATCAGTTAAGAAACACCATGATGAGAAAATAACAGATCTACGTAATATTGTAGTTACGATCTTATTCATCAAACCACATCTTAATTGATAAGAAATTTACAAGGAGTTGAGAAATTTAAGTTAGCTAGTACATCGGAATTTTGGAGTATTTGTATTTTATCTATATATAGTGAGTGATGGTTGTCACTGCACCTACACGGCTATTCAATTTTTTGGAAGAGTTAAGTGTAGTGATATGGAAATATGGAATCCTGTTGAGTCAACAGTTAGGAAAGAGCATGCCTCGTTGGATGAGAGTGTCAAGATCTTTGTCGCCACGGCCACTACAATTCACGACCACCTTGGCTCCATCACTCAGAGTAGGAATGAGTTTGTCGAGGAACGCAAGTGCGTGAGACGTTTCCAGTGCCGGTATTATTCCCTCCAATCTACTCAATCGCATGCATGCTGCAATCGGCAATATATAAGATTAACATTCAATATTTTGTGAGTAAAGTAACTATATATATAAAAAGGTAGGGAGGTACCTTGAATGGCTTCTTGGTCTGTTGCTGTGTAGAACTCAGCTCTTCCGCTTTCTTTCAGGAAGCTAATCTCCGGTCCAACTCCAGGATATTCTAACCTACGACCAAATGAGGTTTATTACTACTCTTTGCTTATCACTAAACCGAGACGATTAACTCAGATATTGTCTGAATTTTCTGAAAAACTGTAAATATATATTAAAGATAACCAAATTTGTTTGAAATTATAACTATCACTCGTACTTACCCTACTCCTACGGAGTGTGGTTTGAGTATCTGTCCTTGATCATCTTGCATTAAATAGCTCATGGAACCATGGTACACACCAACATGTCCAATGGCCAAAGTAGCTGAATGTTTCCCAGAATCCAGACCGAGCCCTGCGGCCTCGACACCTACTAACCGCACATCCTCGTCTCCAACAAACTCATGGAACAATCCCAACGCGTTTGAGCCACTTCCAAGGCAAGCAACTAATACATCAGGTTTACCACCCCATAGTTGTTTGGCTTGCCTTCTTGTCTCTTTCCCGATCACGGACTGAAACTCACGTACCATTATCGGACATGGGTGAGGGCCTACGACCGTACCGCATAAGTTGTATGTGGAATCAAGGTTTTCGACCCAATATCGAATCGCCTCTGAACTTGCATCTTTGAATGTTCCTTCCACTGATTTCACCTATTAAAACCATGCTCGATAAATAAAACAATGTTGATGTTCTGTATACGTGATTATTGGTGTTTCCTACATATACTTTTTTTTTTTACGATCATTTCTGCATATAATAAATAAAATACTCATCTACGTAGAAATCAATTAAAATTTTGTGTTAGCGTAAATATTTTTGGTGAAATTTGCATCATGTTTTTATTGTTGTTGAAATACCAACATCATATTTTGGGAGTAAATTACCAACATCAAATTTATTGCTAGATATATCGTACCTCCTGTTCTAATTTAATTTTCCGATAAATATGTTGCTCAAACTTCTTATCTCAGTTACTTGGTCCGTTTGAAATTATGTAAATCTCAGATATATAAAGTATATATTTTAAATGGGAGTGGTCGCTTACTTTTTCTATGTCGGTTAACTTTTAAAACTGAGTGAGCAGAGTAAATATTTTTACACACAAAATGACAAAAATATGTGAAAAAACTTTATGTTTTATCTTATATTTATTTTTGTTTTATGTTATATTTATTTTGATATACTGTATAAAACAAAATTTTACCTGAGCACCAAGCAGTTTCATGGAAAGTACATTAGAGAATTGTTTCTCTATATCAGTAGCTCCCATGAAAACAGTACAATCCAAGGAGAGCTTTGCACAGGCAGCAGCTGTGGCGACACCATGTTGTCCTGCTCCTGTGGCCGCCACCACACGGCTGCAACCAAGCCGCCGGGCAATCATGGCCTGAGCAAGAGCATTGTTGATTTTATGAGACCCACAGTGGCTAAGATCTTCCCTTTTCAGATAAATCTCAGGGCCACCTCCGATGGTTCTAGATATGTTCTTGTAGTGTTCGGTTAGACGTCCGGCGAAGTAGAGAGGCGTTTCTCTTCCTACGTAGTCTCTTAAGGCTATGGTAAGCTCCTCCTAATATTGTAATTAATAAATAAAAACCACACATATTAAAAAACAAACACTATATGTATACCAATAATCATGTGTAATTGTAAAACTCATTCTCTAGCTTATGAATTTATCTTTAATTTAATATTTTTCCTCATAACTTCTTTAGCGTCGGTCCGTACGTTTTTTTGGAATGTCTACTTCTTTTTGGACCGTACTAATAATTACATACAACCTGATCGCTTTTATTTGTAACCTAAATATTTTATAAAAAAAACGCATAATTCATTTTAATTTTCCCTTAAAGATTAAGATTATGTTAATTAAATTATATGAAAAGGCCAACCTGAAATTCGTGATCGCTCAAAATACAATGAAATTCGTCTTCGAGTTCTATCAGGCGAGACATCAGTGTCTCTGGTACAAACTTCCCACCGAACCTCCCGAATTTACCGGTAACGTCGCCAGAAAGAAAGTGGCTCTTATCGGATTTTGTTGGGACAGAACCCGAAGATGGACCACTCATACGGCTGAGTACATTGCTTTCACGGTGGAGAGGTTTTGTGGAAACTCCGCAAGCAACCGAGTGTATCACACGGTTGTTTCTTTTGGGAATCCTATGAAGTGGCTGCCCTCGTATCTGGATTTTAGTGGACAACATATTCTTCCTTTTTTTTTTTGGAACACTAATATTATTTGAGATTTTCTTAGGGAACATATGCGTTGATATGCTTATTTTTATAGTCTGAACGAGTACTGTATGGTCTATTTGTACTACTGCGCAACCATTTTACATACATGTTTAACACATTGTTGGATTTGGTCGGTATAGTACTCTTTAATTTTGAAATATATATTACTTTATTAATTAGGTATTTGAGATACATGTTAGGTTTTTCTATGGGAATTAAATGACTTGTTTTCATTTTATTTTAACTATAGAGAGATTTAATATCCACAATTTATCTAAGATTGTCACTTCTTCTAGAAGTGAGTAAATAAATCTTGGACAAGGAGTCTTTTTGAAAAATTTTAGTTAAAATGTTAATTTTCATGGACGTCTAATCCAAAATCAATAAGGAATGAATGTTGACATATATCTTAATTTTTATTCTAATTTTAGATGTGAATATGACATGGATGAATTATGAATGTTAATTATTAAATGCACTGTTTCATGAGCTATATATGTATTTTGTTCGGTTTCATGAGCTTTCATAATGCTTGAAGATAAGGTTAGACAATTCTTGTTTCTTTTTGCACCTTTAAATTAATCGTGCTTTGTACTGTGCTGACGTATAAAGTCAAATTAATCAAAAAGAACATAAAACTCTCAGATATTTCTGAGTCAGATATCGAGCATATAGGGACTAGGCACTAGGCAGGTCCAAGGTTCCAGGTTCGATGCATATCCTCCAATCTCCATCCTTTTGTATAAAGTGTATTAGTCGCAAGAGCTCACGAAAACTGTAAATAATTCTTCATTTCGCAAGAGCTGGTTCTTCAACATGTTTTCTTTCCAATACATTGAGTTACCTTGAAGGTTGTCAAAACGTTGTCCTTATAATTTAAGTTTCGTATAATAAGTTTATAATAACCAAAAGACAACAGAACTTCCCAATCAATATGAGATCGAGAATTCCTTGTCTACATGGTCAGTATAGATATGATTAGTCAATATCTTTCGTTACGTCGATTATTCATGACCACTATTCAAAATATCACCGCAGATGTCAGCTCTGCTGCTCTGTCCAACCTCACAGATCCACAAAATTTCCTCCTCGTTGTATAAATATGTTGAATATGACCAATTTGGCATCTTCAAATTACATCACCATGGCCTGCTCTGCATGTTCCTTCTCTATTGTCATTTGTCATGACCATGCCTCTCCTCTACCATATACGTGTATGACCCCTTCTTAAAACCAATACTCAAACATACATGTGTTTATTTATTCTTTCCGACACCTACCTGTTTGTTTTACGGAAAGTTTTCTTCGTTTCAATTTTTATAAACGTTCAAGACATTAAGTTTTTCATAGTGTGTGTATAGGTTAATTACAGACTATATACTGTATAATTCATACACAGAAAAAAATGTAGTCTAGTCAAGATTACACGGAAACTCAAAAGGAACCTAAACAAAGACAACCACTACAACTACAAGAACGTCGTACACGTCGTACTCATAGCTTATTTGGAAAATATTAACACGTAACCATGATTAAGATGTTGTGATTTATTATATTTAAAAAACATGTTTTCTCCGGTGAAAAGTTTCATCAAATTCGATTCTCTTGTTTCTCATTTATTTAACGCCATACTCATGTTCTCGCCATTTCTTTCTTATACCTGAACTAATTAAATAAAGTTTACTATTCATGGACATTGGATAACGTATTGAGTCATCTCATTGCTTAAATCCTACCACAAGTCACAACAACATCAGTCATGAGTGTATATATGGGCTTTAGAAGTAAACCATAATCCAAGTAAAACAGAGTATATAAACAAAAATCCAAAACAGAGTAGTATATAAACGATCGCTTTTGTTGTTTGTGAATACTAGAATTGCCTCACCATATCTTTAGTTCTTAATATTACACAAAATTATATATCCAATGTTGCAATTTCAGAAATTGATTTGAAAAAGAAAAATATCATAGCGAAGATGGAATTGATCTTACCTTTTGTAACCATAATACTAAATCTTGCATATGATAAAAAAAAAAAAAAAAGTAAAAACACTATAAGAAGTAAATTAAGAAAAACACACCCCCTCATATATTATTTTTGGTAGTTTATAATTTTTTTCAAGTAGTATAAGATGTCCCAAATATGAAGACAACTCTAAATACTGCATAAAGTGTGGCTGGTCCAGTTCAAACATGAGGCCCATATGCGTAGGCCTAACACATTCACTCAAACCCATTCTTAAATAACTCAGTTCGTATTCAGAAACCGGTTTAAAATGAAAAATCATCGGTTCTTAATTTGGGAATTACGGCAACGGAAGCGAATCTCTCCAATTCCAACTTACGGTTTTTTTTTTGGGACAGAAACTAGCAAACGCCGTTATATTTTGTTTTGCTGAATTTACTAAAGGAAACAAAAAAAAGTTATTGTTGACAACAACTTTTCTCCAAGTTTATATGTTTTTTTTTTTTGACATTCGGTTCTAATACCCTTTTTTTTTTTTTTTTTTTTTGTTAAACTGGTTCCAATACCCTCTTGCATGATCGTAATATATGTCGGCAGGACAAAACATTTCAAAATAGCTTAAAAAAATAATTATCTTAAAATTGTTAATTAGATAACTAAAAATAAAATTAAAATATAATTGACTAATTACACAACGTGGATTAATTGTTAAAAAGAGGCTATTATTAGAAGGAAATTAAAGAAACATTTAGCGACGAACAAATTCATGATGAGTATAGGAGAATAATCATCCTTAAACGTGCCCTATAACTGTTCAACATTTTTTTATGTATTGTTTTGCAAAATATTGCGAACTTTGGTTTGTCATCTAGTTCAAAACCTCAATTAGTTACTATAAATGTTGCAAGTCTTATATATCTATTTAAATTCAAATAATTAAACATACAGTATATATTTTGAAGTTGTCATGTATGTCATAAACGTTTATGAAGTTGTTAACAAACTCATGGATTTCTCACCTCTTCTCACACATCATTCCTTTCTTTTACCAATATACTCAAGTCTTAACATAGCTACGTGTTCAAGTAAGCCCACCACCATGTGCTCTCTTAGTTTATTTTTATTCTGTTGGTTTTTATTATAAATGGAGATATTTATTATTTTGTTGCCGACCATTTATGTGTTTATTATATTGTTGACTCATCAGTATCCCACACATAATGATATCTCTATATATAATGTTACATTCTCATAACTTCACAACGCACTTCCTTCAAACTTCTTCCGGTGTTAGCTCAAGTACCTTTGGATGGCGTCGAGGCCGGGATTTCTTACAGAATGGCCATGGAGTCCCCTCGGTGGCTTCAAGTACCTCTTGGTAGCCCCGTTTGCTCTGGCAAGCATGCATTCGTACATCACAGCGGAGGAGGAGGAGAAGGACCTTGGGCGCATGCTGATAGTGGCACTGATGCTGTGGAGAATGGTTCACTGTCAGATATGGATCAGCGTGTCGCGTCAGAAGACTGCCAAGGGGAGGAATAAGATCGTGGACAAGCCCATTGAGTTTGAGCAAGTGGACCGAGAACGCTCTTGGGATGACCAAATCATCTTCAACACTCTCTTGATGTATCTCCTCAACAACAAACTCCCAGGCTCCTCCCGCCTCCCCCTATGGAGACTAGACGGAGCCATCCTTATCGCTCTACTTCACGCTGGTCCCGTCGAGTTCTTATACTACTGGTTTCATAGAGCTCTCCACCACCACTTCCTCTACTCCCGCTACCATTCTCACCACCATTCATCCATCGTCACCGAGCCCATCACGTGTATGCACCTTCATCGATCCATCATTTTCTTCTATTCAATTTAGTATACATCATTTCATATAATATCTATAAATCAAACTTTGCCAGCTGTGGTGCACCCCTTCGCCGAGCACATCGCCTACACGTTACTCTTCTCCATACCAATAGTAACGGCGTCCCTTTGTGGGATCCTCTCCATTGTTTCCGTCATTGCATACTTGACATACATTGACTTCATGAACAACTATGGACACTGCAACTTCGAGTGTTTCCCTAAACGTCTCTTCCACCTCTTCCCTCCCCTCAAGTTCCTCTGCTACACCTCCTCGTACGTCAACACTCTATATATATACCTACAAACATTAAGATTTGAGTTCATATCTATATATAAGTACATAACATGGGCATCAAATACGTTGAAGGTTCCACTCGCTCCACCATACTCAGTTCAGGACCAACTACTCTCTGTTCATGCCCATCTACGACTACATCTACAAGACGGCCGACAAGTGCAGCGATTCCCTATACGAAAATTCGTTGGAGAGAGAGGAGGAATCACCCGACGTCATCCACCTCACTCACCTCACCACACTCGACTCCATCTACCAAATGCGTCTTGGCTTCCCATCTTTCTCCTCTCACCCCCTGTGGTCTCGATCCCCATGGTACCTCACATACTCCATGTGGCCCTTCACCCTCCTCGTCTCCTTCGTCCTCAGCTCCGCTCTCTCCTCATGCACCTTTGTCTTTGAGCGAAACCGTCTCCGCAACCTCACCCTTCACTCTCACCTCCTTCCCAAGTTTGGCTTTCACGTAAGCATTTTTTTATTTTACATACACACACGCTAATAATTATAATTGCGGTAGACGGGTAATAGACGGGTATGTCAAGTATAATAGACTTGTACAAATATTTTCCAAATTTTCACAAACAAGAAAATCGTAGCAAGAAAATAACAATTTACACCAAAAAAACACCTATATACATGTACTTTCTGTTGGTATACCTTTAGGAATTCTCATATAAATTAACTACTACTAATTTTTCCACTTTAAAACACTTGGTGGCAGTATAAATCACAGCGCCACCATAAGTCCATAAACGATATCATTGAGGTATCTATCATAGAAGCAGATGAAAAGGGTGTGAAAGTAATGAGTCTTGGCCTGATGAACACTGTAAGTTCATTACTTACTTCAAAAAATCAAAGTCATTATATATATGAATAAACTATATATTGGTTAAGTAACTAATTAACTCACGATTAATGAGACGGAGGAGCTAAACGGGTACGGAGAATTGTATGTGCAAAAACATCCAAAGTTGAAGATAAGGCTAGTGGATGGAACCAGCATGGCAGCTGCGGTGGTGGTTAATAGTATTCCAGAGGGGACTAAGGAAGTTGTCTTTAGAGGCAATCTTACTAAGGTTGCATCAGCCGTTGTCTTTTCTTTATCTCAAAAAGGCGTCAAGGTATATATTGAATTATGTGAAAATAGAATCCACTTGATAGCTTCTCAAGTAAAAAAAAATATTAACGTATGTATATATATACATATAAAATACATATAGGTAGTAATGTTACACGAGGAGGAATACAACAAACTCATCAAATCTGGGGCCGATAAGAATCTAGTATTGTCAACAAGCAATAATAACTGTTACTCCTCAACGGTGTGGTTGGTGGGGGATGGACTAGGGAAAGAAGAGCAGATGAAGGCAAAAGAAGGAACCCTCTTCATTCCCTTTTCTCAATTCCCACCCGAAAAACTCCGCAAGGACTGTTTCTACCACTCCACTCCAGCAATGCTTGTTCCTAAGTCTGCCCAAAACATCGACTCGTGTGAGGTATATATAGCTACGAATATGTTACTCTTGTATCACGAGCTTATAGAGATGTGTGCATAATCTTGCGAATGAATGGTTATTATAGAATTGGCTGGGAAGGAGGGTGATGAGTGCATGGAGAATAGGAGGCATAGTGCATGCACTTGAAGGTTGGGAGGAGCATGACTGCGGCAACACTTGCAACTTCTTCCGTCTCCATGCTATATGGGAAGCTGCTCTCCGCCATGAATTCCAGCCTCTCCTTCTCCCACCATCACACCTCTGATCTTTTCATATTTCATATATCTCCCTCTCTCTCTATATACTTACTATCTACTTCCCATACAACTTTGTTTGCAGTTTATCATATTTTGCTATGGACTATGTACGTGTGATTGATAACATGTGGTACGGTTAATAGTTAACGTACCCATGTATATATGCCATCAATCATACCTCAATAAAATTATTTTAAAATTTAAATCTGAGTTCAAGTTATGTTGAGTTACAACTGATTCACAAATTTGAACTATCATCTCTTTCATAAAATTGTTAAACCAAATATAGAATTTTGATGTTACGCACGTGCTTCATATATGTTAGTAGGACAAACAATTACGTCGATTGATATGTACTACACTAAAACTAGAAATAAAGAAAAATCCGATCAAAACCTTTAGAAACACTGATTTGATCAATTTTAATTTCTTGACTAGATAATATTTGGGGTGCATCCATCCATCATATCAAGATAGTTACAGAAACTTTGCTAGAGGTTTTACATAAATGGTCCGTGGACTCTTTTTAGTCATCGTCGACTAGCTCGCTACCTACTTAAGGAGTGGCCGGTAGGCGTGTACGTAGCAGGTATATAATTTGTGGCGGTGCGAGAATGGGTTTACTAATACAAACGTATATAGGTACCATTAATATACCCACATACGTAGTCTTTTTTTATTTTAGTGTTGGACCAACAAACACTTGTTGGCGGCTTGGCGCTTTCATGCATTTTGTCTTGATTGGCCGGTAAGTATTTGCCAAGCATCATTATTTTTAGATAATAAATAATATGATCCAAGCCTCCAGGCCTCCACTATTGAATCCAGATCGATCGAATTTGTGACGTGTGAATCAAGTTCGTACAAGTTACAAGTTACAACAGTAGACACAAGTTGAGATATTTTTGTATACGAAAACAACAGATTTGTTAAGTCGTTTTCAAATTGATTTACAGTATTGATTCGCTAGACTTGTTTGTGGCATCGCATCAATAGCACCTCTATCAAAGGTACCGTCATTAGTGCCGTGCGTACTCTAAAAGAAGAAGAAAACAAAAGAGAGAAGAGAGTAATTAGGGTTTTATAATAGCCTCGGTGGGAAAACGCATACATGGTTACCGCGATGTACTAAACTAATAATTACGCTTAATTGCTGACACTAAGGAGAATCTCGTGGCCTGTTACAGATTTGAATTATTCCAGACCAATTGCGGCATCAAGAGGAGACGATATTGCGTTAGCTAGTTCAAAAGTCTTGTACTGCTAAACTGTGAAAGTTACAAAATAAAAAAAAACGTGGAGCAAAAAAGAGAGGATTTCGAAGGCCCACTTGTCCAAATTAAAGTCCAAACAGGCCCGGCTCATATGTGTGAAGTTTTTAGTTTGCGTAGGTTTTTACAGTTTTCCAATGTCACAAAATTCTTTGTTTTTCAATGCAAAACTTTCAAATTGCATTTATCACACAAAGATTTTTTAAATATATTTAAACGGCACGTACAGACATAATTATTTGCATAAGTTATATACTATTTGAGGGCCTGTGAGTTCAATATCTACCTAGTTAGACTTAGAGCCAATGGAGATAAAATATTGTACATTGGTACATAATGTCATCAAATTAAAACACCTCCATCGATCAGATTGATAAAAATACTCTCAAAATTTTGGTCCCGCAAAATCTTATATGGATTTTGTGTGACGAGTGAAAATATGATGATAAGTTATTTCAGATATAAATATGAATATTAGGTAGTGTTTATAGACTTATAGTTTATTCAAAATATGATATGCCATATCACGAAATTTATTATTGAAACATTAACCTAACAACTTCACGAAAACAGAGCATTGGTTAAGTCCATACAAAACAGAGAAACACTTCATCAAACTAAAACAGAGATAACAGAGCACAACACAAAAGTACAAGACCTAAACATTAAAATCAAAGCCACTCTTGGTAAGTAACTCCAGTGGGCTTCAACCATAATCCTCCTTGAATTAGCTTCGCCACAGTAAACTGTTCGGCCTCCTTTGCGTCTCTAATAACTTTAAATCCCTTCCACGTCACTCTCTTACTCGTGTCCGCTCCAGGACCGGTATTCGCATACTCTCCGTAATACAATGTCGAGAGCGCAAATTCGCCGTCCCATGGGAACCAACCGGCCGGGTTGATGTGGTTGTCAATGAAAGACTGCATGATCACTGTTCTTGAGTACAACTTCCACGGCCTTCCAAGGAACGTCTGCACAGATCCTTTTACAGGAGCAAGATCAGAGCTTGCGGTTATTTTACATTTTTGGATCGAAATGGCTGTGTTCTGGTTCTGATCCTCCCTTCCTTGAGCTGTCACCATGTTCTTTTGCCCAGCTCCAGGCTTTCGAGCAACAATGTCGCAGTTCTGGAACACCACAGCGGAGTTTCCGAAGATGAAGTCTACGGTACCTGTTATGTAACTGTCACGGTAGAATTGTCGCAGTGTGTGCGTGTAGAGTGTGTCTTGATACGCATCAATGCGGCAACGGTTTATGACAGTTTGATCAGCGCTCACTCGAAGAGCCACGGCCTGGTGCTTTGCTGGCCCGGCAGTGTTTTGGATCCATAAGTCTTGTGCCATAAACCCGTCTCCATTGGCAGCTATACATGTTTCAAACAGGAACTTGTAAGTTATTCGGATACAAAATTGTAATACATTCGAAAGAAACATTATAATTTTCACTACTATATGACTGGTCGATATATAAGAGTTGTTTGTTTTATATTAGAAAAAGACTAAGTTATGAAACACAAATGAAAGAAAATATATATTACCAATAGTGGCTGATCTGAAGGTGGTGGATCCATCAACTACGTTCAAACTACCGGTTATGATGGTAGCGTCTTTGCCATCGCCAACAAGCATTAAGTTTTTCTTTTTCTTGCCTATGTCAATAGTTTCCTTGTAAACCCCTTTCTTCACGTATATAACATATCTTGAATTGCTATTCTCTGGTGCTGCCGCCACTGCCTCATTTACTGTTTTGTACTTTCCGCTGCCGTCTTTTGCCACCACGACGTTCGCGTTCACCTTAAGTGCCTAAAAGAGAGTCAGAGTTTTTAGTATTTGAATCCAAGATGGATAAGGTAAAACCGTAGAAGTACACAACCGAAAGCTTTTTGTTTATCATATTAGAAGTGGAGATATATCCAAAACATGTAGTTGGCCATATTAATTGTAGTAGTTGGTAAGATTTGAAGTTGGTTTTGATTACCTTGGGAGCAGATTCTAATAGCTCCCTGTCGAGAGTAGTTAGCCAGGACGGGAAGTGGTCGAAGAGAATCATCTTGAGGTCGTCTCTAGCAGGCAAGACGGACACAAAAATGGCTAGAGCCACTCTAGCCCTAGAAACCAAGTCTTCAAGTTGCGCCTTGACTCTTGGTTCATTAGTAGTGTCTAAACACGTCATGTAGTTTGTAAGGACACTGCTCAGCCAAGTATGCACGTTTGAGTAAGACTCAAGATTAAGGTTTCCTCCTCGGAGTTCCTCCACCGAACTCACCATCCGGTCCCTTGATACATCCATCATCTCCTCGCAGTCAGCCAGACCTGCCTCGTCTCTCGCACCGTTCAAGCGGGTTCTAGCCTCTTTCACCATGCTCATCGCGCTGTCAACCCGGGACACGGAGTTCTTCAAGAACACGTGCAATAGGTCAAGACGGTTGAGCTTTGAGAGCGACAACGTCGTGAATTCGGACAAGAGAACTTGGCATGAGTCTTGGTCATGAGCTCCATTGCAAATCTGGCTAGGGGTTAGTAAGGAATCATCACTGGTGTAGATAAGTTGGGCTGAGAAGAAAGCTGCAGAGCCAAGAATGGCTGCAAAGGAGAGGACAAGGCATAGATTCTTGTGCTTAAGAGACTTTGGTTTGGAAAGAAGTGGTTGGTTTGAATTAGACATTGGTCTTTGGTTTGAGTGGTAAAAGGATTTGTTTGTGTTGGCCTTTACACTAGGCGAATCATGCCATTATATAGAAAACACTAGTGAGTGGAGTTCATGATGAAGTGTTATGATTTCCTCTCTTTTTTTTTACGCACATGGTTTTGATTATCAGTCTACCAAATACACTATAAATTAGAATTAAACTTTAAGCCTTTTCTGAAAAAAAACTAATATAAAACTCTACACTTGTCTTTTTTTCTTTCTAATAAAATGAACAATGTTACTCCCACTAGCTAGACAGTATCTTTGTTATATGTCCAGCACTCAGAATTTGATGGTTATATACAAAATGGAAAAAATAAAAAATTTAGTGTTGAACTATACACAGCGTTAAAACAATTTTATCAATCAAAAGTCCACACCTATACTCCCAATTGTCAATCTTATCTTTCAGCCATAATTGACTTTTAACTATGAATTTAACCATGAACTAGTTGTATTGTTAGTTGTTACATAATGGGTAGTATAAGTATTGGCAACAAAAATCAACAAAAAATTATGATTTGTGTGAAGCTAATTAGAATCATTACTCCCATCTTGAAAATTGAAGAAAATAAAATAACAAGTGGTATTATGATAGTAATTTTTCTTCGGTATACCCCCCCCCCCCCCCAACCAAAAAAAAATAGTAAAATTATCTTTATCTAAATATATAAAAACTAAAAATAAAGTTTAAAGCAGATTAATTGTAATAATTTCCAGATTTTACAAAGTTAAATAAAGTTAAAGGAGACATGCGATGGATCGGAGCTGTGGCAAACGATAAACATGTGGTCTTAAGGAGTAGATGGTACTGGCGCGGAAAGCAAAACGCAATTATCCCCTCTCATTAAGGTTTTTTTAATTTTTCGCCTGTCTAAATATTGTTACTAAATACTAATAGATTCGGGAGAGGACAACGATGACTGGTCACCACATGTGCGTTTGGTAACCAATTCAACGTACACTATTTGTTTATTTCAATCGTATATTCTTATTTTTTAATCAAAAAATAATAATGAGTATCATTTTACTGTCGGTCCAAAAAATGATGTGTATATATGGTAAATTGGTAATTATTTGATCATCAAAACTTTCAAAGTTCGAATCTCCACATTTTACCTCTCTCTTTCTTACTCCTATCGCGAAGACAATCAAAATAATATCAAGAAATATTTTCCTTAACTTATAACTTATTAATCATAATCTTTTCTTGACCTAAATTAAAGACATATTCGTAGGATTTTATTGATTATCTTATCTAAACAAATGTTACTTTCAGCGATCCAAAATTATATTATAGCGATAGTATTTCTGTGGTTTGAATAATAATAATAACCCCAACCAAAAACTTTACCTGATTTATCTTACTCAACTATTTTTCAGCGAGATTGTTTTGACGAGTATGATGAACTAACTATATTGTTACACATAAATATAAGCCAATAAAATATCATAAGATGATATGCATTTGAAGTTAAATTAATAAACCAAAATTTTGAAATATATAAGTAATTATAAAAAGACCTTCTTTATGAAACGGTGAAAGTAACGTTTAAAGAAGATTATGTTGATTTGTTTTCCTGCTTTTCCGTAATAGAAGTGGTATCTGTAATAAAAGTGGTGGTAGACAAAAGTCAAAAAGATCTACAATATAGCTGTTGTGAGTGGTGGCACCGGCACGGTAAAAACATGTGGCCTTGGGGAGTAGATGGACTTGGAGACGGCACGGAACCCAACTACAGTAGTGATCCGTATATCCTAATCCTGTTTGCAAGATTAAAACAAAAACAAATGACTGAGATTCTCGTGCGAACGAACTACGATGCCTGAGACTGATACCACATCACATACATATAGCCAGGATTGAAAAAAATGTTAGAGAGAAAGACGAAAATAAAAATTTGTATTCGACGACAAGTACTTTTTTGAGGACTCAAATATTTGTTACACATCACTTGTTAAGCTTTTTCTCAACATTTAAACACTATTTTGAATTGTTTGATCCATTTATATTCAGTCTATTGAGTTTTATTATTATTCTCAATACTTTTCCCCCTCATGTATATCTTACTTTTACTTTCTAGTGGTTATTGTTTAACATAATATATATCTCTTTTATCCTGTCTGCAAGTGTAAGATTAACTAAAAGAAACTTTTGTCATTGTCCATGCCACTAGGGTCATCTTCAGATATTCAATTTCCAAAAGGATAAGTCCACTAAAAACAAGAAAGAAAAATACAAACTCTAGATGCACTCTTCTCAATTTTTTTCTTTGTGATAAAACATTACTTGTATCATCGATCCGATATGTTTCTTGAAATAGAAAAAAGAATCTCTACTTTTAAATAAATTAACATCAACGGGTGATCCATTATTTTCCGCAAATCATTTTTTTTGTTTTTCAAGTAAGTTTCATTTTCTTTCAAGCAATAATTGATATATGGATAATTCATATATCGTCAAACGAACGGTGAAACCTGGATTTACAATCTCTAAACATGTAAAGGAAAACAAGCAAAGCAACTATAGATATATATTGTTAAACAATGGACTATAAAAAAAGTAATGTTTATGCGATGACCATATCGACTCCTTGATCCGTGGTTGAAAGTCCAGTGCCTCGACCTTGAAGCTGGACACAACCTAATTGACATGCACCGTCGCAAACCTCTTGCGTTGCCTCGGTCACTTTCATGCATATTGGCATACATTCTCTGTGGCATAGCGGCAATACTTTCTTACCTAGTAGTGCTTCTTGTCCTTCCACGATCTTCGTTAAAGCTAATACCGTAATTATCATCAAACTCAGGGTGGCTAAATTTATGCTCCGACTCTTCATTTTTTAGTTCGTGAGAAGATTTGATTAGGGGAATGGTTTCTTGGGAGAGAATGAAATTGATTTTGAGTAAAAGGGGATGGCCAAGATTCAAAAGATAGTCATGGCCTCATATGTATCTGATGTTTCCGTCTATTTTTACTATTTAAAAAACGAATAGAGGTATATCCCTATTTTTAAATAACCATTGAGAGGACAAGATTATGAGAACAAATATCCAAACTTGAAACTTGCTTACTTTTATGAAAATAACACAGAATCGATATCTTATAAGTCACAATGAAAGATAATTTTTCATTATTTTGACTACATTATTAGTTGGAGTTTCCAATATTAAGATATTGATTACAAACGTTAAAGTTGTAATAAGTTTCAACCATAGTTGAGCCGAAACATCTCATTTTGGACGAAGAAACTTCCTTGTAGAACCGGAATCAAGTGAAACGTCTGCAATTATTAAAACAAAATCACTATTTCAAGTCAGCTAAAAATCTAACAAAGATAAATATCTAGAAACAGCCTCATACTATATTAGCTTATAGTTTCCTACATATAATTTAGGAACAAGATTAAACATATATAGTGTCGGTTCCTTATTAGCACAAGTGGAGAAGAGATAGACCTGACTAAACCTAAGAGGATGATCCTCCCCATGAAGTTGGAGGCTGCCACTCACAAAGACGATTATCCCACCACATCCACCGGCTATTGAAGACGGCTGAGAATCAACGGTGCTGATCGAATGACGGCATTGGTCGAACGGGAGTTGTTTAAGCTTATTGGAGATGTCTTCCACGCCGCATATCTTTTGGCCTTCAAAAGTGAGCAACGAGGTAGGATTGTAGAGAGTGGAAAGAGATGATCGATCGTTGTCAAAGAGATGGTAGTAGTGATTCACAAAAGCAATCGCCACTTCTTCTTCACTTCCTTTATTTGTCTCTGCCATTGTCAAAATTTCCAACATAAAATTGATGAATTTTTCTTATCAAAACATAAAGAGGGTTATAAACATGAGCTATCTCAAGTAGTTAACTTCTAGGGTGGGGGAAAAAGATTCTTAATTTGCAAACAAAGTTAGAAAAAAGAACAAAGAATGAGTCTTTAAACTTTAAAAAGATTTCTTCTGTGTCAAGTATTGCATCAATTTTTTTCTCAATCCTTCTTCACACATTAGGAAGCAATCTTCTCAATGCACACAGAGAAGCAAGACCTTTGGTATATCAGTATAACAGTATAACACAAAGAATAGTGGTAATTTGAACTTATGCTACACTGTTCAATTAGTGAAAAGCAGAACACTCATCCCAAAAACATGATTACTAACATCAAATTTACCTTACGTGAAGATCAATGTCAATGACGCCAACTTGATGGCCAATATGGGAAAATTTCATAATCAGTCTTCCAATTACACAAGTAAACAACCTTCCTCACAGCCCAAAACGATATAAACAGAGACAAAAACATGGTCATCCTTTGCTCGTTGATGTTCTTAACGCGAACAAGCACATTAGTAACAAACGCCAAAAGCAATCCAACCACAGTGTACAGAAACCCTACAGCGAACCCTTCGGTTCCAAGCTGCATCTCTGATCCTTCGATAAAGAAAACAAACTTTTCTTGATATTCATCATCTTTGATATACATTGGCATGTCCTTGATAAATTTATACATTGTCCCTGAGACGCTGAAGAAGTAGACGAGAACCGCACCGGATAACCAGATTCTCCGGTCATGGAGAAGTGTATCTCCTTTTATAATCTTCTTGATAAGTATCGGAGCAGAGGTTACGATCAGCGCTACGATGATTCCGATTTGTGTCTTTGATAGAAACGGTGGCCGTTGGATTGGACCAACGGTGAGTTTGGTTAAATGTTCGACGAACTCTGCCATCGATTCAGCTAATCCGGCGAAATCTTCACCGTCCATCTGATCTGATTCTGTTAAATTCTCCGTCATGGGGCTAACGAGGGCAATGTGCGGTAACGACTCGATGTTGAAGCGATGGAACGAAGCGTCGGATTGAGTTGATTCGATATCGCAGAAGAAGAGTTTTGTTCCGTTAGATCCGTTGTTGTTGTTGGCGATGAAAGTGGAAGAGACGAGTCCGAACTCGCGGCGGAACAGTTGGAGGTTGTTGCTGTGGACATCAACGGTGTCGAAGAAGATGATGAGAGAGTAAGGTCTCGGAGTTGGTACGGAGGTTATGAATTTGGAAACGTCGTCGTCGTTGAGACGGATCACGCCTGAATCGGCGGCTGATCGGAGCGAAACAAGCTCGCCGATGAGATCTGAATCCGATAGGGGAAATAATAACGCAATTAAGAAGAAGATACGATATGTATGAAGCACCATTTTAGATCGGATTCGAGATCAGAGAGGTTTTGGAATTGCCGCAAAATACTGGAGATGTGAAGAAGTGTTCAAAACTTGAGGGTTTATATAGGTTTGAGATTGGTGTTAGACCTTCGGGACGACCTAGAGGGTTTCAAAATTTAAGAAAAAATAGAAAAAGAGTTGACAGCTGTGGGATTTGAACCCACGCCCTTTCGGACCAGAGCCTAAATCTGGCGCCTTAGACCACTCGGCCAAACTGTCTTGTTGGTAATTAATAGAATTAAAAATTAATAACAACAACAAGGTAAAGGTTGTTTGCAAGTCATATAAGCTTACACTGATCTATCTTATTAGGACCGACATGCCGACATGTTGAGATATTATATAGTATAAGAAACATATGATAAACCACTTTTAGTATAAAATGAGAGACTGTAATATTACATATATGAAAAAACAAAAATGAAGGACAGAAGGAGATTCATAACTAATTTTGGTGACTGAAAAATAAAGCTCTTCTTCTAAAGTAACAGGGTCGAGTTGCGCATATTCTTTTTTTTTAACTATTATTATCTGTATTCTGTAACACCATTCTTCTTACATTTAGATCTGAGACATTCGTATATGATACAAAAAAAAAGTAATAATCATGCAAAAAAAAAAGGTAAAGAATAGTGGATAATGGAAGAGACAGTGCAATTTAATAAGCTTTTGTCAACCTAATAATTTAAGTAACTCCATGTATAATATTTGCCTGGATTCTTATTCATAACGTGATTGCTTCACGTGCCTTGTCTTGGGCTAATAAAAACATGATGAGAGCCAAAACTCTTATGATGAACATAAATATTATTGGTCCGTCCGAACTCCGAAGCATTTTGCCTATTGTATTTGTTCGTTTAATTTTTTAGTTAGATACCATGTTCTCATAGTATGTTTTTCTTTTTTGGTTCGGGGGTTAAAACTTTTTGTAAAAGAGCTTCCATAGTTCACATAGATGTTATAACTTATAACTGATGTATTCGTTTACTATATACGATTTACAAATGTGAAAAGTAGTAACCAAAGAATTTTATTTTATCGTACAGAATTAATAATGTTTTTTTGGTTTTGTTGCTTTTACATTGAAAACTTGAAATGGATCCCACTAGCCACTTGGTGGCAGCCTGGCGATTCAAAATTCTCCATGTTCTGCTGTTGTTTTCTATAATTCCCAATATACCCCTTTGCAGCTCATCTGTGTGGTTCTAATGACCAATCTCGTCACACTTAATGAATAAACCGGTCGGTGTTTATCTAGCTAAGCTTAACCGGATGAAATTATAACCTTAAACTGTTTACACTTCAAAAAGTAATATAAATCCATTGAGTTTACTGTTAATTTTCTCTAATTAACTTTCTCAATTACCTTTATTTTGCAACTTTGTTAAAAATATACATCATGATTATGAAATATTATTTTTAAAAAACCGCATCAAAAGTCTAAATCCAATAGTAATAAACAAAACAATTTAAAGAATGATTGATAATGGTCAAAACAGTAAATTTTCCCGGTCTTTATAATTAAAAGCAAGAAAGCCTCCAAGACTCTCTTCTCACTCACGAAACAAGTTAAAGCTGCATTATCTCTCTCTCTCTCTCTCTTCTTCGAAATATTCGAAGCATAGACAAGCCAATGGAGACGAAGAAGAGAACTGTCACGAGCTGCTCTTCAATGGCGGCTCTTTTCTTCTTCGTTGCAGCTCTAATGGCTTCTTCTTCTACCGCAGCAACACCCACCCAATCGTTCGAAGAAAATTTCAACATCATGTGGTCTGAAAATCATTTCACGACTTCCGAGGATGGAGAGATCTGGAATCTTTCGTTAGACAACGACACCGGTACGTTCTAATCCTATTTGCCTTCCGGTTTAGGATCAATGCCGAAAATTACACTCAGACTCTGTTTTTACGACTTAATAGTTAATTCTATTATTAAGTCTATGTCTTTTTAATTAATAGTAAAATTACGTGATTGGAGCTTCTCTTTTATAATCTGAATATTTTTTGGTTGGCCAAAAAAATATAAAATAGGATGTGGATTTCAGACAAAGCACATGTACAGATTTGGATGGTTCAGTATGAAGCTTAAGCTCGTCGGCGGCGATTCCGCCGGCGTCGTTACCGCTTACTACGTGAGACCGTCGTTCTTTCTTCTTTTTTAATATTCAATATTGTAAAGAAAGAAAGTGATTAGTAAAATTTATATGTTTTGATGATGAACAGATGTGTTCGGAGAATGGAGCAGGACCGGAGAGAGACGAGATAGATTTCGAATTTCTTGGGAACCGAACCGGAGAGCCTTACATTATTCAGACCAATGTGTATAAGAACGGAACCGGGAATCGGGAGATGCGACATTCTCTCTGGTTCGACCCGACCAAGGATTACCACACCTACTCAATTCTTTGGAACAACCACCAGCTCGTGTAAGTCCTCTCTTGATCTTGACTGAACCATAGAGATGCCACTATTCGAACCGGGAATTTTGGGTAGGATCTATAGGTTACTGGAACCGGGAACCGGGAACCGGGAACCGAATACAAAATTTCAATCTGGTCTAGTAACAAATTTTAACAAAATCAAACTAAACCAGATTGGTCAACAAAAGCTAATTTTATCGAGTGTTGGGTGCAAAGTCTAATCCGGTTAAATAAAATGTAAAAACCAGGTTCTTCGTGGATAAAGTACCGATCAGAGTGTACAAGAACAGCGATAAAGTACCGAACAACGACTTCTTCCCGAACCAGAAGCCGATGTACTTGTTCTCCAGCATCTGGAACGGAGACGACTGGGCGACACGTGGAGGTCTCGAGAAGACCGACTGGAAAAAAGCTCCGTTCGTCTCTTCATACAAGGACTTCGCCGTCGAAGGGTGCCGTTGGAAAGATCCATTCCCTGCATGCGTCTCCACCACAACGGAGAACTGGTGGGATCAGTCCGACGCGTGGCACTTGTCCAAGACACAGAAGATGGACTACGCGTGGGTGCAGCGTAACCTCGTCGTATATGATTATTGCAAAGACACTGAGAGGTTCCCTACTCTTCCTTGGGAGTGTTCCATTAGCCCTTGGGAATAAATCAATTTTGGTTTTTATTTTTCAAAAGTGTATTAAGTGGAAATGGTTGCTGTAATAATCTTTATTTTCTTCTGGATTTTGTCCTCTGTTTATTTATTTAATTAATTATTTATACAGTCTGCTATTTTTGCATGACTTTGTTTTACTTATGGAACAAACAAAAGGTTCAGCTACATATAAAAAAAAAAAAAAAAAAGTTTGTGATTAATCCATCAAGAGAGCATATCCATGATATGTAAAAGAAAGACAAATGTGGTGAGATAGACTTTTTTAAGCTAACAGATTATATAATGCTACCACTTTTTACAAGTACCTAAAACAACAACAAATCTAGGAGGGTGATATGAGAAATCAGCTTCTTTCGATAAAATATCTCAATAATATAATTAGATCTACAAAAAAACTGCATTCGATCTTTAATTTCTTTTTACGCCAAATTGTCTTTAGTTATTTTCGTATTAAATCATATTTTGCTCTAAATTGTAGTTGACTTTTTTTTTGGACAAAAAAATGCAGTTGACTTAACCCATTGATACATCATATATGAATCAATAATAGTCAATTGTAACATTAATTTAGTTCATATCAACAATTTTTTCCTATCTTGCAAATATTCAAGCTTTTATCTCTTTCTCATAATTATTAATATATTATTTTCCAAAAAAATGATATGTAAAAGAAAGACAAATGTAACTTGGTGAGATAGTCTTTTTTTAGCTAACACATTAATAGGCTAATACAACAACAAACCTAGGAGGAGATATGAGGAAATGAGCTCATTGAATAAAATATATTGTAATAATATAATACCACTAGATACTATATCTACAGAAAACGTAATAACAAAACATACATCTGTCATCTTTAGTGTTTAATTTCACCAAATTATCTAGCTGATCTAGAATTTCAGTTGACTTTAGTTTTTGGTATCGAATACATTTGATTCATCATCATATATGAAGTGCAAAACCAATCAATAGTGTCGCAAACAAAAACAAAAACAAAAAAGCCTAAACACTTTTGAACAGTTTCACACAAATCCCCATAACCAGAGAATATGGTGATCAGTTTAGTCCCTCTACTCCTCTCCTTGATCACCATATTCACCATCTTCAACCCATCTGCCATTGCACTAGTATCTAAAGCAACCGTGGACCAAACCCAAATCCTCAACACAACAAGCCAATGGTTCCATCTCCCGCCGGATCTCAACCAATACACTATAGGATTCTCTGTTCCCACAATGATCGCCGCCGTTCTCTCCTTCATGGCCGCCTCTATCTCCAGCGCCGGAGGAATCGGTGGCGGTGGTCTCTTCCTCTCGATCATGACAATCGTAGCTGGTCTCGAAATGAAAACAGCGTCTAGCTTCTCTGCTTTCATGGTAACGGGAGTCTCTTTAGCGAACGTTGCATGCAATATCTTCGTGAGAAACCCTAACTCAAGAGACAAGACCTTAATAGATTTCGATCTAGCTCTCACTGTCCAGCCGTGTCTGCTTCTTGGAGTAAGTGTTGGTGTGATATGTAACCGTATGTTCCCTAACTGGCTTGTGTTGTCGCTCTTCGCTGTGTTTCTTGCGTGGTCAACGATGAAGACTTGTAAAAAAGGGGTTTCTTATTGGAATTTGGAGTCGGAGAGAGCCAAGATTAAGAGTAGTAGGGAAGATGATGGGATCGAGGCAGCGAGATTGCCGCTTCTGGTAGAAGGTGATGGAGATAGAGGAATGGTTAGGATTCCATGGATGAAGCTTGGAATTTTGGTGATTATTTGGTTATTGTTCTTCTCCATTAATCTTTTTCGAGGAAACAAATACGGTCAGGTATTATTATTTTAGTATTTATTGATGTTGCAAAAAATATTTACATTTTAAATTGATAAAGAAGTTTATATATACTTTGGATTTGGCCAGGGTATTATATCTATTTTGCACTGCCTGGTTGGCCAGGTCCACCACCCCGCTAATGCCAGAGGCCAGGCCATCTACCACCTTTTGTTGGCTTCAGTGACAATGTTCAAAGCAACCACACACCACATAATGACCAAGACTCTGAAAAGGTACGTTAATATTACTGCAACACTTATTAAACTAGCTACATGTTAGGCATAGTCAACATGCATGATTGAATGAATATGAAACTGGACTTCCATAGGAGATTGGATCGAACAAGTTTATGCTTCCAGTAATGGCTCTGTTGGCTGGAGTTTTGGGTGGCCTTTTCGGTATTGGCGGTGGAATGCTCATTAGTCCTCTTCTTCTCCAAATCGGTATTGCTCCTGAGGTATGTTCTCTTGACTCGTGTTGTTATTCATAGCATCGCAACCGAAACAAGCACTTGGATTCTCAAGTTAATCGTGCTCTGTATGTGTAGGTAACTGCAGCGACATGTTCTTTCATGGTTTTGTTTTCTTCATCAATGTCTGCAATTCAGTACTTACTACTAGGCATGGAACACGCTGGAACTGCGGCGATATTCGCTTTGGTCTGCTTTGTAGCGTCCCTGGTCGGACTAATGGTGGTTAAGAAGGTTATAGCCAAGTACGGGAGGGCTTCAATCATTGTGTTTGCAGTAGGTATCGTCATGGCACTCAGCACTGTGCTGATGACAACTCATGGAGCTCTTAATGTCTGGAATGATTTTGTCTCTGGTCGCTACATGGGTTTCAAATTACCCTGTTAACCAAAACTAAATAAATCCACTTCATGAACATGTTTCATTTGGTCTCTTGAATCTTGAATGGTTAAGCCTAGCAAAATCTTGTACTTTACTATCAATAAGAGAGTTTTTGTTGCGTAACATTTTAAGTGAATGGTCTTAAGGTAAAACAGAGGTTTATTAATACAAATTTACAATTACACTTGAAAGTTTCACACAGACCATATATACAAAAGTTGCAAGCTAAATACATTTCACACAAACTTTATTAGTATACAGCTCTTAATCTGTATATACAATATTTCTAAGCAACATGAACAACGCGTGAGGACTGAACAAAGCCATCGACCCTTTTCTTGATCTCATCAGGGTTTGCGCCCACGATTTTGTCCATAGCATTACCATCCTTGAAGAACAAGAAAGTTGGCATCGCCTTTACCTCCAGACGACTCGCCAGTTCCTGACCAAAATCCATAGTAGAAAACAGAAAAACCATTAACCATGAACAAAGAAGCCATGAACAAAAGACACATCAACAAGATACACACCTTGACTTCATCAACATCAACGATGAGAAACAGAGCATCCTTATAGCTAAACGCCAGTTCTTCGAAGAAAGAGTTCATAAAAACAGAAGGAATACACCATGATGCTGTGAAATGAGCCACAATCTGCAACAAAACCACAATCTCCTTAAAAACTCTTATATCCTAAAAATCTAACTACCTTCATGGCTCTGGATCTAAATGATCAGATATCATTTTGGCTGTTCGAAGAAGAAAGTGATAAAAGAGGAAGAGAGAGAGAGAGACTCTTACAGGACAACCTTGATTCTTGGCTTGACTCACATAAAAGTTCCATGATTCTGAAGAATCGACTTTAACAACTCTTGCCATCTCTTGGAGCTTCTTCTACAGTTCAAGATTGGCTTCTGGTTTATCCTGTAAAAAGAGAGATAACAGGATATTTTAGGTGTTTTCAGTGTTTATCTACTAAGATGATGGGACACAGAGAGAGAACAAAGCGTGGCCCAGTTATATTCAACTATTTAATTTCATTGCATAGAGATATTTAGATGATTAATAGTACATAATTAAGAAGTTACACCGACAATAATAAATTTCTTAAAGATTAGGAATCGTATTAAGTATTCAGAAAAAGCGTTGACCAAGAAAGAAAAGCAAATATCTCTCTTTTTTTTTTTTTTTTTTTTTTTTGTTAAAATCGTTTTGTTTTCCTTTTTCCATAAACGATTAATTTAATTACTGTTTCCATGATTTTACGAATATGCATTATATAGGTTTCGTAACAGTTTAGAAATAGCAAAATACCATATCCAATTTAGCAATTTCCCAATTAAAGGAAGGAAATCGGAAATCCAAACGTCATGGAAAAAGAGGAAAAAACAAATAAATTAAATAGAAAAAAAAAACCAAAATATTGGAAAACAGAGGGACACTTTGGTTCAGTATATATATATAGAGAGCAATCCAAGGACGTGAGAAGAAATCTCAATTTCAACATCATAACAGTCACATAAACCCTAAAATTGATGTCGAGGAAACGTTTCAATCCTCTCGAAGATCCGCCGACGGCTTCTTCAAGCGAAGAAGATGATGAACTTGATGCTCCCATTGAAGATGGTGAAGAAATCGTTGGTAACTCTTCGTCTGACGAAGAAGACGATGACGTTCCCTCTAAAAACTCAGCTCCTCCGAAGAATACGGTTCTGCTTCTCGCCGCACCAGCTAGAAAGCTTTCCGAGGATTCTGAATCAGGATCCGAGGAAGAAACCGAATCAGACTCTGAACCCCAGAAGAAAGATCAGTTCTTAACGAAGCCTGTGATCGAAACCAAGAATTTGGTAGTGAAGGAAATCAAAAAGGTTAAAGCTTCTGAGAAATCTGTGGGCAAGCGTTCTCATGAGATGGACGAAGGAGGTGTGTCAACGCATGTGAAGAGAGTCAAGAAGGTTTCAGGGGAAGATGATAAGAAGAATGCTGGAGGATGTGAAGAGACTAAGAAGACGTACTTCCAACGTGTTTGGACTGAGGACGATGAGATTGCTGTTTTAAAAGGTCTTATGGATTACAAAAACGATACCGGGGTAAGTCCTTAAGACGATACTAATGGGGTTTATCAGTTGGTCAAGAAATCTGTTAGCTTTGATGTTAGTAAGATTCAGTTCATGGAAAAGCTTAGGAGTTTGAAGAAGAAGTATGAGAACAATGTTGGTAAAGCTAAGAACGGAGAGGAACCGAGTTTTGCTAAAGCTCATGATCGCAAGACTTTTGAATTGTCTAAGTTGGCTTGGGGAGCTAATGGGATGGCTCTTGATTCGGCTGTGAAATCTAATGGGAAGTCCAAGAAGAGCAGTAAGTCGAAGAAAGTTGCTTCTGTGAAGCAAGAGTTGGATTCCTCTTTGCCTAATGGTAAAAGTTTTGAAGATGAGGTGGCTAATAAAGAGGAAGTATCTTTGCTTGGCGTTTTGGAAACGGATGTGTTTGCAAAGTCGTCTTCTCTTGTGAAGTTACTAGCCCGGGTTGGTCTGGATGAACTTGCTGCTCATCAAGGATTGAGTAGGCTTGCCTCAGAGGATAAGAAGAGACTCGAGGAGCAGTGGAAAGCGTTGCAGGTTACGGAATTTGAGTTCTTTTTGCAGAAGAGTGGTGTCATTCATGAAGTGATGAAAAAGATTACTGAAGCATTTCGATCAAACATTTAGAGATATATGGATTTTTGTTTCTGTTCTGCCTCTTTTGCCTAGAACTCTGCCTTTTTTTCCTTTTTTTTTTTGTTTTTTTTTTGTAGTTTCTATTGATTCTTGAAAAGAGTTCATTTTGAAATATTGCGGATTTATCAATGTAATGGAAGGAAATTCTTAGCTAAGTGAAGCAATATAAGTTTATTTACACAAAACATTTTGTGTGGAAAAGGCAGGAGTTGAGGAAGAGGACATATTATGCACGGCTTACGATTGCTGGATTTTCTTTTTGTATATTCTCTTTGTCTTCTTTCTTAGCAGCAATGGCTGAAACATAATATGCTGAAGTCACCAGTCCATGTCCTAGGCAAAATATGGCGCCAATAACGAAAAACCAATGATGCGGCAAGTTGCAGAATCTGTTTGATTTCGAGTTGGCCAATGTTCCTAGCATCAGTGCTGTGTAGCTGACAAGAAAAAAGATCCTAAGACAAAAATAAAGTATGTCAAAAACGAAAACAGCTGACAATTGAAAATCGTTGTTGGGTGAATGAAATCCAAAAAAATATCATCTTTTCATTACCAGGAGAGAACAAGGAAAGCCACTGCGAGAATCTTGTTTGCCGTTGCTCTGTTAAAATCTTGCTTAGAGCGAATGTAAGTGCAGCCTCCAAGCACATTGGCTAGGACATGGACTATAAACAGAAGCGCCATTGCAGCTACTCCCTCAGCAAATGCTCCAGCGCTCGGGTTTCTTCGACATCCAGAATCCGAATGTCTTAAATGTTGTTGTTGATGATGATGATGAAGTGCCTGAACGAGAAGCATCAATACAATAGCAGATTATTGAGTAATGAAAATAAGCTACATTTCATTCTTGTTATTATATATAACAGAACCTTGCTTTGAGCAATCTCGGCTTCGATCCCGAGGACTGTTGCTGTAATGTCTGCACATATGATCACCACAGAAACCAAGAAACCAAGTTCGCTTTCCATTTTCCCTTGATCCATAAAACCTTATTTTATTCTATTTTTGATTTGATTTCTGTATTTATTACCATTGTTCTATGAAAGAAGTTTAAGGGAGAGGAAAAGAATAAGGAAACAGCATCTGATTACTTTCCTAAGCCTGCCTCTCACTGCAAGACAAAAGAGAGATTCTGTTTTGGTTTTTCCAAGTAAGTAAAGTTTCATTCCTTTTCTATATATAGTGACATTAGTTTGGATGCTTTTCTTGTAAACTAGATCTAATGTAAATTAAAGTTAATCTATTACAGAGATATTATAAAGTTCAGACTGAAATAAGAGGTTGATCACATGTTTGACTTCTTTACTTTAGCAAAGTCAAAGCTCAATAGAGGCAGCATGTGGTCTTATACTCTGTTTTGGAACGTGAAGAGAGGTGAAAATTATGATTCTCATATCTTTTTTCTGTGATTACATACCCTAAAATTTTTTATTATAAATTTACAGGTTGTAATAGGAAAACAATCATACCGGGTTAAGATTTGATCAGCTTTGTAACGTTAATTTTGGTTGTAAATTTTCTATTTCTACAGAAGATTAATTTAGTTTGTTCTTTCATGATTATGATATGATATCTTACGCTTATGGAGATGTTCACTCTCAGTTTGGAAGCAGTTTGTGTGGATATGGTGAAGCAGGAAGAGACAGAAACAGAGCTGTGTCCGAACCAAAGCCAAATCTCCTTAGAATCTCTTTTTAATTCACATATCTCTTTGTGAATCCAAGGATGGTATTTGAACAAAACATGCGTGGAGTTTGGCTTTATCTCAAGAAGTCTCTTAGCTGCTGCAACGCACAGAAGTCAACTGACCTGGCTGATCCAGACAAGAACCGAAGCCAGAAGATGCAGAATCCATCTGGATACTCAAGATCAAATATGAGAGATGTCTTTGTAACACATGGAGGTGGAGGAGCTATGCAGAATCCAAGTTGCTGCAGCTCACGGTCTCTGGAGAGCTCCAGGTTTATAAACACAATGAAAATTGAGGGCAATGACCGTTATTCGGGCAGATTCAATGGCTTGCTCACTGGAGGATCTTCTTCTGATTTGCTTCCCGGTCGTTGTTCTGAGAGATTTGATGTTATTGGCTCTGACATCTGCGGTTTTGGAGTTCTTTCTTGTCGAAAATGTCATGAGAGAGTCAGAGATCTTGACGCGTTTGAGTCCCATTACCTTTCTAACCATTCTGGTAAGTCTCAAATTAGATCTCTTTTTTTCACCAAGTCTTGGTCAAATGATTTGAGGAGAATTTGTTTTGTTTGTTTTTGCAGTCATTAGACTCTTAGCTGGAGACTTCTCACGAACAACTGTTGAGTTAATCTGCAATACAGGGTATTCTCACAAGCTTGGCAAAACCAAAGGGAACAACATTTTAGCGATCTTGAAAATACAAAATTTGCAAAGAGTTGTTGCAGGGTTTGAGGATTACAGAGAACTCGTGAAAATAAGAGCGAACAAGCTTTCCAAGAAACACTCGCGGTGTATGGCTGATGGGAACGAGTTTCTTGGGTTCCACGGTACTAGTCTTTCATGCGCTCTCGGTTTGAGTGACAACAGCTCTTCAAACCTCTGTTTCTCGGATCAATGCGGAGTTTGTCATATTCTAAGACATGGGTTCATCCCTAAAACAAGACCGGATGGGATTAAAGGGGTTCTCACAGCATCAACGAGCTCCACAGCTCTTGGATGTATTGAAAATATGGATCAAAGAATGAACAGAGGTTCATTGAAAGCTGTTGTGCTATGTAGAGTGATTGCAGGGAGGGTTCATAAACCTATGCACAAGTTTGAAGATCCTTGTGGATTTTCTGAGTTTGATTCGTTGGCTTTGAAAATGGGACCAAACTCTAGAATTGAAGAGTTTTTTCTGTTGAGTACTAAAGCATTGTTACCTTGCTTTGTGATCATCTTCAAGCCTTGAACACAAACCCCTGTGTAATGCAAATAAATTTCTTTAGTCCTTTGGTATAGTTTTCTCTTACTAGTGATATATTTAACTAAGTGATCTTTGTAAACTTCATTCAATCAGATAAGGACTCGACACCAAATCATCTCTTTAACTCGAAATTGATGTATATTTCTAAGTTGCACATATCTTTTGGTTGTTTCCATCGTCAAGAGATTTGAATACGGCAATTACCACATCAGCCGAATCTGAAAGTGTATCTGACTGCCACGTAATCAATCGTAAATAGTTTATTTTCAATAGGGATAGGTTCGTATTTTAGCTCTTTTTAAGGGGCGAGAGGAAAAAAAAACATTTTTCCGTCCATTGAGGAAGCAAAGGTTTGTGATATTAATAAAAATCCGAGAGAGAGGAAAAAGGAGAATCTGAAGAAGCTGAAACCATAACCGAAGCTTGAGAAGCCCCACAGCGAGGGAGGTAAAAATCCCTAACCACTTTCGTCTTCTTCCCTCTCGTCTCCGGCGGCGTAACAACTCATATCTCAATCGGAGAAGAGAGGTTGTCAAAGCCGATACGAAGCTGTGACAACGATGTCGAAGAAAAAAGTGGCTGGTAGCACCATGACGCTTAAGGACTTCCATGGCGGCTCTATACCATCTGATCTCCCTCTCCCTTCTGCTCCTGGAGTGTAAGTCTCCTCTTGATTCATATATATATAGCTTTCGTATTAGTCTCCCTTTGGATCGCCTCTTTGTTACTGTGCTTATTGGAGATCAGTCGAATCCTTGATTTGGTTTCTGAGATTCGAGTGATGTTTCTGTTGATTTTTCCCCCCGGCTGTACCTAGGGCTATTAGATCTACATCGATTGTTTTCTGATTGTTTAGGTCTGTATCGGCTGACAAGTATCTGTGGTTTGACATCAGTCATTTCTCCTTTTTATGATCGATTTTTGCCTTTATAGGATTCCGAAGATTGCTACGGATCGACCTGTTTTTGATAGAGCGCCTTGGGGAACTTCAATCGGCCGACCTGAACAGAGGACAAGGCCAAGCTCCTCTCACACTATTAGGAATTTCGATGATAAATCACTGTTTCTGCCTCACACTGCAAATATTGGACGCAATTTCAACGAGGATGAACGGAAGCCTCTGGATGGTCATTCCGCTCCTCGTAGAGTGGTCAGTGATGATGTTTTTCGGGTTCCAAACAGCCGTCTGGAGGTGAAAACAGACTCGCTTTTAACTGGGCGACATGGTGGTTGGTCACCCAAGGCTGGTACTTTCCCTGGGAAGATTAATGATGTGACTCATTCTGTGACTGGTAATATTGAGAACTCAGTGTCAGGAACTCACCCTAATGTTTGGACTGGGAGGAAGGATGTTTCAGTGGCTAACACTGAGCCGGGACAGTCCCCATGGACTTCGCAACCAGCTGTTTCTAATTTGGTCCATTCAAGTGCGCTTGACCAAGTGTCTTCGGGAAGATGGCAGTCCAAGCTTTTGGTTCCTTCTCAGATGGCTTTTGATGTTGTTAAGCATTCAGAGATAGATAGCAGAGGTTACAAGACTAATAGCCCTTTGCTCAATCAAGGGGATGAGCCACATAAAGAACAGGGCCTGGTCGTCGAAGATGGGATCCAAGGTGGTAAAAAGTTTTCCCGTGAGTATGAAAAAATCCCTGGTCCAACTTATTTGGATGCTAAGGATGTAAGAGTTGTATCAAGCAGCAGCAATAAGCCTCATCCAAATTATTCTGACGTTAGGCCTGCTGGACATTTGGTGCAAGCAACTGCCCCGTCCGAAATCGTGGAACGACCTAAGCTGAACCTGCTGCCTCGCACAAAACCTCTTGAAAGCATTGAGAAACCTGTTAATGATGGAAAACTGGTATTAGTTACAAATTTTTGGCTGCCGCTTTGGTTATCAGGTTTCCTTGTTGGTCTACTGTGTTTTCTGATGGCTCAACTCTATATCTGCAGGAAAATGGTGGTTCAAATCTAATTCAACGTGATACTGGTTATGCGACACAGAAAAGTATGAACATTTCAAAACCTGGTTTGTCTGCGGATGAGATTCCTAACCAGCCGATTGAGCGTCCAAAATTAAATCTGAAGCCCGTGGCACAGTTGCTTGAACAGCCAGAAGTTAAAACTGAAAAGGAAAGGTAAGGATGACCAAAAAGTTCTATTAAGCTATGGGACATAGGTAGTGATAGATAAGAGTTGCTTACTGGAAAGATTATGCTCTGAGTCGTGACACTTTTGGTATCTATTCAAATTGAGATAGATTCTGAAATTTGCTTTGTGTCAAACTACCCTCAGAATTCCTAGAATATGCTAGGACATTGAATTTAGTACATAGTTTTTTACTTCTCTAAAATTATCTACTAGACCGCTTCCATGACTATTATAAGTAAACTTTCTGTCAAACACGCTTACGATTTCTGGTCCATGTTGCAGGAGTGCGGTTTTTGGCGGTGCCAGACCACGAGAGCTGGTGAGTGCATTGTTTTTGTAACTCTTTCTTGTTAAGTTGCCTGTTTGTTCAGCATCATTTGATTTCTTAGCTGTGTAGAGTCGTTTAGTTTTGCAACTTGATCTTAATCTTTATTTGTGCTAGGTATTGAAGGAGCGAGGCATTGATGAGATCGAGCATCAGAAATTGGAGCAACCGACAGACAGGTTTGGGTTTCTTCTCGCTGCTCACATTCCGGGATACTTTGTGGGTTCCAACTCTTACGGTTTTATTGAGTTCCACTATCTAATTCTAAGTTCTTTTTATTACTTTCCGACTTATCAAATAGGATGGTCCTCAAACCAATCGAAAGAGGTCCAGAGAATGCAGTTCAAAGGCCATTGAGTTCTCCCCGTGACTTGAGAACAAGGAAATTTGACCAAAAGGATGGGCGAAATGTTAGCGAAATTGCCAGATCCGAAACTCAGAGGAAAAGCTGGCGTGAAAATGAAAACAAGAGCTCAAGACAGCAACAGCAGACTCAGGAGAAGACAAGACATCCATCGCCAGAGACATGGCGAAAACCGGTTCCCCCGAAACCGGAATCACCAGATGGAACAGGGATTCGTCATGGGAAAGCCGCTTCTGCCCTTGAGCTAGCTCAAGCCTATTCTCCTTTCTCTGACCCTAAATCCGGAATTAGAAGCAGCAACAGTTTTAACACAAGCCGCAACAACCAAACGCAACAGCAACCGTTCTCTCGGTTGGTAGGATCGACAACAACATAACAAAAGATTAATGGCTACTGAGTTATTGTCCGCTTGTTCTTTAATTGGATCTTGATTTCTGAGTACTTTTCATGTGGTTTGTGGGATCGGTATGAGAGATCTGAATGTGATATGTTCCCTTTAAGAACGGGTCGGTTTAGATATGCCAAATATGGTTACATCGTGTTCTTCATTCTTCTTTGGTTATACATTTTTCTCTTAACCGTTCGTGGGAATGTTTGAGAATTCTGGCATAAGCGTGAACATATTATTCAAAAACTTCTCTCCTTTTTTTTTCTTTTTTTTTCTTTGCGTTTTATCGACATATCTTTCAAGAAACGGAACCCGTCAAATAGTAGGCAACTATAAGAACTTGAGGAAACCAGTGACTTCAAGTAATTTCTCAAAGGGTTTGAGAGAAGGCCATGGCTACACCTACTAATGAAACGTCAACGTTTCACACGGACAAATCTTTCAGGTCAGAAAATATGATATTGAATCACCCACACGACACAAGAAAGTAGTGACATACATATGATTTAGATGGAATTTAAGGTTTCTACACCACAGACACCAACTGTTTCCATACATATTGATATATAAGCCTCTAAAGAGGAAAACTCTTCCACCAAATTTGCATCCGCTTCTAACTGTTGTCTGATTTTTCCAGAGCTGCAAGAAAAGGTTTGTGGGTACCAGTAAATAAATTGAAGAATACAATAACGTCTGAGTCAACAAGATATGATAAAGTTTGGAGAGTGTACTGTTGTAGTTGAGAAGCTTCTCAATCAGATCAACATGAGTCATTAGCATACGCCTGCAGCAGTATCTGACTAGTTGGAGTGCATCAAGTGCGTCCCTGCAAAATAAAAAGGATGTTGTAACTTCATACCTAATGAGGACTAGCTTAAACAAAAAAAAAAAGAGCCTAAACAAAGAATGTGCTCTCAAGAAAAAACTATGAAGCCACAAGAAATGCAAAACAACACGGATTGAATATCAAGACACCAGGGATGGAAAAAAAGAATCATAAGTCATCGAGTCTTCATTAAAACTTATAAATGGTCGAGACAGAATCTACAAACTAAACAAGATAGGCAAAATAGTCTCTTCCAGTAAACACATAAACAGCAGATCATTCTCTAAAGCCTTTTAAACTCTTGATTGATTTGCATAACAGCGTAAGTGGTGTTAACTAATCACATACTTCACGTATTAAACCATTCTCTAATGTTCAAACAAAGTACTCTATTATTCATAGAAAATAAGATTAGTCCAATAATATTCATGAAGATGGGCACAAGACTAATCAAAAGACATCAAGTTTTACTTTCTACTTCTAACTAAACTACTGGTTGGATGCCAAAATCTGGATAGGCACATAGAGATTATATAACAGGCAGGACACAGTCTCTTTTAACGACGACATTAAAACATAAACAGAGGATTATGATAAGGTAACTCCTTCAACAACAAATCTCTTAGTTTATTCAATTAGAGAAGTGGTGCTAACTAATCTCAAAATTCACAAATTATCCGCCTAGAAAACTCAAATAAACTACACTCTTTTCACACACACAAACACAAAGTAGGAATGAATAGAGGAAGAAGTGAAGCTTACCCTTCAGTGTAGTCAAGCTGGAGGAGATCAAGATACTGATCCCATTTGTTTCCAATCACCTAAGCAAATCAGAAAATGAAAGCTTCTTAGTAAAGCTCAATACTTTTCTTTCATTCCTCTATAAAGAATAATCTAATCTCGACCCAGCCAGTAAAATCGGACAAGAGAGAGAGAGTAAAGGTCTCATCTTTGGTGCCAAATTTAGACTAACAAAAACCCTAAAGAGAAGGAGTAAAACCCCCTAAAATAAGACCATAATGAAGGGGAAAAAAACAAACCTTTCCACAAGTGAAGCAACGAACAGGGATAATCATCTTCTTGGTCGTTGGTCTCTCTTTCTCTCTGCCAAGGATTTTTAGGTTAATTCTTTTGGGAGACTACTCCTCCTCCGTTCGTATGCCGCCGGCTTTATAAAAATGAATTTCTTTCTTCTTCTTTTTATTTAAATCATTAAAAAACAAAAAAAAAGGAAGGTCGGTGAAAGACTATAAAGCCCTGCATAATTTGAATTATTTACCGATTCAATTACCTTTTATCCGGGTCACCCACCCGAACTAAGCAAAATCTGGGTCGCCCGCCCAGATACAAAAATCCCCGAGGTTCATCTCATCTACTATTAATAACATTTGTATTCATTAATTGCTTTCTTGTTTTTCTTGAGATTTTGTTACGATTGATGAAACCTTTTTGTTTTGGTTAGATCTTTGAGTGGATGGATAGAAAGAAGATGAGTTTTGCTCCACAGGACTGGAGCTTAAACTTTTTGTTAAACTCATTGCCAAGACTAAAGGCTTAGGTGCTGCTCATGCCTACTTCAATAAAGTTGAGCCAAACTACAACACAAGGGACCACAAAGCCAAGAATTTTCCTGCTTACTTGACTCTCCGATCCATCTTTTGGAACGTGAATTTGAAAAAGAAATGGGGTTACGGCTAGCTGTTCGTCACTATCGCAAAGGTGTTTTACAGGATGATTAGCTCTATTAGTTTTGTGTGTGCGGCTCTCATACGTACTCTTTGCCTTCTTATAATCTCCTGTCGAATACATCTTCGTGCCTACATGCATGTTTTGTTCTGAAGTAACAATAAGCTTCTGAATTATGTATCTCTTCCTTTGTGATAAATTAATCCTAGAGAATATTACCATTGGCCAGCTCACAAACAACTTTTTTTTTTTTTTTTTTACATCAGTCACAACAAACTTTGATACATAGACTTCTGAAGAGAATCATAAATTGAGAAAAAGACCAAAACATCCAAATACCGAGTCACCGAGATAAAGCATACTACGACGATGCTGTTTGTAGAATAACAAAATTATTTAGTTAAACTGGCGGTGACCTAGTACTGTCCTTATCATTATTACTATTTTGATCTTCGTTATTCATCCGGGAAGCTTCCGTTTCTTTCTTCTTACCCCACAAGAACACGTAGAGACCCATTATTGTCACTATCGATCCAATCACACTGTATAGCCAAACAAAAACCCATTAATTTAATTAAAATACTCGTAGTTACTGTTATGAGCAATGGACAAAACATATATTTTTTAAAGGTATATAGAAACGAAACTGATTTCATAGAGGATCGAGAAGAGATCACCTTCCGAGGTATAAAGGAGTGTGTAAGAGTAGGAAATCGAATAGAGTAGCTGAAAAGAGAGAAATTGGCATAATTGCTGATACGAAAACAGCTCCTAATTTCTTTATCGCCCACATCGTTGCTACCGTCGACATTGCTTGTCCTATCACTCCCTATAATAGACGTGTGTGTGTATATATATAATAAGAGTATATATGTAGATGATTTGTGAAAATATATGTATAATATTATAACTTACAGCGTATACAATGACGCCGATCACAAATTTATCATCGATGACCCAATCTTTAACATCTCTGCTCTTGTAAAGACTCAATAAAGCACATTGAAACACTGCAAACACTGACATGAGACAAGTGCTTGAGAAATTGCAAGGGTACTTGACGCTTAAAGTCCCTTGAAACAACATCCATAGAGATAGCAACAAGGTTCCTATGGTCAAGTAGAGACATCCAAGAAGCCAATTCTTGGTCTTGTTGTTGTTGTTGTTGTGGGGAAGAGACTCTATGTGAGAGTGAGAGTTTGATATATGAGGGCCTTTGTAAAATGTTAAGAACAACGCTCCACTTATACATATTAGAGTTCCCATCACTTTTAACATCCCTGCTTGGGTCTTCAGATTCTGTACCTTTTCTGTCCTGAAAAAGAATGTAACAAATTTTTATGCAATTTTGTATGATCTTTATATGGCACAATAAGTTTGTGCTCTTATACGTTGCAAAAAGAAAGAAGAAAATGAAAATTATTTGATATTTACCTGAAAATAAAAGCAAATGCGAAGGTGATTGCAGGCATCAAGCTTACCAAAGCACACGAAACAGTGGCTGACGTGTACGACAGACCAAGCAGATAGAAAAATTGCATCAGACTAGCACTGCCCATTTAATCAAAACCCCAAAAATAAATTAAAATAATATTATTTAGCTAATTACGATAATCATACATATGCTACTAGAATTTATTGTGCTATATATGTAGAAACATTTCAAATGTAATATTTGTATAATAATATAAGATAAGAAGATATTTAAATGGACAATAACAAAAAAAATGAGAAATTAACATAGTGAGAAGACAAACCCGAGCAAACCACTGATGAAATGATCCACCATTAGCCTTAACGTTATTTTCGGTATTATTTTCCTGTTACGTCATTAAGCATTTAGTGGTGTTTTCAACATGTTAAAACAGAGCAATTCTCACAATTCTCATATTTTATTGGCGTCAACAAGTACTTGGTTCTTATAATAACTGTATATAAGTGTTAATATATGAAATACAATCTTTGGATACCTTTGAAAATTTTGGTGTCTTGAAAAAAAAAAAAAATCCATATGAGATAAGCAAGTCTTCGTTTTAAGAACATAAAGGAAACTCATGATCAGATATGAAGTATTAAACCTTTCCAAAATATAGGCGATGGGAACAAGAATGAAAGAGGAAATAGCCATTCGATAAGCACCAATGATCATATGGTTCACACCAACATCAAGAGCTTTCTTCACAAGTGCGTTCACCGAACCCATCGCTACTTGTGATATCACCATTACTATAACCGGTGGCCACTTTGCGGCTACTCCCACTCCTCGCATATCTTCACCCATCTCCTCTCTCTCTCTCTCTCGTTTTCTCTTTCTTTCTAAGTGAGTTTGTGTGTAAGTGTGTGTATGCGTGTGTAAGTGTGTTAGAAAGAGTTAAGAGCCAAAATGTGCTTTGAGTTTGGTAACCATAAAACTTCCCATATTTATAAGAAATATTTATGGTTCACTTATTCTAATGGGAAACCTCTGAGTCGCAGGATTGTTGTTACACTAACTTAGTAATGGTATCAAGTTCAATGTAATTAAATAATATATAGAATCTTGCTCTATTTTTAAAAAGAAATTACTAAAAGTTGATGTATACATATTTCTTAATTTGGCGAAGAATCTAAATGTTCCCACTCACTCACCTTATACAATATTATTCTGGTTGATAGTAACTCAAACGGAAAAAAACTTGCTATTTATAGAGAGGGTAGGCGTTTGTGAAGAGTAGAACAACACAAACAAAGCGTTATTACAAAAACTCCGAGCTAATAAGTTAATGTGAATATGTGATCATCGCAAACTTAGGTAACATCAATGTTTGCGATATAAAATTACGATTGCTTTAATTGTTTTTTTTTTTTTTAATTATTTGCTCTCCATTTTATACGCTATATGATACATAATCTGGCTTTATCGATCACACGTTTCATGCATGAGACGCCGATGAAATTAGCTTTGTCATATTTGGTTCGTGTCATCTACCGCGCATCTTATATAAAAAGTTAACGGAACTGATTTTTGACAAAAGAGATCGATGTTGGTTGATTGATTCAGTGCATGAGAGAAACAAGTCACGCAAAATGAAGTATAACGTATGCATGAAATCGAATATGAATGTGATATTAATGGCAATTGTGCTAATCTAATCCGAATTTTATATAAAGGATCTAGGAAAGCTTGAGTGATTTATTAGTGGACGGTTCAGTTTGCTCTCCAGTAGTGCGGACTGCGGAGACATATTCCTTACACTAATTAGTAATTACTTTGATCATCAATTCACCAACTATATATGGGTATAATTATAACATTTAAGCTAATAGTTCTAACTTTTTTTATCGAATAAATTCACCAGACTATTATGGAAAATTGATAAGAATATTAAAAATCAGACGTCTCAACCAAAAAAAACCCCAATAGTATACTTTTTACGTTAAATTTACCACAGATAACAAAAACGCCTTAGATATGATCAATTGATTCAGATGCGGTATGTTAATAATATTTGCACAAAAGAGTTAAATAATTCGGTGGATCTTCCTAGCTGGCTTATATCGTATAGTTTTTTCATAATTGAAAATATAAATAATTCGGTAGATATCGATCGTTCGTTGTCTCTTAAAGAAATGTTTTTAGAACATTTATTGATCAACTCGACAGTATTGGTAAGAACGTTGGACCAATCATAAACAAAGTAGGACATACATAGTAATAAATATAAATCAGCTTTCATCATCAATATCAACAAAGAATGTTGTTGTTCTTACCTCACTTCTAATAACTCCTGAGTTAATTAATACATCCGGTAACCATAGGAGGAGATCTCAAACTGATTTCTTTCTGTGCGATTCTCGTAGCCGTACGGATATGAATCCCCGAATAGGTAATCTGATGTCGTCTTCCACGGGTCAGAATCGTTGCTTTCCCAGCAAGAAACATTAGCAGCAGCCGCACGATCTTGTTCATCTCCCTGAAGTCTTTTGTTACGTAACACACAAGGAAAGTAACCTCCGAATATTACCTCGCAGAGATCCGTTGCTTCTAAGCCGGAACCAGACGGAATGTACAAAGCTTTCACTTCTCCTTTATCTACTACAGTTTCATGCTTCTCAGTTCCATAGCTTGAACTGTGATCTTCTTTCTCATTTCCAGAGCTCGAACTGTGATCTTCTTCTTCTTCATCATCATAATCATCATCATCATCTTCATCATCTTCATCTTCTTCTTCCTCCTCACTTTCTTCTTGTTTTTCTATATCCTTTTCTTTAATGGTTTCAACTGGTCTGGCTTCTTCTACCGGTTCAGCAAAAGTCACACGTTTCTTGGCAACATTCTTTTGACCACCGTCGTATATTCCAAGAGGAACAGGAGCGATAATCTCAGGGGGAGAGGGAGCTTTTGCGTGGGGAGCATTTGAACAAGGGTAACAAGTATCCACCGATGGAGGAAGAGGTTTCCCGTAAGTTGCAACGGCATCGTAACCACCACCGTACGGCGTTGGATCGTAATCGTCGAACTCAGGCTCGTTGAAGTCAAGAGCAGAGGCTACAGAGCGATGGATCATAAACTGAGGAGGAGACTCGTAGGTTGTATAGAGATTCGGATCATAGAACAAGTGTTTAGGCTCAGACATGGTAGAAACAGAGTATGCAACAGATGCAGAGTTTGTCTCAGTCTCAGATCCATTCCAGTTATAAAAATTATAACTCATTGGATTATAACTAGAGTAAGCAACAGTTGGTTCAGATTCAGATCCATTCCAGTTATAATTATTATAACTCATTGGTTCGAAACCAAACTCTTGTTGTGGTTGACTATAATGATTGTTGTGATCGTAGAGATTAACCTGGTCGAAGTCGTAGGGGATTTGGTAATTCTCATAGAAATTGGCCATTTCAGATTTGATTTGAGAGAGCTTGAAGGATGATCTTGATGATTAAATGCCTCTCCCCCCCCTCTCTCTCTCTCTGCTGTTGTTGTTGTTGAAAGAAACAATATTGAGTTGAGCTCTCTGTTCTGTTCTGCAGATTAAACTGATTTGAAATGCTTGGTTTAAGTCCGTCTAGAGTACTAGTGTATTATTCCATGTGATGTGTTGATAAGGTGGGGACGACCGATGTCGATGGTGAGTTGGTGACGAGTGTGTAGTGAGTAGTGACCCTACACAAAAAGTTTCAACAGACGCAATATTTTGTCTTGTCCGAAATTGGTGTTGAGAAAAAACGTGGTAAAAAGTAGTGGACAAAGAAATCAAACCAAACCAAACCAAACTGAGCTTTACCACCAAGCCAATTTGCTTGATAGTTGATAGATTTCGAATCTTAATTCTAGCTTATGATCTAATAATAAGTGTAAAATTGAGTAACTTTAGCCGAAGCCCTCTACTAGGCGAAAATAGTGTTCTTTAGACTTCATCCTACAAAACAATAAATATTGTTCAAGAAGGTATGATGGTGATATAGTATCATCTTTTGATACTAGACGATTTTACACCTGACTTCAATAAGCTAAGGACTAACCAAACGATCAAAACTCGCAAACACTCCATTACAAAACAGCTATCTTATCAGCGTTTAAGAGGAATCAGAGGCGGCTGGTTCTTGCCTTGGTTTCCTCTGTTCAGGAGGTGGTGGACCATCTCTTTTTCTTTCGTACCTCTTACTTTGATACTTTGTGTTATTGCGCTGCTTTGGTTGGTATGTTGGGTATGTGCACGGAATAATCTCTCCATTGATGTACTTGTCACCTACACCAAAAAAAGAACAATCCATTTATCAGAACATAGATACAGAGATAGATAGAGAGAGAGAGAGAGAGAGGAAGAGAGGCCCTAGAAACTTTATTATCAGGCTTTGATGGGTTACCTCCGTAGTCTTTGTTCTTGACATCTATGTAGGAGTCAGGCAAAACCCAAAGAACGCCAGGCAAACCTGTGAAAAATGAAAGATCGAGCTATCAGTATGAAGGCTTTCCACAATTACAAGTATAAGCTTTCAGCAAGGGGATTAATTATCTTCTTCTTTACTCACCCTTGAACTTCTCAGATGTTTCTTCGTCAATGGTGCATTGGAAGCCAGTATACGTGGTGGTGCTGAATGCATACATGTTCTTCTTTGCCTCTTCCATGCTAGAAATCAGGCACAAGTACATTCAATATCCAATTACAAATAACTGGTTATGCTGGAAAATGGACAGAAGTACACTAATTGATCATAACAGCAGCACGACAGTGTAGAAAGGTTTCAACTTTTCAAAAATAGCTAGTAGCAACAAATACCCGTCTTATCAAGGAAATCATAGTTTGGACTCAGGAGTCCCAATCTAATGCTTTTCACAAGTGTACACTAAACCACTTTTCCAAACATGGCTTGCTTACACTATCCACATCAACTTTGAACGAAGAAACACCAAGCAAAACATCTAAAATTTACACATAGCTTGAAGAATATATGCAACATAAACGCGTCTATTCCAAGTGTTGTTGATAACAAATCCAGACAGCAATGTTTTGCTTTCAGTATGCAGCAATGTCCAATGTGTTTGCACATATCAAAGTGATCAAAACAAATCAGCTAAAGGTTACACTGATATATTCATAACGAATGGATTTCAACCAACTTTTTCAATCCTCATGTAAAGTTTCAGAACAGATTCTAGAAACTAGGTCAACTTCAAAGCAAAAGGCTTTACTCAGTTCACTAAACCCTTGCCTTCCATTATCATCACAAACCAAGTAAAAACCCTAATCTCATGAAACCCAAATCTTTCCTATACACAAGATTGATTTCAAGCTAGCGTATCATGACAAGTCCATTAACAACACAAAACATAGCTCTATGTAAGTCGTTATTAGCTCCACTAAGTCAACAGCGTAGAGAATCAATCACAGGCGAAAACGAACCTTCCAAGAACAGTAGCAAGAGTGTTAAGGTAAGTATCAATCATCTGGTCTCTAGTTGGAGCTGGATCCTTGGGGAACTCCATTACAATAAGCCAATGATTGTAATCGCAACCAGGAAGCATAATCGTCTCTCTCTGCTCATTACTACTGCCCCGTTTCGAAGAGTAGTCCGAATCAACCGTCGCAGCTTTGACAATCGCCACACGACGCCGAGACCCAACGGCGGAGATGCTCCGGAGCAGAGGAGTCCATGTGTCGCCAACGCGGATGCCGGAGGGTGTAGTGAAACGATTCAGGTGGCTTACAGGGAGAAGAGTTTTGGGGAGGAGCGAAGAAGAAGAAGATGTTGTAAAGGAAGCCATTGAAATTGCAGAAATCGAAGAGAGAGTGTTCACTGCTTCGACACTTTCACTACAGATTTGGAGAGGATAAGATACTTTTTACTTACCTGCTCCGTGATGAAGAGACACGCCTACGAAACGACTCAGGCCCATTAGATAGTTTGGGCCTATCAGAAAAATTCGTAAGGTGAGATATAAGATGCGCAGGCTGCAGAGGCAAGAAGCGACTCTGAAAGAACAAAAGGATGCAACCTACAAAAAGATATGTCAGATGGAGTCATCCGCAAGAGATCTTGGTGTAGAGCTTGAAGATGTGGAGTTTGATTTTGAGACAACTTTGTCGGCTCCTTGGTAAAACATAACTACGATGAGCTCTTTTTGTAAGTTGATTTAAAGATTTTTCTGAGATCATTGTCCCTTATTGATTTATCATTTATGGTTGATGATGGTGTTCAATTTTCACTTATTAACTTTGCAAGTCTTGAACCAATCACTTTGTGTAGTTCTTATGCAGAACACCCATCTCTGATTATCTGGTAATGATACAAATGCAGTTATTAGCACATGGTAGGTATCTAATCTTTAGCCTTCCTCTTTGTTGATTTCAGGTGAAAGAGTAAGCATGAAGGGAAAAAAAACAATCCCCAAGTGTAGCTGAAGATTGGAGTAGAATGTCTTCTTTTAGTCAAATTATCTTATGTGGTAGAGACTTGTGAACTATAAAGGGTCTTAACTCTCAACTCTCAAGTCTATTTTTTTGGTCGTCGGGTCATGTAGAGAGGAAATGAAGCTAGTTATGTACAATAAAGCTTGTACTTATGTATTCCCCAGTTAATAAAGCTAGTTGTCGGACATATTTACATAATACAGTATGGAATACAAAAAAACAATAATAAAGGATTAGTAATCTGATGCTGATAACATACAACTTTTCCTTTTCATTAGGTATTTTGTATCTTTATTAAAGTGATTTTGCAAATGTTTATACAAATGATTTTCTATATAAACAAGTATAAATAATTTGCTATAAACTGATACCTACCTTAACACTCGTTAACGACCTTGAACATCGGAGATAGTAACGTCATTAACAGTACTACCGGTTTCTCCGGTGGGCCAATTATCTGAGATGCCGCCACTTTTGACGTTTCTCCTCCTTCCCGCCGTAAACGCAGGATGCTTCGGAGATGGAAGATCAATGGCGTTGTGACCTAACATGAAGACAACAGATGACATGTCTGGTCTGTCCGAAGCGTTTTCTTGCACGCAAAGCAACCCAATGTGTAAGCACTTCATTACTTCGCTCTCATCATAAGAATCTTCACCCATTAACTTGTCTATGATCCCTGAAGCTTCACCTTTTTCCCATAGATCCCAAATCTACAAGATGAAGAAAAAAACAATAGTGTATGTTCTGTTTTGTTCCTCTGTTTTCTTTTTTCCAGTCCCAAGTTATGTGAAGAAAGGAAGAAGTTTTTACTTACATGTTTCACTAGATTCAAAGACTCCTCATATAAAGCACTGTTTTTCTTTCCCGTTACGATCTCTAAGATCAATACTCCAAAGCTGTAGACGTCGGATTTGATAGAGAATTGGCCGTCCATTGCATACTCTGGTGACATGTATCCGCTGTGACATTGAGATTGAAACGACCTTAAAGATCGAAAAAACGAAACTGGAGAGTTTTGTAGGATCGATGTAGAGACTAACTCACTATGTTCCGACAACTCGATTTGTGCATCCTTCTGTTTGATTTCCCCCGAAGATTCTCGCCAGGCCAAAATCCGCAATCTTGGGTATCATTTCGTTGTCAAGAAGTACATTGCTGGCCTTGAGGTCTCTGTGGATGATTCTCAGTCTTGAATCTTGATGAAGGTACAAGACTCCACGAGCAATCCCGCGGATTATCCTCATTCGTTTTGGCCAATCTAACGCTGCTCTATACTCCTCATCTAAGAGGGCAATAAGAGGAAAGAACAAAACAAAAAATCAATTTCAAATTCGAATGAGAGAATATGAATCTGTAGAGGAAATGTTTAACGTACGGAATACGAAGTAGTCTAGGCTCTTGTTTGGTAAATACTCGTATACCAGCATCTTCTCTTCAAATTCAACACAACATCCTAAGATCCTCACGAGATTTCGATGCTGCAACTTCGATATCAACTTGACCTCGTTCTTGAACTCTTCCATTCCTTGGCCTGAGTTTTTCGACAACCTCTTCACTGCTATCTCCATACCATTTTGTAACACGCCCTGAATATTTAACAAAGGAAACATTACTTTTTGGAGAAGCATTGATGAAGTTTTTGTACATACAAATTTTAGGCATTTGTGAAGATCGTTTTTGCTTTTTCCATACCTTATAAACAGGTCCAAACCCACCTGCTCCAAGCTTGTTTTGAAAAGAAAAGTTATTCGTAGCTTCAGCAATCGTGCTAAGCTCAAAAAGAGGCAACTCCCGGCCTCTAGATTTGTCCTCAAGCTCTTCAAGTATGAATGAGTCTTCAAGATCAAAAGAGCTCGGAGCGAAGCTTGATGGAGCTTTTCTATGCCTATTAGACTCTGCGCTTGTGCATATTTTCAATTCATTAGCTGTGAGCTGAAGCAAACATATAATCTTAAAACATCATCATCAGAGAGTTTCTTACGTCTTCGTTTCCTTACGAAACAGAACAAACTGATCATTAGTAACATCACGACTACAGCCAAACCGATGAGGATTACAAAAAGTCTCCTCTTCCCTGATGAGCCATTTCCATTCCACTGCGCTGAGACAAGCAAAAAATAAATAGAATAAGTACTTAGAATTCTTCTGCACGGTCACATCTCTTCTATCTCCTTTGTTGCAATAAAACAGAAAAAGTTGCAGAGTATATGTATGTTAGTACCTAACTCTGCCTTATCAACGCGTAAGTAGAAATCTTGTCCTGAGCTCAAGTACGTCCTAGTATCCAACATATTGCCGTGCCATGTCAAGCACCCTTTTGCTCCGTCTTCGCTCTCGTGGTAAGCGCTCGCATAAGCAACACAAGAGCAGTTCTTCAAGCACCTCTGTTCACATTCCTTCAATGTTATGTTCATATCTACATTTACAGCTGATGTATTGGGAATCTTCACTTGCTTCAACTTTGCAAACCCTTCTTTCCCATTACATATTGAAGCTGGTTTTACCCTCATGCACCCATCAGAAGCATCCCTCAAGAACCAATCTCGGGGTGTCCTAGGCTCGTACCCCGGTAAGCAAGAGCACTCAAACTTGTCTGTACTGGTGGGATCGCAGTAACCATTAAAGCCACAGTGGTTGTAGATGTCACACTTATCTTCGGGAGCTGACCAGAACCCGATCCATTTCTTATCCCTCCTGTTCCAGCTGAACCGTTGCAGAGTTCCCGTCTCGTTTAGCACCATCCGTGTTATAACTGAAGCATCCAACACTCCATAAGTGATTGACACTTCATCCGGATTACTCACAAACGAGATATTGAAGATAAACTTGTTTGTCATTTCAGGCACACCGCTCCATCTTTGTCCTGTCCATGACCCAGTACGCCACCACAGAGTCACACCCTTGTACATCATCATCTGAGGAAACCCTCTACGTTCTATCCGGTATGTAATGTTTCCAAGACCTGGATCACCAGGTGATCTCCACGACGTCATAATACGATCCACACCATCTTGCTGAGTGAATCCAAACTTCATAAAGGGAAGTAAAGTGTTTGTAGGATGATTAAAGCTCTCCCAGAAACTTTTCCCTGTGACAGGATCAAGCAGAACAAGGTTGCCTAAATCAGTTAGCTTCGCAACTAAATCAGGTTCTGAGATCATATCAATAACATCAGTAGACCAGAGAGGCTCTGTTCCATTGACAGATGCATACACACAAAGATTCCCTCTGCTGCTGAACTTTATCAGACCAGATGTGTCATTAATAGGATGGTCTCTGTTTGCAACCCATACAACAGTCTGCTCAGAGACTTGAGCATACCAAATCCCAACATACCTGAGGTTTGAATTCCCCAGGCTGAAGAATCCAAAAGAAAATCTGTTACCTTCAGAGAAGACAACATCACCATCTTTCAAAGACTGTCTTCTCTGGATCGTGTTGTCAGAGTAACAAGATGATTGGAACAATAGGGAGAATAGGAAAATGAAAAAGATGAAGAAGATCTTCATTCTATGTTGGTTTCTGATCATAGTTTGCTGAAACGTAGAAATGATGTGTCTTATTAAAAGCCAAGTGGGTCTCAACTCAACTAACAACATTAACTGCAGAGATATCAAAATCAGTCACACCCTGTTCCGGATTTTTCTCAAAGGTTGAACTTTCAAAAGTTGTAAAAACTGATTCATGTGAGTGTTAGAGCATGACACGAACTAATAAGGTTTACCAACACCGTGAAACCTTTCTTCCTTGTCCACTGAAACATTGCCTCTTTCACTGTGAAAGAAACAGTCCACGCCACCAACAAATTCCCCACAATAATAATTAAGTACTTATGTATTAGATGACAAACATATTATGATATTTAAAGACCTGTTTTTTTTCTTACACAAATTTATTGATAGCTGAAACTTTCAAAACAAATCAGTTGTTCGAATTTCCAGATGATACATGTTTATTCTTCAATTGATCTGAAGCAGGAGGCATCTATTCACACACTCATATATTTTGCTATGTAAAGATGTTGTTCTAAGTCAAAATAACAGGTGAAGATAAAGTCGATAATGACTGCCTTCAAGTTTTAAAAAATCCAACCTCCAATGAGCGTAATGCAGAAAGGTTATCCATAAATCCATCATAATCATATATTGTTCTTCTTGACTAAAAAAAAAGTTGTTGTGGGTAAAAAAAGCTTGACTGCAGGTCCATCAGGTCTATAGAAGAACATTAGAAAGGGCAGAAGAGAAGCACTTATCAGAAAGATAATGCATACCTTAGCCCTTACTTATTTGAGTTTGGCTGCCAAGTTCTTCTTTTTCTTACAAGCCTAGAAAAGTAAATGTAGAACATGTATTCCTTTTAGATATGACAGTTGAGCAGAACTGAATTTAAAACTTTCAGATTAATTAACTGACTAGTAAACGAAAAGTAGCTTGCACTTAATTAATAAAACATTTTCTTACCTGTGTCTGTAGCTTCTTTCTTGTGGAACAGAAACAGCATGGCAATTCAGAAGAGTGCAGCAACAACCAAACTGAGAACAAATGGTGTTTCATTTCCTCTTTCCGGATGAAACATGTTTACTAAAAATATCTGTAACAGGAAGCATACAAATTGTTATGTAAATGTCTTCTGTCCTGAGATGTACTTAATTGTAGAGATATTCTCTTACAGCATAAAACAACAAAGAGGCAAATTATGTATGCAGAAAGAAATGCTGAGAGATGTATATATATACCTATGTCAACGTTGTGTCTACAAATACGGCGAAATCTTCCTGAACTCAAATATGCTTTGGGATTGATCGATTGATGTTTGCTACAACAACTTTACAGCTACATCATATACAATATTTGGAAGCATTTGCTTTAAATTAGGGCCAAACACAAACACAAAGTGACATCAATTCCCATGATGATTTAGGTAGGCATCACGCCAAGTTCATTAATCAGATCTGACAAAACCTAAGAAGTAACAACAACCTCGTTTTCATTGATACAAATTTGGATTGGTTCCAGAAAAATTTCATGAGAAAAGCTACAGCCTGTCTAAAAGTGGGACCATTCATGTTGATGCTGCAGCAAGTAAAGCCTCCTTATCCTCCAGAGCCTTGAGCTCTTGCCTCCATTCCTCCAACTTAGAGAACTTCTCTAACTGCTCTGGCTTAAGGTCTCGAGGAGCAGTCTTCTGCTGTTGAGCTTCCGTGAGTCGGATCTGCAAATGTTAAAAGGAGACAATTAGACAAAACTGCCAGTAGCGTGCAGATTTCTGCATCACCTTGGGTAGCATTGACCTTGGCTTAAAAAAATATTACTATGAATTGAAGAAAATTGACTGAAAACCATTTGGAACAAGGATTATGCATAGCAATATCGTATTTGGGACAGCATATGAGAACCTTTTGCTTGGACTGATTCCAAGCCAAAGGTTCTTTAATGTCTAATTTTAATTAAAGCAGCTGAGAGAGTTAGAAAGATGAAAATCTTACTTTCTTCTTAAGTGCACGTATTCTTTTCTCTATATCTTCTCCTGTAGTTCCTGGATTGGGAGCGTCCCCAGGAACAGCATTATTGGAAGAGACATCCAAAGCCTCCATTTGAGAAGCCAAGACATTCACAGATTGGGATCCATTATATGGAGTCTCAGTAGAAACAGCTTCTTCCTTGTGTACATTACCAGCTGATCCATCCTCAGAGTTGTTACCTTTTTCTGCATTAGCCTGCAGAGGTGGTAATCCGGAAATAACTGAGGACCAAGCTAGTAGCATATGAAACTTACATATGATACACATACCTGCAATCTCTTCTCCTTCTTACGTTCGTTCCTCTTAGCAGATTTAGTCATTGGTTTAGGAGCTGGATCAGGGTCATAACCTGGAGGCCCTTGTGAAGCCATCTCCTTCTTCATCTGTTGCAAATTATATACATATTAGAAACTAGAAAGTGTTCTATTTTCCTTTCTCGCCCTTCTTCAAACCAAGGTTGAAACCCAAAAATTTGGAAACATTATGTGTTGAGCAGTCTAAAGACAAAAGGTGCTACAAATAATGAAAGCACACTATCCACAACCATAAGAGAGATAAATCAATTTACACGAGTAACAATGAGTCCAAGAACAGTATACAGTGTTGACAGAATAAGGATTCCATACCAGAGAACCTTTGGACTGATATTTGACAACTTCATCTTGGGGAACATATCCAGCTCGAATCCGGATGGGCTTCCGGAGAGTACCATCAGGTCTACGTGTGGGCTCCACAATCCTCTCACCCTCTTTAAGATTTTTGCTCAGTTCTGCCATTTGCTTTCTTTGTTCTCCGCTCTTGTTGCTGCTTCCCATCTGATTCCTTCAGATTTTCAATCACTCTTGTAAATTATCTTCTTTCTCAGCTATCAAGTAGACTATTTTTCTGTTACAAATTTGCAGGCCTCATTAAAAGGTTCATGGACTAAAACATTAGATACGAATCTAGTATTGGTTTAACAGAGAGTTAGAACAGTTTTTGAAAGACGCTAAATGCATAACAGTTTAGTTCATACATCATACAATGCTATATAACCAAACAAACAATCAGTGACTTGGTGCCCCAATTCGTACAGCCAGAATTCGAAAACTAATCAAGCCAGGCTGATAACTCAGTTCAATAGTTTAACACTAACTTTGACCGTCCCTCAGATAGTCAGATGTGTCCCATAGCTCTTACACGTCAACAAAGTACAAGTACAAAGTCTCAAGCTTTCTATCTGTCTTATCAGCAAAGTATAAACCTTTGATGATACATTCCATTCCCTATTACTAATAACCTCAAGCCAACTCTTTGATTACAGATCATAAAACCATACATATCCAAAACAAAAAGTAAAAACCTTTTCCGATTCCAAGTTAGCTCAATTCAATGCCTCCAATTCGCTCCCTTAATTTTAACCAAAACCGAGAAATCAACCAAATATAATTTATATGTTTTTTTTTCCGGCGGTCGGAGTTCCTTACACCTTGGTTCAACCATGAAGTGCGACAGAAAGAGAGAGAGAGAGGAAAAAGGCAAAAAAGAAAGAAAAGAAACTGACCTAAGAGTTGGAGCTTTCCTCCGTGGCCGGAGAGCTCAAGTGGTTTTAGCGGAGGAAAGAGGATTCTCGACCGTGAACTGACTGACCCTAAGGAATGAGATCGAGACAGGTTAATGGGGTTTTAACATTCTTCGTGTACTCGATTTTGTTTTTTCCAACTATATAAAACTTCGTGAGAAAAAAAAAAAAAAAAAAATTTCTTCATGAAATTGTTTTACGACCTAAAAATAATAATACGGACCAATCAAAATCAATAAAATATGGTTTTTTTCTTATAAATTTACACAAATCAAAACTGAATATCAAAAGGTAGTAAAAGGTAAACTAGACCTGTGTTTTAAGACAAGTAAATACTTAGGTAGGGAGACAAAATAAAATAACCTTTGGAATGAAAATTAAATGTGACGACATACAAGTTGTCGTCTTTTGAGACCGACCTAAAGCTTATTTTGTTCACACCACCATTCCCTGGTTTGACAATGTCACACGTCGACAATCAGAGTGTTTTTATTTAGCGTTAAGCCCACGAGATATCCAATTTCCTTTTCTGGGCCTGTCTCTCTCTCTCTCTCCCTCCGAACGAAATCACTGACCTGACCTATTCTCTCTCGTCTCTCTCTCTCTCTTCTCCGTGTCGGCTTTAGGTCTTCTCCGGTAAGGAAGCTTCGAACCCAATTAACACCGGACGGAAAACGCTGATCCGACTAGTTCCCTGACCTTTCACCCTCCAAGTTTAGTCAATGAGAAAATGCTCCTCAGTTTTAACGTTTTAGAGATCCGCACCCAACAAGCAACGTTTTCGCATTGTTTCTCACCATCTTCGTCGCCGCTATGTCAAGGTTTGTTAATCAAGCCGGGTTAAACCAATTTCGTATTTTTATTGGCTCTGTTGTGAATTATGATCGGATTTTTGTTTCCCATTTCCTCGGAGACTGATTTACGATTCTTAATGTAAGCTTTTTTTGTTTTGTTTGCTGAATTTATGTGTAAAGTTTCGAAATTTTCGAGTTTCTATTGCTCTTACGTCTTATTGTTGATCGGATCCTTCTTGTGGTTCTCTCCGTTAGCTGACTATTGCTTGCTTGCTCTTTATTTGTTTCTTGCTATTGCAGATTTCTGATCTCTAGAATCGTTGGAAAACAAACGCAATCTCTTATCTCGAACCAGAAAGATAAAGGGACACAATGGGGAAGCTATAGAACTGCTTTTACAGCTGCTCTGAGGTCGCCTCAATTCAGAGTTTACTCTTCGTCTGGTAGGATTCCGAGTAATGGGCATTGTACATTTTCCCTTCGTGATCTTAAAGGAAGTTTTTTGAGTAATCACCTGTCACGAAGTTATTCTACTGCCTCTGCAACAAATGTAGTTAGTCATCATGCCCAAGTTGCTTTGAGAAGGCTTCATCATAAGTATTCTATGCGTATTAGTACTATTGCTCAGGCGTTTTGCTTGTCTCTTACCCGTTCACACTTGTTAATACCTGGGATCGTTGCTGTCACTTGTGGGCAAGTTGCATGGGCGCAAAGAGCTCCTGGTTCTGCTATAGATCACTATGCGTCAGATAAATCCCTCTATACAAGGGCAAAGAATGGTCCTATCTTTCTTTCTTCGTTAGTGTTTTCGGTTATAGAAGGTTTCATTTTGATTGGGAGGGCTTTTTATATAGCTTGTTTGTTTACACCTAGTATTCTGATGGGTCTGGTTGTTGAAGCATGTGGGCCTCGTTTTAGGAAAATATGGCTTCAGATGGTCCATCGAACTCTTGAAAGAGCAGGTCCTGCTTTTATCAAATGGGGTCAATGGGCAGCCACACGACCGGATCTCTTCCCCAAGGATTTGTGTTCACAGCTCTCAAAGCTTCACAGTAATGCTCCTGAGCATAGCTTTGCCTACACTAAGAAAACTATTGAGAAGGCTTTTGGTCGTAAACTTTCTGAGATATTTGAGGAATTTGACGAGGTGCCAGTAGCATCGGGAAGTATTGCCCAAGTACATAGAGCTTCTTTGAGATTTCAGTATCCAGGACAAAAGTCCAAGTCTTCGTTGGTTGCTGTTAAAGTTAGACATCCAGGTGTTGGTGAATCAATTAGAAGAGATTTTGTGATAATTAATTTGGTGGCAAAGATATCGACTATTATTCCAGCTTTGAAATGGTTGAGATTAGACGAGAGTGTGCAACAGTTTGGTGTCTTCATGTTGTCTCAAGTTGATCTCGCGAGGGAAGCTTCTCATTTGAGTCGGTTCATATATAACTTCCGTAGATGGAAGGATGTCTCTTTCCCTAAACCAGTGTATCCGCTTGTACATCCTGCTGTTTTGGTGGAAACATATGAGCACGGAGAAAGCGTTGCACGTTATGTTGACGGAATGGATGGACATGAATGGATTAAAACTAGATTAGCTCACATCGGGACTCATGCCCTCTTAAAAATGCTCCTGGTATTAACCTCTTTGTAATCTTTTAAGACTTATAACTGATATACGCTTCATGGTGCTCTTTATCTCAAGTTAGCTTTTACTTCAGGTTGATAACTTTATTCATGCTGACATGCATCCGGGAAATATCCTTGTCCGGAAAAAGGCTTCCCGTGGAGGCCTTTTCAAAACGAAGAAGCCTCACATTGTTTTCCTTGATGTGGGGATGACTGCTGAACTCTCAAAGAACGACCGAGAGAACTTACTTGAATTTTTCAAGGCGGTTGCACGTAGGGATGGCCGGACTGCTGCTGAGCGGACACTTAAGTTATCAAGAAAGCAGAATTGTCCCAATCGAGAGGCTTTTATCGAGGTAATAATATATATACTCCAAGGTTTATTATACCCCAGGATAGAAGTTGACTGGTCAAGTATATGGAAGAGATCATTACAAAGTTCTTTATTTTATGATGGCTAATACTTTTAGACTCTGACAGGAAGTAGAGGAAGCATTCAAATTCTGGGGTACCCCTGAGGGAGATTTAGTACATCCAGCAGATTGTATGCACGAATTACTTGAGAAAGTAAGACGTCATAGAGTTAATATTGATGGGAATGTGTGCACTGTGATGGTGACAACATTAGTTCTTGAGGTGAGTCAAAATCATCCCCACTTTCAAATTTACTGTAGATTTTAGACCATACTAAGTTTGATGGAAGGTTTTGATATACCTTCCTAACGATGTTGCTGTTGAAACTGTTTGTAGCTTAGAGCATGGTATCTATAGCATCGTTGATCCAATTACTTTCTACAATTCCAGAAAGATTAAATTTGCTTTCAATCTAACTAATCGGTTTGATTATAGGGTTGGCAACGGAAACTCGACCCAGGATATGATGTGATGCACACATTGCAAACAATGGTGTTGAAAACCGACTGGGCTAAGTCTCTTTCTTACACGGTGGATGGTCTGATGGCGCCATAGGAGACAAGAAAGGTTCCATCTTTTTGAAATTTTGTTTGTTATCATCATAGGAGTCAAAACGATTTACACATCTTAGATGAGAGAACATAGAAAGAAAGTACATGTTCTTAAGTTCCTCTTGTTTATTTTTCATTCTTTTCTCTTTTGCTTTTTATTGTTATGGATTTTGGTTCATTCTAACTACATAGAATTGTATTTACGCGGTGGTTTCTGATATTAACCACCCGTTTGTTCTCTGAACCGAAGAACAATGAACAAAAAACAATGAAAAAGGCTGCCTGAGAATGGTCTAAATGATTTGAATAAAGTGTTTACATCCGTGTATATGTTCCCCTTTTGGCTTTGTGGTTTGATTTTGACAAAGGTGCAACAAAACCAAACAAGACCGAAATGCTACACAGGCACACAATACAATGTTTATTTTATATTGTTCATTTCCACAGACTATCAATGTGCATGATCTCTTGTATTTCAATACAGATACTCCACAAGGTGGGTTGATGAATGATCCAAATCTTCTTTATCTGTAAATTACAATGGTTGAATGTGATCACCATCTTCAAATGCAGTATTATACAAAAAGAAGTCTGGTTCACTATTAGCATACAAATGGCCTCTATTCATCCTTTTAGAAGGTTACAGGACTTTTTTGTCGAACTTCCATGTTTGCTATATATCACAGTTTCGAAAACAAACATGAAAGTTTTCTTTTCACATGAATCTCTTTTAACGGTTAGGCAAACCAATCGCCATAAGCTGATGATGATACCAATGCCTACTGCTATGGAGGCGCAGACCTTGATTGCGGTTTATTGAACTATTTTGTCTGTGCTGTTAGGGTTCAGGTGACATAGTTGATACAATGACTGGAGGCGAATGCAGCTCAAGAAAAGCTTTTCCTTCAGAATAGCCGCCTATGCATAGAGTGTCTCCTCGACCATGCCAAATACCGTCATGGACATTGTTCATCTCCAGTGTTTTCGATTCCTACATCGCATCACATCCCAAGGAAATTCAACCAAAATGACATAATGAATACAACTTGTTTTCAAGAGAATGGTATGTAAATAATATACACCTGAGTCAATGTACAGAATGGACAGGCGAGATGGTGTATGCAATCATCCAAGAAACTATCAGTACCCTGTCAAAAGTAAAGAGAACGGAAATGTCATGATGCAGAAAAGAAGAAAAACAACTTTCTTAACACACTCCAGAGCATTAAACTAAAAGAAGGAATGTGCTTACTCTAATGTTAAACTTCCTTCTTATCTGCATACGGAAGAAACCCAAGTAGGATGCAATCAAAAGAACAAAAGCGATAGCCAGGTAGAGAAAGCAGTGTCTTCTGGTTACAGCAAAAGCAGCAACGTTGAATAGGATACCAGCAATAAGAATCATATGAACAGCACCCTGACACATACAAAATTGGTCAGAAACAAGTCAACAATACATAGAAAAGTCAGCATCTTTCAATGATTGCAACTTGCAAGTCAATAACGAGTTAAACGATAAAAAAAGGGCAGAGATCAAAGTATATGTATACGATCTTATACCTGAAGAAAGCAAGAACCAAAACCAGTCCTTGTCATGTTTTTCCCGAATCTATAGCATGGACAGCTGAAACAAGATTGAAAAAACAAACACTATTATTAAAAATTATATTGCTTCATTATCACTCTTTCATGAATCATAAACAACTCAAACAATTACTTTAATTTACAGTAAATGTTTCTCCCATAATGCAGAAAATGTTGAATATAAACCCCATAACTCAAGGGGACAAAAAGCAAAATCGTCAGAATATATGTTTCCACCCTCTTTCGCATTCTGAAACAGTTGACCTCAATTTGACTTTTATCAATTGCCATAATAGAAGAAGCTTAACTCATCAAGCAAATCTCAACACAAATGTAAATTACGAAGAAAAACCCCAAAACTTTATTAAGAAAAAAAAAAACTCTGGAGAACAAAAGAAATGATTTTTCGAATCAAAGAATGATATGAGATGAGTAAAGAGAAAAAAAAAAAACCAACCAAGCGGATTCGAGACAGAGATGACGATCCTCGAAGCAATCCATAACATCGCCTTCCCAAAGCCGCAAAACGCCGCCGCCGTAATCATCATCCGCCGCATCTTCTCCTTCCGAGCTCTCGAGTTTTCTCCATTTCCCTTGAGTCTGAAGCGCAACCGTCGAGCAAAGCAGATCGAAATCCAACACAGAGATTCCTTCAAGTTCCGTTAGCGTCTCCCTCTCTTCAACCTCTCCGCCGCCGTTTTCTCTAATGTCGGCGATTACTCCTCCTCCTCCACCACTCTCTAGTTTATCCAAATCCGCCATTGATATTGAAAAAAGAGAGAGATTTAGGGCTTTTCGCTTGGATATCTTCTCCCAAAGGATGATGGATTTGTGCTTTTCTGGTGAACGCCTTTTGATACTTATTTATTAATTAAGTATTTAGTTTTTATTGTTTCTCTTTTTTTTGTTTTAATTTATTTTTATTTAAGCGTTAGTGATTTGGCGGGTAATTAATTATTCATAAAACCCAGCTTACAAAAACTGTCATTATTAACGGTACCAGCTGTTGCCACGTCAGATATTTTCGGCTAGTGGAAACAGTGATTGATATAATGTTTATTCTTATCCTATCCATCCGCTCAATTATAAGCTAACTAACTGTATTTTTTTTTTAATTTCAGATTTTATAAATTTTATTTTCCGAAAAATGTAACAGATAAAGAAAGTTTTATTTTTACAGAATTTGTCACATGAGGTGTGTGTATGAATCGAAAAAAATACCGAATTAATGAAGTTTCTAAAGAAAGAGGACTTGGCTAATTTAGGGATGTGGTTACTACTTATATTGTTTAATGTTATGGGTAAGTTGTTTGTCTATTTAGCAATTTATGAGTTTTTGTATTCGCTCTCTACCTCCATTAATCTGTGTTTTCAGTTTTGAAGACGTTTTGTTAAGATTTGGTAACGAGAAGGAGTTGTGTCGTTGGCAATTAAATGGAGTGCTAATTTATAATTGTCGAGATAGCTAGCACCAAATATATGAATTCATGAGATTTTTTAAAACATATTATATGATTCGTTTCTATCTAAATATATGAAACAAAACTTGTAAAAAGGTTTTAACGATATCCCAAACTTGTAACTTGATCATGTTATTAATTGTTAAAAAAAAAAAAAATGTTGTTAATTGTTATGTCTTAACTGGCCTAACAAGTCCCAAACCTGAACCACTACTGCCCAAACACTCGGATGTTTTTATGAGAGTAATAAGCTCACTGAATCAAACAGTACCCAATTTAATTAACGCTTTATTATAAGAAATAAGACTATCGAAAAATATGGCTAATTTAGGAGGTTAACTATAATGGTAAGCTGTTAAATTCTTTTTATTTTTAGAATAATCATCAATTAGGCACATAGAAGATACTGTAGTATATATACTCTTGCTGAATAAAATTGTCTTTATTATTATCATCTAGTGTAACGCTAATGTTTATAATATGTACACCAAACAGTGAATTTAATAACGAAGAAAGAGGACTATGGCTAGTTTCGACTAGCTACGTGTACAATGATGAGTCCTAACTCCTAACTGTTCTGTTAAACTATACTGTAATACCTAGTAATGAAATGATATATAAAAAAAAATGGTCATAAGTAAAATAAATTTAAAGGATTATGGTAAATTCGTCAACTTGACAATGACATTTTTGTTTCAACTCAACAGAACTGGGTAACTTATGCCAAAAGTCAGAAGAAAAATATTAAATTAGCGTGAAATTGATGATGATTCCTTTAGCAGTGGGTGAACATTATGATCGATCACATATATCCAGCAGCTAGATTAATTGGTGTAAATTGTATCAGCAATTGTATTTCTTAATGGACCATCTTTTTTAAGATTCCATCTTAATTCAATGTATGATAAACTTTCATCGTATATAACATCATGCATTAATGGATCATCCACCAATAAGTCATTTATATGAGTAATCCAGACGCACATTTCTTATTCTAACAATCATACAAAAGCCATATTTTTTTGTTCTTTTGTTTCACTCTTTCTATATATTGATGCACTCTTTTCATTAATATTTCATATATTTATTTATACAAATTAAACATTTTGTTTTCATGTGTTTGATACTCTGATTTTATTATTGATAATTAATATTTTTATATGTATATAGGAGGTTGCATATACAAACGCATATGAGAAAAAATTGTCGTCACGTATAATTTAGTCATATATCACAATAACAGAAACTGTCAATAGCAGGTCTAATATTCCTTATTAGTGCATGCATGCAGATAGATGTATAGACGTTCCATTAGTGCTAGCTGTAAATACAATTTCCGTAAATCTCTATATATATTATGAAGCTTAGCTTAGTTGAGTATGTATAACTATCTCATTTTCTTCCAAAAGCATTGATCATCTTCTTCATTTAACAAAATAAAATAAAAAACTCATCTTCTTCAAATTAAGAGAAATCTCCAAATCTTGAAGGTTCGACAATGGGTTCTTCTGCCAAGATGCAACTTCTAGCTTTGATTTTTCTACTGATAGCTCCAGCACTCTCCCTTGATCAGGTAACTTGTAAACAAATTGTGTAGATTTAAGCTAGCGTACGTTTATGTAATTATATATAAAATTAATTAAGTTCTTTTTGTGTTATGATATTGAAACTTATTGAACCACGGATATTTTGTTTTGAATGTGTAAAAAAATAACTCAAACTTCCGATGACATATGTATTACATCTTTTCAAATATGCATTTTTTAAAAGAATTTAAATTACCAACACCGATCGATCATCTGATTTAAAATATTTGTTCAAAATCTTTTTGCTCTCTCTCTCTCTCTAGTCTCTCTACACGTTTGTTTATATCTAATTAAATTCTAGCTTTATATTCCCATGGCAAATAATAATATATATATGTACAACAATAAGAAATGATCAAAGTAATTTTTGTATCCGTCTAATTAGCAGAGATTCGAATATACTAATGTTTGACTTGTTGTTGTTGTTGTTTAGTGTTTGCAAAACAAATTAATACGGTCAAGTTGTAATTGACTTTGCAAATAGAGCCCAGAAATTAGTCAAAAGTTAATTTAACAATAATCAATAAGTTAAGTGTTAAGTCTCCGTTAAATTCTTTATTTTTTTCTCTCCGGTGGTTCAACAACAACTTGTTAAAACTATTTTTCCCTAATGTTTTTTTGTTGAGAAAAATGATTGTTTGAATTTTATTAGAAAAAACAAATTTAGCCCACAATAAAAAGCCCAAAATAAAGTCTTATATGAACTGGCCTTTATATAATAACAAAGATTTGGAGCCCAAAAACTTAGATTTTGTTCTCATATTTGTCATTTTTTCCATATAACATAACATTTAAAACGTTGGTGTGCTCATTGTATTTCACTTTTTTTTTTTTTTAAGGTACCTAAGGATAAAGGCGCCGACTTCATTGTTGCCAAGGACGGCACAGGTCACTACTCCACTGTGAACCAAGCAGTTGCAGCTGCTCCGGAGGGTAGCGTGAAGAGATTTACAATTTATGTCAAGAGAGGAGTCTACCGAGAAGTGGTTCGGGTCGGAGAAAAGAAATCCAACATCACTATAATCGGCGACGGAAAAGACTTAACCATTCTCACAGGAAATTTGAACCACCACGACGGCACCAAGACTTTTGACTCGGCGACACTTGGTAACATTCTTCATCACTATCTTTTTTTGTTTAGAGTTTAGACACTTGTCATCTTGCAACCAAAACCCTCTTCTCAAACTGATTTATACCTAACGGCTACAACTCTCAAACTGATTTATCTCCTTTGCAGCTGTTGAAGGAGTTGGATTTGTGGCACAGGATTTATGCATCCAAAATACTGCTGGGCCACAAAAAGGGCAGGCTGTAGCTCTTCTCATAAATGCTAAAAGAGCAGTCGTGTATCGCTGCAGAATTGAAGGGTTTCTGGACACACTCTATGCTTTCTCGGGTGACCAATTCTACCGTGACTGTCAAATCACGGGAACAGTGGATTTTATATTTGGTCATGCAACAGCGGTCTTTCAGAATTGCCAGATCAAGGCACGCAAACCGGGTGAAGGACAAACCAATGTTTTGACCGCACAATCTCGTGACACTAAGTCTGATTTCTCGGTGTTTTCGTTCCAGCAATGCAACCTAACGGCAAGTTCTGAGCTTAGACTAACCAACGGAACTGTAAAGACGTTTTTGGGACGTCCATGGCATGCATTTTCAACCGTTGTCTTCATGGAGTGTTTTATCGACGGCTTCGTAGATTCAGCGGGATGGCTCCCATGGCATTTGAAGGATCATGCAACCTTGTCGACTCTTTACTATGGTGAATACAAAAATTCAGGCCCGGGAGCAGATACAACTAAGAGGGTTAGTTGGAAAGGGTACAAAATAATCACGGATCGTATTGAAGCTGCTAGGTTTACTGTGGGAAAACTCTTTCCAGAACATTTGTGGATCAAGTCCACTGGCATTCCATATCAACTAGGCCTATGATTAGTTTAGGAGTTCGCCTTTACTACTGCATCATCGTAATCCTTTTCTAGTGTAATCAAGCTAGTTGATATGGACGTCTCCTCCAGTAAATCCTCAAAGTAGGTCAAGCCATCCGTAGTAAGACACCGTCATATATTCGACGAACAATTAGGCATCTGTTCAATGAACTTATTACATAACTATTTAATTGTAGAAGGAAACTGATTTTAAACCCACCTGGGTTAATATTATCTAGCTTGTCAGTTTGACATTCGGATGCTAAAGATAGTTTTTTCTTCAATATTGTTTCTACCAAATAATTTGCCTTGTTAATTACTATCCTCAACTCATCTTCTGAGGCGTGATATATAAGTGATGCAACCAAGTCTACACCTTTTTCGCCTTTCTTATATCTTAACTGAGATTCATCAAATAAATAAATCTGGAGGATATATTATATATGTGACCTCAAACAATAACCTACCAGACTATGATTTTTCAAGATCTTATCCTATAGATAACATATTTATACTTAATTAATTTGACAAAAGCTTCTTTAGTAGTAGGTTTATCTCACTTGAAGAGCTAACGGCATGTTATTTCTGTGAGGCTCACATTGTTGACTGACGCACTTGGGTTGCTGTTCCCCAGGGATTCACCTTGTGAACTGCCCCTTCTAGCAATAAATGCAGGTTTTTTTTGAGCTGGAAGGTTTGAGTTCTCCAAATCACAGTTGAAACACTCGGCCTATCATTTGCGTGATCTTGTAAGCACAACAGTCCTATGTGTACTCATCTACGTATTTCATTTTCAAAAAACTCTTCAGGGATGAGCTGGTCCACAAGAGAAATATCTTCCCTGTCGTTCCATAGTTTCCATGCCTGGTAAAAGTAGGGATAAAGTTTCGAGAATGGTTCAAAAGCTGTACTAGAAGAAAGGTCATGGGTGTGGGTGTAAAATAAGACTTACATAGCTGAAAGATTCAGATTCTGTTCATCATTGTAAAAGCTTGAGTTTCTTCTTCCACTCACAATCTCTAAGAGTATGACTCCTAAGCTGAAAACGTCAGATTTCTTTGAGAACAGTCCTGCCAATGCGTATTCGGGTGCCATTTAACCGCTGCGGGGTTATGCTTTTGTCAGTTGCATAAATCAATAAACACCAAAATAACTAGTTATTTAGGGTGATCCATAATACGAAAACCAAAATCAGAATGAGGAAAGCTACTCACAATGTTCCAAAATCAGAGATCTTTGGGTTTAGATTCTCATCTAACAAGATAATGCTGGCTTTTAGATCTCTGTGTATGATCCTTAGTCTTGAGTCTCTGTGAAGGTACATAAGACCTCTGCAAATCCCATCAATTATGTTAAACCGCGTCTTCCAGTCAAGAAGTCTTTGCTTCACCGTGTCTAGATTACACAGTAAAGAGTAGAATGAGAGCTTTAGCCAACAAGGAAATCACGACAGAACAGAGTTACACCAAATGATAAGTTACTACCAAATAAGAATTTCCTGGCATAAACTCATAGACCAGCATCCTTTCTTTTCCTCAATGCAAAATCCAAATGATTCACAGGGATTGTTCCAGACTCGTTACGGTTTAAAGCTTCCATCCTCTCTAGCAGTAACCTTGTGTTTCTGGTTTTCTCTGCTGAATATATAAAAAATCAACGCCAAAAAAGTTTAACTTATGTTCAATCTAAAATATATATAAAGACATGATTAAGTATAATTTCTGACCTCTATTCTTTTCCTTCATCTGCAATGCTGAACGAACAATCACCGCGATAAGAAACGTGCATCCTACCGACATGATTGTGATCACAAGTGACTCAATCCTTGAGGATTCTGTGAAAGATGTGGTGAGAAATCTATGAGAGTTATACTGTAGTTTTATGGAAATGGGGAAACTGATGTAAGACGGACGGATGTAAAGAGTCACACCAGCACCTAAATACTTGTGCATATCGATCAAGTTTCCGCTCCAAAGAAGACAGCCAATTCCTCTGCCGTAAGAGTAAGGAAGCTGTACAAGAGCAATTCTTCAGACAGCTCCCAGGACAGTCTTTTACATGGGCTTCAAATCGACGTTGATTGTTACGCACTTTCATTTTTTTCAATCTTACAAACCCATCACATTTTCTACTTCCATAGTTGTTGTCTCGTCTCTCGCACTGCAATGGCTCTTTTCTTATGCATCCCTGAGTCCAGTTTCCGCTGTTCCACTCCGTATGACTTTGGGGCTCAAATCCTCTACACTTGCAAGGTGGATTTAACCTGGATTGGCAACTGGCGAATTTTCAGATGACAAAATCTAGAAATGGTAGAGTACACAAACCGGCAGAGTAGCGTCCAGGAGAAGGATCAGACGGGCTTTTCCAAGAGCTAAGCTTAAGGCTCTTCCCCATTCTCACATCAGTAGCAAGTCTCATTGTTGGCAAATATGTGTTTTGAGGATGATCAAAACTCTCCCAAAGAATATTATCATCATTGTTTGAATTCCCTTGCACTATGAGGTTCCCTGTATTCAGGAGCCTTGCATATGTGGCATTAGCAGATACTACCGGGCGTGAGACATTCATGGACCATTCAACCATCCATCTTTTATCATAATCACTCCCGAAGAGTCATTGATCGGGCTGTCTCTGTTTGCTACCCAAACCACGGTCTGCACAGGAATGTTATTGAACCAAGTCCCAGCGTAGCGAGTTAATCGGACTGAAGAAACCAAACCTGAAAGTGCTGCTGTTGGAGACAAGCGTCTCTGAATCGGTGAGCTCGCTAGAGAACAAGAGTACATCGACACCAAAACAAAACCGTGAAGAAAAGAAAGAAAATGTAATGAGAAGATGCAAACGATCCATGCGTTCTCAAGAAGTCTCGTAGCTTTTTTTCTGATAAAAACATCGAGCTTCATGTAATATTATTTATATATCGAAAGAGTTGAAAAAATTATCTAAGTAAGTCAATCATTGACTGGTAGTTTCAATACCGTTAGCACTGAAAAGCCTCAAACTTCACTTATCAACTATGAATATTAATGGAGTGTAAGAGAAGATAAGAATATTATTTGGAGCCGTCAAAGACGTCTTTTGTAGAGACATACATGACCATTAAAATTTATTTCACTGCTTTTTCAAAGAGAACCAAGTATAACAAATACATCAAATCCATTCATCTCAATTTCAGAAGGTTTTAAAGCAACACCCAAAAACAAGACCATACTTACAACGTAAACGAAGATCTAGGATACCCCAAACCAAAAACCGCAAACACCAGACTATGAAGCACGCTCAAGAACACAAACCAAGGGGACAGGAACGCTTTCTTTTCCTTCTATGTTTCGTGAGGGAAGTCTCCTTCTGCAACATGAACGCACGATCAGTCATCACAGATATTACATCAACGATTGCTCCAACTTATAAGGAAGTACTAAACATATCCATGGACAAACCACTCAAGTTTATAATTCGTTCCTTTCGACAAACCTAACGAGATATGACATTGCCAAAACCTATGTAAACCGACTATTCAATTTTAAAACTAACAGAATCCCCACCAACACTACCTATATATGCTGGGATGAAACATTGAACTCTGGTAGCAAACATCATGGAGAGGAAAAAGCCAAAGTAATGATTCTGAAAGATAATGCTGCAAGCATAGCCATTTCAGAGAAAGTTTACCAACAAACAGAGGAATCTTCAAAAAGGGTCACCTCATGTCCAAAGTTTGAGTTTATAGCAGCTTAAAAACTAAGAATTTAAAGATAAAGTGTATCTGATGTTCTCACCACTGACACTGAGACAAAGGTAAGTACAGACATATGCAAGCAGCAAAGCACATACTAACGGACAGCAAATCTCTTGCATATGAAAAGATGGATTTGTAGGATACTGGTCAATATTATCAAGAAATCAATGAATACAGGTAAACCAGTAATATACACAAATCATCAAACATACACACCTCAATCATCACAGCATCGAATTGAATCTCCCTAGCATCCAAGCATACTAGCTGCGAAAGATGACTGCTAACAAAGTTCCTTATACAAAACCTTAAGACTGAAAGTAGTATTAAAGGTCAAATCTTTATCGGAGCATAGTAATGCCGTTGCCTTATAATACGTAACATTCTTCAATGACGACACACTTTCTATACCCTAAGCCAAAAGAAACGTATTCCTAAGTAAACTGAAATTGACCTACATTCAAAGTCAACCTTGATGCTGCTGCTTATCCGGAGCATCATGGTACTCATCCTTGTCTCCCTCTTCCTCAGCCAGCTCAGGCACTGTGTGAAGTTTATCACCTTCTACCAGATTTCCGGGACCAAATTCGCCAGATTTTACATCTTGAACATCTTTGTCGTCAGGAAATCTAACAACAACCACGGGACAAGCACAGTGGTGAACTGAGTAATCACTGACACTCCCTAACCTCCCTTTGCTGCTCCGTTTCGTAGCACCGAATCCTCTGCTACCCATAATCAAAGTGCTTAGCCCTAACCTCTCGACCTCCAAGCAGAGCCTCTCCTTCATATCGTGATCCTTGACGATGTGGATTTTAAACGGAATATCCGCCTCAACCAAGGGCTGAGCAACATCACTCGCTTTCTTGTTCGTGAAAATGTCGAAATCGTCCTCAAGCTTCTTCTGAGACTCCTCGTTGTCCGGATCCCACTGCGGCGACAGGTCAATGGCACCCCAATCGGCGCCGTAAAGTACACTTGTGGGTTGAACGTGGAGGAGAACGACGGCGTCACCTGATCGGAGATAGTTCTGAACAGCCCACTGGACTGCGTACGCACTCTCGTCGCTCAGATCGACAGCGATCCCGATCTTACGTTGTGCTCCAGCAGTAGGTGTGCCGATAGGGAATCTGGGAGAAGACGGCTGCACGGTCACAACCGTCGGTGATTTCCGGTCGGATCTCGGAGATTTTCCCGGAGAAGTCATATTTCTCAGGCGATACACAAGTATTAAGCTTTGGCTTTGACGGTGGAGAAAAGAACAAAGACCAAAGTGGACTTGGTACGGTACCGAAACTAAGGGGTGTTATTTAACATTGTATTTTAATTGATTTGGATATGTTTCAAAATGTAGCGTTATTTAACGATGTATTTTAAAAACCACAATAAAATCTGCTGTTATTGGATTTAACATTTGTTGGATGTATTTTAAAACAAGCGTTATTCAATTTTCAATGCATTTTGTTTTCTTTAAGATTTTAATGTATTTTACATCTAAAACACGTACAAACACAATCCTAACACTTTTCAAAGGATTTCATCTCTTTCATACCAAATCCATCTTAATTGTATTTAAAGGCTATTGAACTTTAAAATCCACCTGTAATTAAAATCCCTTAAAATTCTCCATCCAATAACACCCCCTAAAATAACTTTTTTTTTTTTTTTTGACCAAAAAATAACTTTTTCTTTATAACTTTGTTTTCAATAACAACACAATCCCGAAACTTACATAAACGTTATTTTCCTCTTATTTTTGCAGAAAAGATTGCACAATAACCATAATTATATGAGAAAGTTTTTTGACATTAGAAACTTGTTTGACGAGTTGTGGGTTAGGTTTGAAAGTTGACAGCTCCATTTCACACTCATCCGCATTGTCTTTTATACATTGAACGTCCTCTTGAAATTCGAAATAGTCCTTATATCCCAAATCTGTGAAGGCGTCATCACGACAACTAGTAGCTTTGTCAAACGTTTCTACGCATACATGATAGGAACCTTTAGCGCTGCGATCGGTGGTGCTGTTGAAGAGCGACTGGAATTGCTTCAGCATATCTAAAAGTTTTGGAGAATCATAGTTGACTAAATATTTGACAAGGCCAGCAGGATCCAGTGCTGCAATTTTTGGGGACGATTTCAACAATTTAAAGCAGAATGAAGCATCAAGCTCACTACGTGTGCAGATGGTGTTGATTTGGCTACTTGTAACCTTCGAACTAAACCTTGTAGATGATGCAAGAACGACAAAACCAAGTAAAAGCACTATTAACAAACGATTTTTGACGTTTGAAACCATTTTTGTTTTTTTTTGTGCTCTAAATTTTAGAAAATTATGTGTGATTATTTATACAGAGGGAAAAAAAAAAAATTTGGTCAAAAATATCTACAGAAATGAGAAATATATCTACAGTTTTTAATGCTGACAGATTATGTTGCCATAACAATATTATTTACATAAAAACTTGACCTTTTACCCAAAAGAAAAAAAGTAACAGTCGTTTGTCAAAGGATTATGAAGAGGAGAACCAAAGTGGAAGCATGAGCGAAGCAATGGAAGGATTTGCATCTCTGTAGGTAGTTATTCTGTTTCTGATAGTGGCATCAATCGATCGAAGACTAGTACAAAATTCGTATTTTCGGAATTGTGAAATTTGCGAGTTTGTTTTTCACATATTTGTTCGGTGTCTTCTTCCGTTTTGAGTTTTGGTGAGATTTCTATTGAAGTTCAATGAATGATGAAATCAACAAGTCCTCTCTGTTTCTTTTTTCCCTTAACATGTGTTGTAGAAAACAGAGCATCTGAGCAAACTTGTTTGGAATACATTTCCTGCTTTTCTAATCCAATCATTGAAAATGCACACATATGTAATTGTAATCATACGAGTTACTCAAAACACATATTAATGAGTTAGTCTTCTTTCGCAATCCCAACAGAAAGAAACTCTCCAATTTTGTTACGTAACTAGTGATTATTGCTTGCTGGTGTTCTTTTTAGTTACTTTCTCGCTTTTTATGTCACGTGAATCAGTTCGTACATCTTTTGAAAGTCCAACCTTTGAGAAATATCCGGAACTGGGGCGTGACTGATTAATGTTCAAAAACGACAGAGAAGAACTTTACAGTTAATGTCTGATCCACTTGGCTTTTAATAAGTACGCAGCAAATATACATTTCACTAGCTCCTAGCTCAGAAAACAAACACAGAAATGAAGATTCTCTTTGTTATCTTCTCTTTCTTCCTCATCCAATCTTGTATCTCCGTCGATATGATCACGAGAACAGAGTCCTTGAGAGATGGTGATGTCGTATTCTCTGTAGGGAAGAAATTTGCATTTGGATTCTTCAGTCTTGGGGATTCAAAGCTCCGGTATGTTGGGATTTGGTATGCTAAAATCTCTCAACAGACTATTGTATGGGTTGCAAACAGAGACCATCCTATTAATGACACATCTGGGGTGGTAAAGTTCAGCAGCAGAGGCGATCTCTGTGTGTATGCATCTGACAATGAAACAGAGCCTATCTGGTCAACTAACGTTTCAGCTAGTATCTTGGAAACAACTTTAGTTGCTAGACTCTCTGATTTAGGGAACCTTGTTTTGCTTGATCCAGTCTCAGGGAGAAGCTTCTGGGAGAGCTTTGACTATCCTACAGATACTTTTCTTCCATTTATGAGATTGGGTTTCACACGAGAAGATGGTTTGGATCGCTTCCTGACATCATGGAAATCTCATGAGGACCCTGGTTCTGGAGACTTGATGTTGAGGATGGAACGTAGAGGGTTCCCACAGTTGATTCTTTACAAAGGTGTAAACCCGTGGTGGCGCATGGGGTCGTGGACCGGGCACAGGTGGAGCGGTGTGCCTGAAATGCCAATAGGTTATATCTTCAACAACTCTTTTGTAGATAATGAAGACGAAGTCTCCTTTACTTATGGTGTGACAGATGCTTCAGTCGCAACAAGAACCATGGTGAACGAGACAGGAACCATGCACCGGTTCACATGGATTGAGAGGGACAAGAGATGGAACGATTTCTGGTCAGTTCCTAAAGAGCAGTGTGACAACTATGCCCATTGTGGCCCTAACGGTTACTGCGATCCCACAAGGTCAAAAACGTTCGAGTGCACATGCCTACCTGGCTTTGAGCCCATGATTCCCCGGCATTGGTTCTTGAGGGACTCTTCTGGTGGGTGTACGAAGAAAAATAATTCTTCAATATGCAGTGAAAAAGACGGGTTTGTGAAGTTGAACCACGTGAAGATTCCGGACACATCAGATGCAAGTGTAGATATGAACATAACATTGAAGGATTGCAAACAGAGGTGCTTGAAGAATTGTTCTTGTGTTGCTTACGCAAGTGCTTACTACGAAAGTAAAAGAGGAGCAATAGGATGCTTGACATGGCACGGTGCTATGACGGATACAAGGACATACTTGAACTCCGGACAAGATTTCTACATACGTGTAGACAAGGAAGAGTTAGGTACATATATAAATCTCTTCTTGAAGTTCTTGTTGGTTTTTTTTTTTTAAACAATCATTCTATGTCATTGTAACAACGAGAAAAAAAAGAAACATATCATCGATGTTCTTGCTCATTTCAGCGCGGTGGAACAGAAATGGCTTATCAGGGAAAAGGAGAGTCCTTATGATTCTTATCAGTTTGATTGCAGCTGTAATGTTACTAATGGTCATTTTGTTCTGTTTCGTAAGGGAGCGACGAAGTAAGTAATTTTCTGATGATGTATCTTTTTAAGTTCATATATTTCTTTCTTAGCTCACAACTAACTACTGAAAACATGCTCAAGTGCAGAGTATAACCGGCATAGAAGCTCTTCGGCAACCTTCGCCCCGGTACCTTTTGATTTTGAAGAATCATTTGGCTTTGAACAGGACAAGGCGAGACACCGGGAGTTACCATCCTTTGATCTTAACACAATTTCTGCAGCAACCAATAACTTCTCTTCTCAAAACAAGCTTGGCGCAGGTGGTTTTGGACCCGTTTATAAGGTAAGGAAGAGGCAAAACTCATCTTTATCAATGCTACTCATTAAGGTGAATAAGTAAGGAATGTTTCCTTTGTTTTTCTATTCAGGGCGTGTTACAGAACGGTATGGAGATAGCGGTGAAGAGGTTGTCGAGAAACTCGGGCCAAGGAATGGAAGAGTTCAAGACTGAGGTCAAGTTGATATCTAAGTTACAGCATAGAAATCTCGTGAGGATCTTAGGATGCTGTGTTGAATTGGAAGAGAAGATGTTGATTTACGAGTATTTACCAAACAAGAGCCTGGACTATTTCATATTCCGTACGTTCAACATTTCAAACTCAAATTCAAATTCTATCTTTCAGGAAGATCAATGACACTGGATTTGTTTTGTCTTTCTTTTTATCTTCATGCTAGATGAAGAGCAGAGAGCGGAGTTGGATTGGCCAAAACGAATGAAGATCATCCGCGGGATTGCTCGTGGGATCTTGTATCTTCATCAAGATTCAAGATTGCGGATCATCCACAGAGACCTTAAGGCCAGCAATATACTTCTTGACAGTGAAATGGTTCCTAAGATCTCAGATTTCGGCATGGCTAGAATCTTCGGGAGCAACCAAATCGAAGGATGCACAAGTCGGGTCGTTGGAACATTGTGAGTTAGTCTTTCTTAATCACCACAAAACTGTCAAAGATCTTTCAACCTTAACTTGTTTCATATCTTATTGCACAGTGGATATATGTCACCAGAGTATGCAATGGAGGGACAGTTCTCCGTGAAGTCTGACGTATACAGCTTCGGAGTATTGATGTTAGAGATCATTACAGGAAAGAAGAACAGTGCTTTCCACGAAGAATCATCGAACCTAGTCGGACATGTAAGTGAAAAAACTCTTGCATTTTTATTATCACAAAAAACAGAGGAAAAAGAAACAGAACATAAGCAAATGCATGTTTCTTCGTCTTTGTAGATCTGGGATCTATGGGAAAACGGTAAAGCAACAGAGATCATAGACAAGTTAATGGACAAAGAGACTTATAATGAGAGCGAAGTGAAGAAGTGCATACAGATTGGGTTGCTTTGTGTGCAAGAACTTGCATCGGATAGAGTAGACATGTCCTCTGTTCTCATCTTGTTGGGTCAAAACGCCGTTGATCTTCCAAATCCGAAGCATCCTGCGTTTACTTCGGCGAGGAGAAGAGTCGACGAAAATGGTGCTTGGCTCCTGGAGAAAACTGGCATTTCTGTTAATGATGTCACCTTCACCGAGATTCAAGGTCGTTAAAACAACACTCAAATGTTTTACTTCTTTTTGTATACCAAGACGAGATTTTAGAGTAAGTTCCTGGAATAAGTAAGTACAGACTACTGATTGCAAAAGAAGGAAAAAAATAACTTTTTAGTAATAAAACCATTGCTATAAAAAACAAAACACAAAAATGAAATTTCTTGGCTGTTGTGGAATAATTTTGTGCAGAAAATTCAAAGTTGTTGTCTAGTTGATGAATCAATGAAAAGTCAATTCTGATCTTATATCCATTATCCACGTTTGTTTCTATGTACTATAGCAAACCTACCCAAAAACACAAAACCAATAATAGTGTTTTAGTTCCTTGTCTTAAAACAAAACCCTACTGTGGCTTCTCAAGAACATGGGTGATTTTTGTTCTTCTCCTCTTCCTTCTGGTTCAATTTCTTAATCCAGGTTAGTTTATTCCAAAAATCTGATCATATCTAAGAATAGGTAAAGTTTCAACAAAGCTCAGTTGAATCTAAAAATAACTTCTCTGAAATACATCTCTTATTCATTCATCTAACCATTGAACAAACGTAGAATAACAAAATTTGTAAACATAGGAGTTTCTCAAAACGTATATATTACAGATTTATTATATATAAACAGGCTGAGATTGGCTGGGTGAGATTAACGCCCTGTTACAGCTGTGAGGCTCACATCATTGATGGATATCTTTTGACTACTCTGGTCAGAAGATTCAGCCTCAGAAGCTCCTCTTCTTGCTATAAATGCAGGCTGCTTCGGCTCAGCGAGGTTTGTATTCTCGGTAGTTAGCATCCATATCACGCTTGAAACATTAGGTCTATCGTTTGCTACTTCTTGCACACATAACAGTCCAATATGAACACATTTCTCTATCTCTTTCTCAAAACTCTTATCAAAGACGGCTGGATCTGCTAGAGAGGCAGCCTCACCATCGTTCCACAGCTTCCATGCCTGTAACAACCCACTTTGAGGTAAGTTTCAATGGCTTAATTTAACTATAAGTTACTAAACACTGCTTAGTACACTTACATAAGCCAAAAGATTCAGATTACTCTCTTCCTTGTGAGAACTAGAGTTTCTTCTCCCACTAATGATCTCTAGAAATATAACCCCCAAGCTGAAAACGTCTGATTTTTCTGAAAAGAAACCTTCCATTGCATATTCTGGTGACATGTAGCCACTGCAAAAACAAAATTTCAATAAAACCGCATACCACAACGTTTGTTATGTATTTTGGAGTGGATACTTACTATGTTCCAACAACCCTTCTTGTGTTAGCTTCATCTTCATTAGCTCGGAAAATTCTTGCAAGTCCGAAATCAGATATCTTTGGGTTTAGGTTCTCATCTAACAAAATGTTGCTGGCTTTTAGATCTCTGTGTATGATCTTTAGTCTTGAATCTCTGTGAAGGTACAAAAGACCTCTGCAAATTCCTTCCATTATGTTGAACCGAGTCTTCCAATCAAGAATCTTTTGCTTCAATGGGTCTGAGAAAAAGGTAGTAAGATCATTAGTATCCAGAGCAAAATGGTGAAAAACAGAGTTAAAAACAGAGGTGATAAATTTTACCAAATAGATATGCATCCAAGCTTTTCTTTGGCATATATTCATAGACTAACATCCTTTCTTCACCTTCAATGCAACATCCAAGTAATTTCACTAGATTCCGATGTTGCAGCTTCGATATCACAACCACTTCGTTCATAAGTTCCTCTAATCCTTGTCCTGATTTCCGTGAGAGCCTCTTCACTGCAATTTCTTGCCCTTCTGGCAATTTTCCCTGGAGAAAAAGATGACAAAACACTTAGTCTGAGGTTATTTATACACATATCTCTTTTCAGATGGATTCTTGTATAATGCTTTTACCTTGTAAACAGGACCAAACCCGCCTTGCCCTAGCTTGTTTCTTAAAGAGAAGTTATCGGTGGATGTTGCTAAAACTTGAAAATCAAATAGTGGAAGCTCCTTGAGCTTGACTTGGTTAGAAGCAGACTCATTGTCACTTGTAAGTGCTTCCATTCTTTTAAACAATAGCTCTGCACTTCTATCTTTCACTGGCTCTGCTAAGGCAATGATCAATGAAAGAAATAAGTTGTGATAAAAGAAACAATCTGAAGCCAACAAGTATAATAAGTTTAACAAAACTCTAACCAGCTGGACGCTTTTTGTATTTCCGGCATGCTAAAACAATGCAGACCGCGGCAATAAGCGCAACGCCTATCACAGGTGCTGCGACCATAATTGCTAGATTGCTGTGTTTTTCTATAAGAGTTGGTGAGCAAACAAAAGTCAGTGAAGTCAAATTGAATGGAGAGGAAAAAAACTGAGAACCACTAGGAGATTTTTCACTCACTGAGTTCAGAATGTGCAACTCGAATATAAAGATCAATGCCACTTCCCAAAAATGATTGCATATCAACTAAGTCACGACTCCAAAGCATGCATCCGATTCCTCTATCATAAGCATAAGCCGTGCAAGAACAGTTATCTAAACAGACTTTAGGACAAACTTGTTCATTAGCTTCAGACCGTTCCGCAGAGACTGGCACTTTCATCTTCTGCAGTTTGAAAAACCCATCTGCCTTTCCTCCACCACCACCACCATTACTCACATTTCTCTGTCTTTCACACAGCAATGGAGCTTTTCTCACACATCCATTACTCCAATCCCCTCCACTCCACTCTGTGCTATTCTTTGGTACAAACCCTTTAACGCATTTACAAGGCGGGTTTTCTTTGGTATGGCAGGTCCCGTACGGACCACATCTAGCATATGCATCACAGTCTGTGTATGGAAACCTTACACCGATCCTCCAAGTTCTCATAGAAGTACTCCAATCTTTCTGATATATAGCTCCGTCCGGATCCAAGTTGAAGTGATACATAAACGAGTCATTAGCATAAGACATTGAGATCGTGCCTTGATTATCACTGTTAAGATTAAACCCATCAAGAAACAGAAGCGAATCCATATTTGGTAAACCGATGAAAACCTGACCGTTCCAAGGTCCGCTACGCCAGGATATAGCATTGTTCTTCCAGACAAGAAGCTCAGGAAACGTGAAAGGAGCAATACCAGCTGTGTAGTTCCCTGTGGAAGGATCATCATGGCTTCTCCAAGAAGTAAGCTTTAGATTCTCTCCGGTTATACCGTTGGTCCCAAGAGTCATTCTTGGCATGAAAGAATCATAAGGATGCTTAAAACTCTCCCAAAGGGTCTCACCATTGTTTCTGTCATCTTGTAGCATAAGATTACCAGAATCCATTAGCTGAACCCAAGTAGCATTCGGAGCCACTGGTACTGTAACGTTCGTAGACCACAGAAGGCGATTCCGACCGTCGGTAACAGCGAGATTTCCATCTTTATAAATCGAGATAACACCGGAAGTGTCGTTGACTGGAGTGTCTTTATTAGCAACCCAAACCACAGTTTGAAGTGGAATCTTGTCGTACCAAATCCCAACATAACGTAACCGAGTAGTGGAATTAACTGGGGTGAAGAAACCAAACCTGAAAATACCACTTTTGCAGAGAAGGGTATCTGAATCTGAGTCTTTGATCGGAGTAGAGAACGTGATTCTATCCTCACCAAAACAGAGTCTCAAGCAAGTGACTGCAAGTAGAAGAAGAACAAAACGACAACGTATGCTCACTGAAACCACCATAACTCTTCGAAACAGAGAGTGATTCCTTTGTTTTTCCTACCAGAGAGGTAAAAATAGTAAACTAGTCTTTTGTCTCTATGACTAGGTTAGAGAAAATGATGTGAGTTTTTTTTATTTTGCTTTCAATGAAGATTCGTTTTTGGTGGGAGTAGTAATGTGTTTTGGTGGATTTCATTGAATAGCCCACCAATTAGCAATGAGAGAGGAACAAACCACCAAACTTGACTTTTCTGTGAATGCAGAAGAAATTTGGAAGAAACGTTTGAAAGTGAGAGGACTACTTGCCTTAGTGCGATTTCAATGGGGTCATTGTTTAGTCATTTCGAGACTACACTTGTTTTATTTTGCATATGATTGTCTTAGAAAACAAATATTACTTTTTTGACCTCTTTTTTTTTTTTTTTTTTGTTCACACTCTTGTTAAACAAAGGAACGCGTGTTTCACAGACCACTTGGTGGTTTGCTGTTAAAGTTTTTGAGGATTTGGGTTGAATTGTTGAGGTTCATATGTTTGTGGGTAGCTCCGAATGCTCTCGTTCTTCCTCTGTTCCCAGCCGCCCAAACCAGAGGAAGAACGAGAGCACTAGGGTCTTGAATTATTAGTATATTGTTGAACAAAAGATTCGATTTTTCTGGTCAGTTGAAACGGAACAGAAAGTTATAAAAACAAAAAGAGGGGAAAGCGTTAAGCCTTTAATCTTCCAGTATAAAAAACGATGAGGTCTCTATCGAACAACACATAGACTACACGAGACGATGCGTCAGAAAGCCTATATTGTGGTGTTTAAATAATCATTAGGTGGGATGACAAATTTTGAGCATAAATTAAATTAGTACTAGTAAACAGTGTGACTTAAATCACAATGAATATCCAAAAGACACTCTTATTAAACGAGTAAACCAAAACTAGTAAGTTAATAGAAAATCTAAGTGGCTCAAATGTCCAAAGAAATATTCTCTGAGCAGAAAATTACCTTTTAGCATAGGAGTATAGGACACTGTTGTTTGATATGTGTTGTGAGGATAAGGTTATTGACTTCAGACAAATGAAAAGTCTAGAGATTTTGTATGTTCATGAGAGGTGTAAGGTCACAAACATAGGCCTCTCAACATCTGTAGGCCTGTTGTAAAGTGTCCTGCTGTTTAAGAATATACTCCCACACTTGAAGATGCCAGATCTTATCTAAAGTTGCAATAAATACATACAAATCATAGATCCATCAATTCTTCAGTTATTTTACTTTCCCTCTAGCATAAAAGCATTACGTCATTTGTTACCATGACACTAAAAGAAGCAATTTGGTGTACTAATATAATATAGATGGAAACAATTACTAACAACAAAACAAAGATTTTGTAAGAGACGATAGACAATAAACAATCAGACTCTTTTATCAGTGAGGCACAAAAATGGCAGCTGCATCAGACACTTTCTTTACCTTCAAAAATGCAGTCGGTGTGGTAAATTTAACCATCAATATACATGTAGTGGGTAACCTTGAGATCACAGCGACCAGTGAGACTGTAGCATAAGCCCTATGGTTCTTCCGTTACTGTTTGTGTGATAAACAAGACCTGGACTTAAGCTAAACCGATCGCCTAGGTTGAACTTCAGATACGATTCCACCTGAAACTGATCATGGTTTCTTGAACCATCAACAACTCCCCCAACGCTCATGCCCCAGCCCACTTCATCCTCTGGATTGTCTGTTATAGACACTGACCATTTCACCTGCTTTGCTCTTGAGTTCTGAATTTCAATCCATCCACCAAGTTTTGTAGACTCGTCCATTAGAGAGTCTAACTTCAAAGCCATGGAAGTCGACGACACATGATTCATGCTTCTGCTCATCTCCAGAGGAGATGTTGATGATTCAGGCTGCATAGTAGTATGTCGCCTTAGGAAACTTACTGGAAGTGTAATGGCTCCAGCAGAGTGGAGGTTGCTAGAAGGTGTTAAAATTTGGTGACAGCCCAATAGAGATAGTTTTAAACTTCGGAGAATGTGGCAGGTTACTTGCCCAAAAGTTCTGAAACAAGGATTTGTTGCAATCAAACCTTGTTCAACTTCAAGGTTTGACATGGATTGGGCCAGTGAAGCTGTGATGTTCGACTTCCTGACTGTTAACCCTATGGCACTACCATTATGTTGGTTTAAAAGAGGTGGTCCAAGTTGAGAAATTTCTGTAAGACTCATTCCCTGCAAGACGAAGGTGTATTTGTAGCTTCATCAATAACAATAATTTATGAAAAAAGTGGTTAAAACAGAAACCAGTAAGAAAAATCTAACATGCCATTGGCAGAGATTATAGTGAGAAAAAAATTCCCATCGAAATAGTATGGCTTAGAGTTTCTAACTTAAAACAGCCAAGGTAGATATAATAAGGTTATACGATCAAGCCAAACTATCACCAATGTGAAACTGGAATCAATTTTGAGATTCAAATATTGACCCTGTGTATAAAGCGATCCAAAACAATATGAATGTTGAACATAAAGGTAAAAAACACAACCAATATAGAAATAAAACCTGCAGTTAATGGTGGATACCTGGTAAGAAGACACTATATCAGCATCAACATCTCTGAAATGCGCACCAACAGGAATAGCAACAGCAGAGAACCAATCATTAATATCAGCCTTGTAGAAGACTTTAGCTAAAGACAACTGGCTCCCTGAGAAACCACTGTGATTCCCTTCCCCTTTGTATCCAGCAACAAGCTCAGCCACAAGCCTATCTGTCTCCCTAAGGCTCGTTTCAAACACAAACCTTGAAAGCAATCCAGGTCTCACTCCTTCTCTGTCGAGTCCATCGAAACTCTCCTCATCAGTGTTACCCATCAGCAATATAGCTCCAAGCACATCAACCTCGCCTCTCACATGAGTGCTAGTCTCTTGAAAAGGACCACCTTTTGATAATTTATACGAGGAGATTATCCGCTCCACTTTGTCTTGTCTATCTCTAAGTTTCATCAAATCAGAAAATGTTTCTCTTTGTAATCGCTTCAAGATATCAATCTGTAACCAAAAATCCCAAAGCAACCCAATTATTTCTTAAGATAGAGTTCACTCATATGTTCCAGAACAACAATGCAGAAACGCAAATTTAAAAAGATGGGTTATAAAGTTAAGTTAAGAGAGCATCATCAAATGGTGAAATATGTTCTTTTAGCCATTAGAGACATTTCAAACAAGAGGATGGATGAAGATACCGGATTCTGGCGAGAAGGACCGAAATGGCGGGAGACTAAATCCTGGCTCGATTTCGCAAAGTCCTTAATTTTATCAAACACGGAAGCAATTGGATCCATTTTTTCTCAGAAACTGATAACGAAAAGCGTGAAGATAGATTCTAGAAAAATTGGTACCGAGCTAACTTAAAAAGCACAAGAGACTAAACTATACAGAGGAGGACGATTCAAACAAAAAAGAGACAAAAATGAGCTAGAAAGAGAGGTCTGTTGAAGGTGTGTAATTATCTCAGTGACGATAAGAGAGGATTGAGTAGAGGAAGAACAGAGAAAGTGTTTAGGGTTTATGAGTTTGGATTTTTGGGGGTTTTTGAGGAACTCTTTTGATTTCAATTCAAACTCTGGATTTTTACAAGGAAGGTTTTTTCAGCAATTCGGGTTTCTTGAGTCGGTTCGATTCGGTTTGATTCTAATTTTGAATTTTTCCGGTTTAAAGGATTTGGTCAGAACTAAAACTAAATAAATTCACCTTTCAAAGAACAGCCTTCGTGTCCCAGTTTTGATTCGTTGTTAAAACGATATTGAACTTTGGTAATGAAGGTTGACTTCAATGTCGTTTTTGGAAAGTCGTAATAAATTTGGAGGTTTTCTAAAATATAAAAATAAAGAATAAATATAGGCTTGGCATGCTCGAGAAATGTCATTTTCTTTATTTAATATATAGAGAAAATGATTGTTTAACGTCATCAACTTATAAACGTAATAATATAAATTTTGACTAAGACATTCTTTAATCTTTATAACTTCTAAAGACTCAAAAACCATCAACTCAACTAATAATTTAATACTAAGGGAAACTACTATATATACTAGTGGAAGAAATTAAAGAAAATGGATTATACAAGGATTAGAAAGAAAGTCCAAAATTTAACACGTACGTAACACACGAGAAGACGAGCTGTTCGATAGTTCATACATAAGAAGTGGTGGACCAAGTGGTTGGTGTCAGTACTGAGTGAGTAGTTAAGAACTGAATATTACGTTCTGAGTAGTTAAGAGAACTTTAGATTAGTTATAAAGAAAGAGATTAGTAATTGTCTCGATAGCAGCATTCAAAACGTTTATTCTTGATCAATTATTATAAGAAAATTTTAAAGTGCATCAGCGTAACGTAAGTAAATACAAATATGAACACTCTCTATCTTTTTTATTCGCCAATTCAAGTATTAAACACATTAAACATAGCTATCCTAAACGTATATATAGACCGACGACGAAGACGAAAAAAAAATATATACATTTGGGTACGTAATATATATGGATTACGTAATATATATGGATTGATTCTTCAGTATATCTCGAAACATGTATATCTGCGGACCATATTAGATGTTTAGTCTTTTTCTTTTATTCTGTCAGTATTTATACAATCACGTGTCAAGTAGTAAGCAACATTATAAAGACATGAAAAGAATAGTCAATACTATTAATTATCTATCTACCTATCATCTTCTCTGCGGGGCACTAGAATTAGATTTTTTTTGAAATGGAAACACCGACGGCTAATTAATGCGAAACTAATTAATTTCACAAACTTTCCCACGTACCAAAAACACAATTAACTACACTACTATAATTAATCATTGCTGCATGCATCTGTTCATATCAGTACAAACTGTTTTTCGAAACTTTGTAACTACTTTCTGTATAATTGATTAGCAAAATTAACTAAAAATCTATAATATTAACACCAAAAAAACGAAACTAATTAACCACGTGAATATAGTAAACTCCAAAACAGGAATTTTTGTAGATAAATCAAAGAACAACCACATTATCATTTGTTGCTTTCAAAATTAAATATTTGGCCTACTTATTTTTGTTTCAACCTATATCAGTCACATATTGGTGGAAAAAACATATCATTTTTAAATTTCAAGTTGCAATAACTACGGTTGAAAATTCTTCTATATATGCCTCGACAAATTTCTTTTATCTGATATCTCGTTTAGTTTTTTCTTGTTTTGAAACTACATTTGGTATAGACTGAATAGAGCATTATATTCTACTAGTAATATATATCTCATAATAATGTTATACTTATTTATAATAATAATATATATCAAGTGGCCATTTGATATATAGCTTTATACAGCCCAAATATTATACCGAACAACATTCAAATTGAAAATTTACTTATTCGTTCTTGCAATTTTTTATTTTTTATTTTATTTTATTTTTGGCTGAAAAGTTTATACTCAAAACCAAACCGAGCTGAACAAAAAAATTTATAAGATAATTAAAAGATAGAGACAAAACATGATTGACCCATAAGGCTAAAGACTTTCAAATATAAAGAGAAATAAAAGAGTGTGATAAATTGGGAAAGTCCTCGTCAGTCTGTCGGATGAAAGAATAATAAACGTAGGACACACGTAATAATTAGAAGCCTTAAGTTCACTTACAGTCCTTACATTACGAGCCTTATCTTCTTACCCTTTCATTGTCCGCCTTCTCTCGCAGCTCTATATATTATTACGACACAATTGTGTTTTCCAAACATTGCATAGCTCACTTGAAAACTAAGAGAAAAAGAAGAACACGAAAGCTCCGTCTATTCTCGTGTGTTCTTTACTTGTTTTGTCTAGGAAAAAAAAAAAGACGAGTCATTTGGGGTCTTTCTAAAATTAAGCTCTAATGGCAGACGCGACTTTAGAGGAGACCTCTACGTGGACAGTAGCTGTGGTTTGCTTCGTCTTACTACTCATTTCGATTGCGCTCGAACATTTGCTTCACACACTTGGAACCGTAAGTCCCTTAGATTTGTCCTTATTTCAAGATTCCCTTGTTTTGTGTTGTTAATCTGCTTCCGTGCTTATGTTTCTTCCTTTGGTTACTGCTCTGTTTTTGATCATTTGTTTACCTCTTCTCCTATCACTACTAAATCTGTAAATAATGGAAATCTGTGCCCATTCTTCTTTTATATATACCTAAACAGTGGTTTAAAAAGAAGCACAAAAGCGATCTATTTGAAGCTCTTGAAAAGGTCAAAGCAGGTAACTAAGAAATATAACTGTTTTTTTCTACTTAACTTCATCCATTATTAACAAGATACTGATGTTGTTTTTCTACTTAAACTTTATCCATTAACAAGCTTCTTATATTTTAACACTTAACTTCACTCAGAGCTTATGTTGTTGGGATTCATATCACTACTCCTAACAATTGCACAAGCACCAATCTCACATATTTGCATCTCCAAGAAACTTGCATCGATAATGCAACCTTGCAGTCCCGCCCAAGCAGCGAAATTAAAGGCCGATAGGGCAAAGAAAGAAGGTGGATATGGAGAAAAACCCGGTGGAAAACTTCTTCTTGAGCTGGCTGAATTTTATATCCCTAGAAGAAGTTTAGCCGGCAAAGTTGAGAACACATGCGAAAAGAAGGTAACCAATAATCTCTCATTTAAAAATCATTTTCGGCTTGTATAACCGATAGATTTTGATTGCCATTGATGGATTTACTCAGGGGAAAGTGCCTTTTGTATCTTATTATGGAATCCACCAGCTGCATATATTCATCTTCGTGCTCGCAGTGGTTCATATTATTTACTGCATTGTTATTTATGCTCTCGGAAAGACCAAGGTAACATTTCTCGTGATTTCCGCAGTTGCTAAGGCGAGAATCAAGAAAGAGTGTACGCAAAAGTTTTTTTCTTGATTATTGCAGATGAGAAGGTGGCAGCCGTGGGAGGAGGAGGCAAAGTCAATAGAGTATCAGTTTTCCAACGGTATGTGACTCCGAGTATTGGACAAAAATGAAAGACTGAAATGGGAAATCTACAGTGAATAATTTCTTGCTATGCAGATCCTGAGAGGTTCAGGTTTGCGAGGGACACATCTTTTGGGAGAAGACATCTCAGTTTCTGGAGCAAGAGGAGTGTTACACTATGGACTGTGTGTTTTTTCAGACAGTTCTTTGGATCCATCACCAAAGTTGATTACTTAACATTAAGACATGGTTTTATCACGGTAAGACATGGTTTTTATTATAACACTCATCTCTCAAGACAATGATCTAACATTATAAAAAATTTCAGGCGCATTTCGCTCCCGGCCAATCAAGCTACGATTTCCGTAAGTTAATCCAGAGAACGTTAGAGAAAGACTTCAAAACCGTTGTTGAAATCAGGTTTGGATCTCTAATAATGATTTTTTATTTTATATAGTCTGAGCAAAAGCCCAATTTAAATATTTTATGAAGCCCGGTTAATTTTTGCCACGTTTATGCAGTCCTGTTATCTGGTTTGTCGCCGTGCTATTCCTCTTGACCAATACAAGTGGTAATGTTCATTGCATAAATACTGCAAACAGTACATCTTAGCTGCATCAATAGTCGCACAAAACTGACATAGTTTTTCTTTAATTTGAAACAGGGTTATATTCTCACTTCTGGTTACCATTCATTCCACTAGTCGTAAGTACTAAAAATATACTCTTAAAACAGTTTTTCGAATATTTTGTTTCTTTTGCCGCCAGTTTTTAACAGAATAACTGCAGGTAAGTCTAATCGTTGGAACAAAGCTTGAAGTCATAATAACACAATTGGGTCAAAGTATCCAAGAGAAAGACGAAATAGTGAGAGGCGCCCCTGTGGTTCGGCCTAAAGATGACCTCTTCTGGTTTAGCAAGCCACGTTTCGTTCTTTTCCTTATCCACTTGGTCCTCTTTACGGTACAGTAATAAATCCTTCACCCCTCATTTATTCTCTTTCGATTTTTTCTCCTAACGGTAGAGTAAACTCATGAGTAGCAAAATATTCTTCACTTAATTTGCAGAATGCATTTCAACTTGCCTTCTTTGCCTGGAGCACGGTAAGCAGCCAGCGAGCCGTTTCATGTTCTTTACAAACGTTGCTGTTTCATGTCTTACTAATTGCAATGTCATAATATTTTTGGTATATGCAGTTTTCATTCGGGATCAAGAATTGTTTCCATGCAAGCATTCCAGATGTGGTCACTAGACTTGTTGTTGGGTAAGCAAACATGCATTATCCTGACTATTAATTTTGAGAATTAGTACTTTCACTGACAATGTATATATAGTAACCCTCTTTTATTATAAATCTTGCAGAGCTTTTGTACAGATACTTTGCAGCTATGTGACTCTTCCACTCTATGCACTTGTTACTCACGTACTACACAACCTTAATTAGTGTTACGTCCATCCCAGATTTTGGATATATGATCTTTAGTTAATTTTTTGACACTGTGTATAATGAAAAATGTATGTAGATGGGTACTCAAATGAAGCCAACAGTATTCAACGAAGGAGTAGCCACAGCATTAGAGAAGTGGCATCAGACGGCGAAGAACCAGACTAAACACGGAAAACACTCGGGATCAAACACACCTTTCTCTAGCCGTCCAACCACACCAACACATGGCTCATCTCCAATCCATCTCCTTCACAATGTCAAGAACTCATCGACTGCTCCCACAAACTCTGGTCATAGTCATCATCAGGAACACCAGTTTTGGGATCCTGAGTCTCAACACCAAGAAGCTGAAACTTCCACACATCATCCTCTTGCGCATGAAAGCTCGGAGAAAACGAAGCCGGTCCTTGCATCTGCGGAACATCCTCCTATAAGGACTAGCAAAAGCTTAGACAAATTTTCTTTTAAGAAAGATGTTTCTTGATTTCAGAATTTGATCTCGTACCCTGGAAATAACTATCAGTACTGCTTTGAATCAATCATTGCTGCATTCATCTCTGTTCATATATGTATGTACAAGCTGTTTTCGAATAATTTGAAGTACTACTTTTGTATAATAATTGCTTTATATAAATTAACAGCAAGCAAAAAAAAAAAAAAAAAACTAAACCACGTAATTCAAAACGAATTTTTTTGTGTAAAAATTATAGAACAACCACATTATCAAAATGTTGCTTTCAAAAATAATTTTTTGGCCGACGTAGTTTATTTCAACGAGTATAATAATTCGTTTTCGTCGTCTAACGAGTGTCTTATTATATTAACATCTCTTATTATTTTAGATAGAACAACAAACAAGTTGAGAATAGGGGAGGCTAAAGAAATCAAAGGCACGAACTTTCCAACGAGAGATCCCATTATAGTAAACGTTATTCTTATGTCTAATAATTGTATCTCTCAAGTGGTCATTTGATATACACAAAATTCAATTGTTGTTTAAGAAAAAATTACACCAAATAACAAAACCGAGTTAAATCAAAATTTAAAAAAACTGAAGTATATCAAAACCGAGTTAAACCACAAGTTAAATATTAGACAAACTAGACCTTGGATATCAAAACCGAGTTAAACCACATGATTTGACCGAATATAACAAACAACAAGGCCATAGACCTTGAAAATAAAGCGACGGTGATAAGTTGGGGAGGCGTCGTCACTCGTCACATGAGGGAATAATACCAAAAAAAGTCAAAACGTTGAACGTTTCTTCAAAAGAAGAACGACGTAGTTATAACATAGAAGAAGCCTTTAGTTTACTTAACAGTCTCTCATTCCCATTATTAGTTACGGGTCTTATCTTCTTCTTCTTCATTCCCCCTTTCCTCTTTCGCCTCCTCTCTTAGCTCTCCTCTATATTATTACGACACAACTTTGCGTCTTTTTTTCAAAAATTGCGTTTGCGTACTAGTTTCAAAATTGAGAGCAAAACAAGAAGAACACGAAATCTCCGTCTCTTCTCGTGTGTTCGTTCTTTACTTCTTTTGGTTGAAAAGCAAAAAGAGACAAGATCTCTGGAAAGAAAGAAGGATAGTCTCGTTTGGGGGGGTTTTCCTTAGAATTAAGCTCCAATGGCGAATCAAGTTAAGGAGCGGACTTTAGAAGAGACCTCTACGTGGGCAGTAGCTGTGGTTTGCTTCGTCTTACTATTTATTTCGATTGTTCTCGAACATTCGATTCACAAAATTGGAACCGTAAGTCCCTGTTCTGATTTTTTCCTTATTTCAAGATTCCCCTGTTTTCTGTTCTGCCTCTGTTTTTTTTTTTGTGTGTGTTCTTGATCTGCTTACTGCTCTGTTTCTTTGTCTTCTTCTTTGGTTAATGCTCTGTTAATGAAAATCGCTTCCCATTCTTTTTTATAGTGGTTTAGAAAGAAGCACAAGAAGGCTCTATTTGAAGCTCTTGAAAAGGTCAAAGCAGGTAACTAAAAAAACTGTCTTTTTTCTACTTAAACTTCATCCATCTATTAACAAGCTTCTAATATTTTCTATACTTATACTTCATTCAGAGCTTATGCTGTTGGGATTCATATCACTACTCCTCACTATTGGACAAACGCCAATCTCAAATATCTGCATCTCCGAGCAGGTTGCATCGACAATGCACCCTTGCAGCGCCGCGGAAGAAGCTAGAAAATACCACAAGAAAGACCCCGCAAAGAAAGAACATGGAGATGGAGATGGAGAAAAATCGGGTCGAAGACTTCTTCTTGAGTTAGCTGAATCTTATATCCCTAGACGAAGTTTAGCCACCAAAGGTTATGACAAATGTGCAGAGAAGGTAACTAACAATCTCCCATATATATATATGCAAATCATTCTTGGCTTGTCAAACCGATAGATTTTGATTTGGATTGATGAATTTTCTCAGGGGAAAGTGGCTTTTGTATCTGCTTATGGAATCCACCAGTTGCATATATTCATCTTTGTGCTGGCCGTGGTTCATGTTATTTATTGCATTGTTACTTATGCTCTCGGAAAGACTAAGGTAACATTTCTTGTGAATCCCACAGTGGCTAAGGCGAGAATCAAGAAAGAGTGTATGGACCAAAGATTTTTAAATATTTGCTTTCTTGAGTATTGCAGATGAGGAGGTGGAAGTCATGGGAGGAGGAGACGAAGACAATAGAGTATCAGTATTCCAATGGTATGTGACTCCGAGTATTCCACAAATATTAAAGACCGAAATGGGAAATTTACAGTGATACTTCTGGTTATGCAGATCCTGAGAGGTTCAGGTTTGCGAGGGACACATCCTTTGGGAGAAGACATCTCAATTTCTGGAGTAAGTCGAGTGTTACACTATGGGTTGTGTGTTTTTTCAGACAGTTCTTTGGATCTGTCACCAAAGTTGATTACTTAGCACTAAGACATGGTTTCATCATGGTAAGGAGTTCACTATTTTCCCGTTATCTAATGTTTATTATGACACTTATCTCTCAAGACAATGATCTAAATACAAATTTCAGGCGCATTTGGCTCACGGGAGCGAATCAAGATTTGATTTCCGCAAGTATATTCAGAGATCATTAGAGGAAGACTTCAAAACTGTTGTTGAAATCAGGTTTGGAACTAATAATGATTTTCTTTATAGTCTGAGCAAAGTCAGTTTGGATATTTTGTCTTAAATCTTTGCCACCTTTATGCAGTCCGGTTATTTGGTTTGTCGCGGTGCTATTCCTCTTGACCAATACAAATGGTAAATGTTGATTGCTTAAACGCAGATTAAGTCTTAGCTGCATCACTATTTTCAGAAAACTGACATAGATTTTCTTTTGAAACAGGACTACGTTCTTACCTTTGGTTACCATTTATTCCACTAATCGTAAGTACAATAAGCTCTTAGACCGATAAACATTTCTCCGATTTTGTCCTTTCGTCGCCAGTTTTTTAACAAAATGTATATAAGTGCAGGTAATTCTAATAGTTGGAACAAAGCTTCAAGTCATAATTACCAAATTGGGTCTAAGAATCCAAGAGAAAGGTGATGTGGTGAGAGGTGCTCCGGTGGTTCAGCCTGGTGATGACCTCTTCTGGTTTGGCAAGCCACGGTTCATTCTTTTTCTTATCCACTTGGTCCTCTTTACGGTACAATACTATATCCTTCACCGCTCATTTATCCTCTTTCGGTTTCTCCTAATGGTAGAATAAACTTATGAGTACCAAACTTCTTCACTTTGCAGAATGCATTTCAACTAGCCTTCTTTGCCTGGAGTACGGTAAGCGAGCTCATTCATTTTCATTAAAAACATTGCTATTTAGGGGTATACTATATATATACTAATTGTTACGTCCTAAATTTTTGGTATTTGCAGTATGAGTTCAATCTCAGGAATTGTTTCCATGAAAGCAATGCAGATGTGGTCATTAGGATTGCAGTTGGGTAAGCTAACATTATCTTGACTGCTGATTATGAGAATTTGCTGAAAATGTATAATAACCTTTTCCCCTTTTTTTATAAATCTTGCAGAGTTGTTGTGCAGATACTTTGCAGCTATGTGACTCTTCCACTCTATGCACTTGTTACTCAGGTACTACACAACATTGAGTGTAACATAACCAGGTTTTGGATATATGATCTTTAGTTTTCTGACATTGTGTTTATTAAAAATGTGTGTAGATGGGTACTAAGATGAAGCCAACAGTATTTAACGAAAGAGTAGCCACAGCATTAAAGAAGTGGCATCACACGGCAAAGAGCCAGACTAAACACGGAAGACACTCTGAATCAAACACACCTTTCTCTAGCCGTCCAACCACACCAACACATGGCTCATCTCCCATCCATCTCCTTCACAATTTCAATAACCGGAACGTTGACAGTTACCCAACTTCTCCTTCTCCTAGATACTCTGGTCATGGTCATCATGATGAACACCAGTTTTGGGATCCTGAGTCTCAACGCCAAGAAGCTGAAACGTCCACACATCATTCTCTTGCGCATGAAAGCTCAGAAAGGAAGCCGGCTCTTGCATCTGTTGAACTTCCTCCAATAAGGACTAGCAAAAGCTTAAAAGATTTCTCTTTTAAGAGATGATTCTTGATTTTTATATTTGATTTAGTACAGTGACAATTTGTTATACGAACACCGTTTCTTGTACATTACTAGATGTATAAGACATAACTATCTATTAAGATAGATGATATATTTCTCTGGCAATGCTTAAGACTTTCACGAAATTACACATACATTTTGTTGGTTCTGCAGGTTCTAACGACCTGAGACATCACTGATGGTGACATTGTTGATTGAGGCGTTATTAGGGTCACTGTTCTCGGAGGACTCAGCTTCTGGAACACCGTTCCTTGATATAAATGCAGGCTGTTTTGGTTCTGGGATGTCTACAATCTCGCTGCTGAGCATCGAACACACTGTAGAAACACTTGGCCTATCATTGGCAGCTTCTTGTACACACAAAAGCCCGATGTGAACGCATTTGTGTATATCTTTCTCAAAGAGTTGGTCAAAGATCTCAGGATCTACCAGACCATTAATCTCCCCTTCGTTCCAGATTGACCATACCTATAAAACAGTGAAAGCTTTTATAGCTTGAAAAATCTTAAGAGAGTTGAGAAACTTAGAAGACTTAAGGTAGACTTACATAAGCTAAAAGTGTAGAATTTGAGTTTCTTCTTCCACTGACAATCTCTAAGAGTATCACTCCTAAGCTGAAAACATCAGATTTCTCTGAGAACAGTCCTCCCATTGCATACTCAGGTGCCATATAGCCACTGCACCATCATTTTCTCGGTTTTAGAATTATCTTAAAGGAAAAAGATGTAACATATGGTTAGAATGGAGTTACTTACTATGTTCCAACGACCCTTCGGGTGTTTGCTTCATCTTCATTCCCTGGGAAAATCCTGGCCAACCCGAAATCAGATATTTTCGGAATCAGATTCTCATCTAACAAGATGTTGCTAGCTTTCAGATCCCTGTGAATGATTCTCAGCCTAGAATCTCTGTGAAGGTACATAAGACCTCTACATATACCATTGATTATATTAAAACGCGTCTTCCAATCAAGAAGTTTTGCTCTCCTTTGGTCTGAACAACACATTAG